CCTTTGCCTTGATGACAGCTTTGCACACTCTTGGCATTCTCTCAACCAGCTTCACCTGGAATGCTTTTCCAACAGTCTTGAAGGAGTTCCCACATATGCTTAGCACTTGTTGGCTGCTTTTCCTTCACTGTGCGGTCCGATTCATCCCAAACCATCTCAATTTGGTTGAGGTCGGGGGATTGTGGAGGCCAGGTCATCTGATGCAGCACTCCATCACTCTCCTTCTTGGTCAAATAGCCCTTACACAGCCTGGAGGTGTATTGGGTCATTGTCATGTTGAAAAACAAATGATAGTCCCACTAAGCCCAAACCAGTTGGGATGGCGTATCGCTGCAGAATGCTGTGGTAGCCATGCTGGTTAAGTGTGCCTTGAATTCTAAATAAATCACAGACAGTGTACCAGCAAAGCACACCCACACCATTACACCTCCTCCTCCATGCTTTACGGTGGGAAATACACATGCGGAGATCATCCGTTCACCCACACCGTGTCTCACAAAGACACGGCGGTTGGAACTAAAAATCTCTAATTTGGGCTCCAGACCAAAGGACACATTTCCACCGGTCTAATGTCCATTGCTCGTGTTTCTTGGCCCAAGCAAGTCTCTTCTTCTTGTTGGTGTCCTTCAGTAGTGGTTTCTTTGCAGCAATTCGACCATGAAAGCATGATTCACAGTCTCCTCTGAACAGTTGATGTTGAGATGTGTCTTTTACTTGAACTCTGTGAAGCAGTTATTTGGGCTGCAATTTCTGAGGCTGGTAACTCTAATGAATGTATCCTCTGCAGCAGAGGTAACTCTGGGTCTTCCATTCCTGTGGCGGTCCTCATGAGAGCCAGTTTCATCATAGCGCTTGATGGTTTTTGTGACTGCACTTGAAGAAACTTTCAAAGTTCTTGAAATATTTCGCATTGACTGACCTTCATGACTTAAAAGTCATGATGGACTGTCGTTTCTCTTTGCTTATTTGAGCTGTTCTTGCCATAATATGGACTTGGTCTTTTCCCAAATAGGGCTTTCTTCTGTATTTTTCCCCCTACCTTGTCACAACACAACTGATTGGCTCAAACGCATTAAGCAAATTAACTTTTAAGAAGGCACACCTGTTAATTGAAATGCATTCCAGGTGACTACCTCATGAAGCTGGTTGAGAGATGCCAAGAGTGTGCAAAGCTGTCATCAAGGCAAAGGGTGGCTATTTGAAGAATCTCAAATCTCAAATATATTTTGATTGTTTAACACTTTTTTGGTTACAACATGATTCCATATGTGTTATTTCATAGTTTTGATGTCTTCACTATTATTCTACAATGTAGAAAATAGTTAAAATAAAGAAAAACCCTTGAATGAGTAGGTGTTCTAAAACTTTTGACCGGTGGTGTACATATAGTCTAATTCTTTTCATATTGTTTACCCAGTATGAGAACTGATGTACATGTATAGTCTAATCTGTTTCTGAGTGTTTTGTCCTTCATGTGATTGAATAAAATTATGTTCTTCACATGCTTACTGATAAAATCAACATAAAGGTTGAGAATTAAAGAACTACACTCCAGGCTGTAGTGATGCTGACATGCAATCAATTACCACACAGTAAGAATCTGTGTGGACTCCATCTAATCAGATATGTTACAATTCGTTGTTGCACAATCACAAATACTAAAGAGGAAGGTACAAGGGCATGACATAATGGCAATCAACAGAGCATTTCCCATATGCTGCAAAAATACATATGTTCTCATTCTAGTACCCTATGCATTCACTACCTGGTTATATTTTGAGAAAACCATCACAAAAATACAAAACAAGTCTTGTGAATGTTAGAAAGAGCTTGGGCTGGTATTTAATTTCCTGTCGATCCTGTTCAGCTTCGTGTAGGAGAAGTGTAATTTTGATAGCATCCACTTAATCGGCAATAACAAAGGCGAATGCCATGTCTGCAATTGTCACGTTTCGTTGAACAGCACAAGTTGTCCGACCTGCTGTCGTTGCATATGTACCGCCACCGACTTTACTCGTTGACTTCCGTCTACATTCGGCTACTTTCGGCTTATCACTCAAACGCGCCCAATACTATACCTATAAATGTAGGCTATAGTTTCCGCACTGAGCAGTGTACTGGCATGCGCAGAATAGTTTTTACCCATGGTGCTGGGAGGGAGAACGAGCGCTCAGTCACGTCTCACCCCGGTTGCGTGTGTTGGCATGATATGTTTCCCCATGACTTGTATTGGGTATAGGCTACTTGCTCTTAGGAATATAAATACATTTGGACACAGATATCCGATCCTTTTTGAGGAGGAGAATGTAACTGGAGCCCACATCTTTCCTCGCGGAGTTATAGACAGAATCCTATATAGGGTTGGCAAAGAGCGAAATGGTTCGAGATTATGTTGCATTCTAGAGCAGACTTGTCTAGAAAAGGGAAAGTTAAATGTGTGAAGAGGCGGAGACTGTTGCGCAGTGACGCGGTTGTCGCAGAGTTTGTCTGGGTTCATTTGGAAAATATCTTTATAGTGTAGGGAAGGGTTATTGTTTTACAAACAGACAGAGCAATTAAACCAGCTCAGACATACGAATGATAGCGCGCATGTGTCGATCGATGTTTGTCCATCTATATCCATCGATTGATCAATAGGCACATCTGGATCGCATCAATTGGGACTTTAATTTACCATTCCATGTCCCAAAATGGTACCCAAATACATTTTTGAATTAACGTCTATCAATTAATAAGTCAATATGCTGTCATGGAAAGGCGCATATTGCATTTTATATAAATGACCCAAGAAAAATACGAAACCCACCAAGAAAAAACAAAACCTAGCATAAACTTCATTCACATGCGCTTAGTCTGCATTGATTGATTTGCGACCACATCTGATATGGCAGTTCCTAGAGAGCTGGTTTGATTTTTTTTACAAATACAAACTTTTTTCTGTCTCATCTAACCTATTTTGGCATTAGGCCTATATCAATTATTGACTAGTAACAGGCGGACAGAATTCCTGCTAAACTGCTACTTCCTCAACTGCAACATGTAGGCTATCATGTTTTGTCATACACCTATAATAGCCCACAAATGATGGCAATTACCCTATCTTGGGTAAAATTAAAGGTTTCCAGTGATTTATCCTTAGTTGTATGTAATCGATCATGCACATGGTTGAAGTATCTCAGTCATTCCAATGTGACCTGCGTCCGCCATACCGTTTTAATAGGACTGCACGGCTACAACAGCCACAAGACCAGAGCGCGCGCAAGGGAGCACTCCAGTCATCAGCCAAGTGAACCTACGCGTGGTGTTCGGGTATCGTTATCGTTAGTACAATAGTCACTTTGAACAACGCAGCACTTGCTACAAAGGTAAATATTGGTTACATTTTTGTATAGGCCTAAATAAAATCTGCCTATATTATGCCTACACAATATCTTATGCAACAAGAATATAGTGTTTTAATTAACTTGGGAAGCTTCTGAAAATGAAACCATGAGCAAACAAGTCGATCATTAGCCTAGTTATTTTGTTTCCTCGTTTGCTTGCGAGTGACTTCTTTATCGTCTACAACTCTCAATTAACCGACAAAAAATGTAATTAGGACTAATTCATATTGATTAAGAAGGCTACTTCTTAGATATGGGTGATTATGCCTAAGAACATAGTATTGGCGTTCCTATTAACCTATTGTATTGCGGTATTATTGTACCTAAATATCAATTCGTCTAATTAAGTTCTGTAATGTAGAAAAATTGCCTTTTTTTATTAGTCTTGTAGCGCCCCACTTCTATCCGTCCTCCACTCTCCATCAGTGCGCACGTCTGGTCTGCAACCACATACATGTTTATTTATCATTTTCCTTAAAAATCGATACTTAGGTCGTAGACAATTGAATGTAGACTATTATGTCTGTGGTGTAGCCTAAACATAGCCTCAACATACCTGCTAAGGAGCTTTTTAGTCACCTTCACTCAGGGCCGGCCATAGCCTTTTGGGGGCCCTAAGCGAGATTTGGTTGGGCCCTAAGCGAGATTTGTTTGGGCCCCCCCCCCCCCACCTCGTGGCAAAATATTTTAGTGGCCCCCCCTCTTGACGGTAAAGAGAAGCATTTAAGTTTTAAAGTTAATTTCCTGCAATTCTACACATTTTGCCATGGGGGCAGAGAGAAGATTTAGCAATTGTATAACACATTTCATGCAATTCTACTCATGTGGTCCTCTGTAACTCAATTGGTAGAGCATGGCGCTTGTAGCGCCAGGGTAGTGGGTTCGATCCCCGGGACCACCCATACGTAAAAATGGATAAAAGCGTCTGCTAAATGGCATATTATTTGCAATTCTACTCATTTTGACATGGGGCAGAAACATTTTGTTCTTTAGTTTTACAGCTAATTTCCTGCAATGCTACCTATTTTGCCATGGGGTGGAGAGAACGTTTAGCAGTTTTAAAGCTAATTTCCTGCAATTCCAAACATTTTGCCATGATTTATGCAACGTTAAAATGCTATCTGAGCTAGAATGACTAACAAAATCAAAAGGGGCCCCCTGGAGGTTAGGGCCCATGGGCACGTGCCCTGCGTACCCGGTCGTTATGCGGCCATGATTACTACAAGTTTAGATAGCTGGCTAAACTAACTACCAATAAAAAAATTGTTAGCTGACATGGATAATTGAGTGACTGTCAGTGACTGACATAACAAGATACAAACTGCTGATGCACAACCACATTTCGAAATTGCACCTGCTGTATTCTATTATTCTTACTCTCAGTAAGGTGAGAACACAACTGAGTTCCCAAAAAATTATAATAAAAACATACACACATATATCATTTTTGTTCGGGGGCCCCCTAGCGGTCGGGAGCCCTAAGCAACTGCTTATGTTGCTTATGCCTGGGGTCGGCCCTGCCTTCAATAGATAGCGTCATTGTAGGCTATTTACCGAGGTTATTCCATTTTCTTGCATCCTCATCATTCAAGCATTGTTTTCCCGACAGAACTAAAAATGGCAGAGGATATTGCGACTAAGCTCCAGAACTACCGCACTGCTCCCTTCGATGCCAGATTCCCCAACCAAAATCAGACAAGGAACTGCTTCTACAACTATCTGGGTAAGTCTAGACTCCAAGGTCAAAGTCTAGGACTCTGGTCCATTAGTCACACCAGTCACGTAGGCAAGTACAGATAAATCCTTTATTTATCCAGTGCTTTTCTTAATTATGCATCTGTTTAGTGTGTGCCAATTAATTTTGTGGGACAGAGCCATGTCCTTGTGGAAAACTGCTATTTTAGAATGTGTGTCAAAAAGGTGATTAAACTAACCTGGTAAAATAAGGGTTTAAAATGAATTAATTAAAAAATTAAAGACCCTGACCTTAACCTTTTTAGAGGACTGTAATCCAATTGTGTATATTTCCACAAGACCACTGACATGACCACGACTCAAACTCATTGTTGTGCACCTTATCTTCTAACATCCCTATTGTGTTGCTATATTTATAGATTATCATCGCTGCCAAAAATCGCTGGATGCCAAAGGAGTCGACACTGCCCCATGTGACTGGTATAAGAGGGTCTACAAATCACTGTGCCCCATTTCCTGGGTAATGCTTTTAAGATAATATACTTTTTCATTAGCTAAAAGTCCTTAAGTGAATTGGAAAGGATTTCTGAAGTAGGCCTACAGTATTGATAACACAAACTGTGGGTTGACTGACTGGTCTAGAAGTACATTATATGGTAATTTGAGGTCATGTGTTCACTGTTCATCCTGTTACACATTTTTCTGCACTTAAGTGTAGCAAATCATATTATGTACCATCATAGCCTGTTGTTTTGCTTTTTAACTGAATTTCAAGTATGGCTTTTTTTAATTAAAGGGGTGACTGGGTTCAAAGGGTTATAGACATCATTTTAGGGGGGGTCTGTCTTCAACCAAATGTCAACTATTGCTGGTACAATAGACAGTAAGCATTATTGGAGAAAAAAGCTCTGGCCATGTTCAATTAGCCCTATTCTGAGCTATACATGACTCCGGCCTTATCCAGTCAAGCAAATAGTGACCATAAAAAGGCAAACTCTTTAGTCAGTAGAGTTAATATTCAAACATCTGCTTCCTCTCAGAGTTTATTGACCTTTCACTGAATGAGATACTGTATTAGTATACACAATCCAAATCTAATTAAAATAATGCAGGATAATTGGTCTGTTACAACTACGTCAACATGGAGGTGTTTTAACCGGTCTGATCTGTCAAGTAAATGTTTATTTTACCCGTTTGTCCCCCAGATCCAGAAATGGGACGACCAGAGGGAGGAGGGCACCTTCCCAGGGAAAATTTGAGTGGCATCTCCAAAGAAGTATACTTCATGGCAATATGTATGTATGAGTGGTAGGAATCCAGGTTGGTCCTCCACTGCTCCTATGGAATGTGAGCAGAGTATAACTGAATACCGTAGTCATTCCTTATCAAAGATAATCATTGTATTGCAGATTCTGCATTAAAGTGCCTCAGGCGATATTTATCAAATTGAAGAGTCCATATCGTTTTTGGGGCATTGAAGAGAAGTAAAATTAGATGACATCATGACACCAAGACCAACTCTGTCACTTGGTTTAAAAGGATTTCATTTTATTTATTCAAATAAAATATACACTTATTTGAACAAGATTTAAAAAATAATAAAAATATTTGAACACGGAATGTCACACTTACAGTAATAACACCATCACTCAAAGCATGACTGAGGTGCAGTGTGAAGCCTATACCCACAGACTGACATTTTAAAATCAAATACATAAAACTGCATAAAAAACAACAACATGTATCATATACAAGGGTATATAGTAAGAAATAGGCTATATTGTGGCTCAATGAAGCAGTAAATTCTTTTAAAAACACAAGGGTCTACCTTTTTAAATTTGTAACCGGAGCCACAACTGTGGTAACTTGTCCATGCAACAAAATACTACTGGGTATAGGTATACAACGCCAACTATAGATTATACTCAAACATTCAAGATAAAACAAGATTTCAGCAAAGATCCATCCCTTTGTAAAGATCACATCTTACCTATTTGAGGTATGTTTTCAGTGTTTGCATATTAAATATTAAATGTTGTTTCTGGTTACATATTCTTAGGTGTTTTTCAACCAAAGGCCAAAATGTTGTTTACACGACAAAGTATATCTTGATAATATATTTAAACTTTTTGAAATAACAATATTTTAGGTAACTATCGCTCAAAAAAAATCTTTTTCATATCAAACAACTTCAATAAAGGTCACTTAGTTTGCAAACATGTCTTTCTAATACATAGTGCTTAGTGTCTATAGGTTCACCAATATATTACTTAATCAAAAATATTATATATTAATATATTCAGGGCTGCAAAATGTATATCTAAGCAAGTATACTGTTTCTGTGTTAAGCAAATGCAGCGGCCTAGGCTGGCTTAAAACTGTTTCAGACCTATTGCTTCAATGTGACCAATACTCTGTACCAATACCGATGCCTGATTCTACTTTATGGAACAGACAGTCATATTATCCACCCTGCGTTATAAATCTTTCAAAGGTCAAACCTCCATCTGACACCACAGGCACCTAGACACACCATTAGACAGTGAGATATTAGACTAGAGAAAATATTAACTGGTTTACTCCATAGCATTCAGATGTGTTGGTGCACATTGCAGGTGCATTACTCAATTGTCATGTGTTATGCCACTAGGCTAGGGGATATTAAACTAGGCTTTTCATGAATACAACTCATTCGTAAATGTAGGATCTAGATCCCATCTACTAAGAGCGTACTTGTTGCCACGGAGTTCATCTTTGAGTAGGTATGCACCACGAGCAGCAGCAGAACGCAGCACAACATCAAGAGGAGCAGCGACAGACATTAGTAACATATCTAGGCACAAAGATGGCCGACATAGCAGCCTAATATAGGTTCACTCTGACTGTGGAAAGGACAATCACAATTGGAGCTACTACAACGGTTCTACATATGTGATGCAGTGCTGACGTAGTACTACACAGGTACTATACATATGATGTAGTACTACACAGGTATTATTAATTGGATGTAATATTAGCACTACACAGGTACTATATATCTGATGTAGTACTACAAAGGTACTATTAATCTGATATAGTATTACACAGGTACTATACATCTGTAGGAGTCTAGAGAGATTGGAGTGACAAGAGAACCAATCCAACCAGAAAGTGGAAGGCCAATCCTGTGGGCGGATGGATACAAACCCAATGTGTTCTGTACAAGCCTCTTCAAAAGTAGACCCACCCGACACATGAGCTGTCGCTAGGCAACACTTCACTATAGTGCAATGACTGATGGAAGACAATGGGAATTGTTTTCTTTTCGGCTGGTCAAAGCTTTGTGTTAAAAGTCCCCTGAGTGGGATAGTGCAGATAGTCAGTAAACCCTCATCCCGTCATTACTGTTCCCTACAATTAACCAGTGGGACACCAACCACCATCTGTCTGTCTGTCAGTCCGTCTGTCAGTACCTCCTTTTCCCCAGCTTTCCAGTGTCCGTCATGCAGGTTTTAGGCCGAAGCGCTGCAAGATGGGAAAGCAAATATGGTTGTGGGTAATTATAGTGTCAAAGAAATTAAGGGTTGTTCACACACAAAAACAGACAAAACATCAAAAGAAAATGCGTTTTTAAATGTATTTACTCCCCATGCTTTTCAGCAGGCAGGGGGGACATTCATGCAGACGTTTTGTTGTATTTGGTATGTTTAAAAGACACCAAAACATCTGGGTTAATAATAGTGTAGAAATATCACCTCTAACAATATTGATAATGTAACAAGGTAGTTAAAGCTTTTTTTTTTTTTTTGCTTCTCACTGATTATTGTATTATACGTGATTTGCTTCTCACTGATTATTGTATTATACGTGATAATTTGAAATGTATATATACTGAACAAAGAAATTCTGACAATTGCATTGGCTACCTGGATCAGCTGTTTGTTTCTTCTTGTTGTGATGGACTATCTGATTCTCATTGGTCATCTTCACATCTTGGTCCTCCACATAGTTACTGCAAAACAAAAAAAGGAGGGAAAAACAAACCAGTTTCATTTCTGCCTCTGCATAATCTGGCCAGGTATATGAAAGGCAGGAGCACAGGAGCTGCGGAGGACACAAAATGGAGGACGGACAGACAACCAAGCTTGAAAATCCAAGTCTTATGTCCTACAAAGAAGCTACAGAGGTGGAGAGACAAAGAGTGACAAGGGACTAGGAGGTCTGTTGGAACTAGAAGGACTTGGCATCACAAGCTAAGCTGTGGGCTGGAGGTTGGGATGACTGGGGTGACATGAACGCAACCTGTTATAAACACAACATCAACCACAAGGGAGGGCTGACTGACACAAGGCTAATCAGGGACTCTGTTACTCACTGTTTCAGATAGTGATGTCTGCTACTACCTCGGGGGCTGGAGTAGAGAGAGCACATCTCCGTTTAACAAAGAGAAAGACTTCAGTGCCAATCACTCCCTGTTAGAACTAATAGGAATGTCCGTCCTTGAAAAGACATGAGAGTTCCTCCACTATGCTACCCAGTCTACTGCCATTTGAAACAACTCATTTTAATCAAATTGTATTTGTCACATGCTTCGTAAACAACATATGAATATGGTAAATGACTTCACATACTCTGCCACTATGAACACGTTGACAGCAGCTAGACAGAATGAAACAATAAGCGTGTGTGCAAATTGTTGTCCAAGCAGCCAAACCTATCTGCGCATGTGTGAATTTTGATGGACAGGCAGCAGAGCAAATCATTCGCTTATATCAGGCTGCAGCAGCCAATCCCATGCTGGGTTACCTGATTACAGTGTTCCTTTCACGGTGGGCGATGCAGGCGTTGTCGGTGAAGAGGATGGTGTGGTAGGGCACCACCGGGTCACAGGTGGGCAGGATGCCCCGCGCCGCCTGGCTCACGCTGTCCAAGATGCCATTATACACCAGAAGATCATCGACTAACAGCTACACAAGGAAGACACAAGGAAGGCTTACAGGCTTACATTATGCTACCCACAGGAGACTGTGGGAAGCATAGTGGAGGAACTCTCATGTCTTTTCAAGGACATACATTCCTATTAGTTCTAACAGTAAGTCATTAATTTATTAGCTCTTATTTTCACCCAGAAAGGTAAATCAGAGAACAGATTATTGTATACATAAAATATCTAGGGATATAGTAATATAGTAATAATAATAGTACTTTATTAGTCCACTGTTGTCAGAAATTATTAGTATTCTGCTCTGTTCCCAAGTCCTAAGATCTGGGTCTCTCTGATGAATATGGTCAGTGTTACTGTACTAAAGAGGAGAGAGAACAGGAGACTGACTTACCCCAAACTCCTTTACCCCCCTCTGTGGTGTCTTGGAGTAGTTCCACAGTTTGATCATGGACACGGTCACTGGCTGGTCAAATATAAGATACACGCGATTCACCAGTCCGGGGAGCACCGGTGCTAGCCACATGTGTCTGCCATCATGAGTGTTGTTCACTCCATCTACCAGCTTATCTGGAGTCCTTATATCACCGTTTACACTGTCCAGGACATTCACACTGTCTGGGAACGCAGCGATATCTAGGAGAAGCACTGTTAAAGAACGGACTCAGGCAAACTGTGTTCACTACTATGGCATTACCACTGCCATTTCCATTTCCTCCACTAGAGTACCCCCTTTTACTATTTCAGGGTAAATTACAACAAACTTGGTCCAGGAGCTTGGGTTCCTAATATACTGTATGGCCAAGCTGCAAAATAAAAATAGGCTATATCGTAAACATTTATGAAAACAAAAACTTGCTTTTTGGTTTTCATTTAAGGTTAGGGTTAGGCATGAGGTTATCAGTGTGGTTAAGGTTAGGGTTAGGCATGAGGTTATCAGTGTGGTTAAGGTTAGGGTTAGGCATGAGGTTATCAGTGTGGGTAAGATTAGGGTTAGGCATGAGGTTATCAGTGTGGTTAAGGTTAGGTTTAGGCATGAGGTTATCAGTGTGGTTAAGGTTAGGGTTAGGCATGAGGTTATCAGTGTGGTTAAGGTTAGGCATGAGGTTATCAGTGTGGTTAAGGTTAGGGTTAGGCATGAGGTTATTATTATTATATTATATTATATTATATTATTATATTATTATATTATATATTATGTTATCAGTGTGGGTAAGGTTAGGGTTAGGCATGAGGTTATCAGTGTGGTTATGGTTATGCATGAGGTTATCAGTGTGGTTAGGGTTAGGCATGAGGTTATCAGTGTGGTTAAGGTTAGGGTTAGGCATGAGGTTATCAGTGTGGTTAAGGTTAGGGTTAGGCATGAGGTTATCAGTGTGGGTAAGGTTAGGGTTAGGCATGAGGTTATCAGTGTGGTTAGGGTTAGGCATGAGGTTATCAGTGTGGTTAAGGTTAGGGTTAGGCATGAGGTTATCAGTGTGGTCAAGGTTAGGGTTAAGCATGAGGTTATCAGTGTGGTTAAGGTTAGGCATGAGGTTATCAGTGTGGTTAAGGTTAGGGTTAGGCATGAGGTTATCAGTGTGGTTAAGGTTAGGGTTAGGCATGAGGTTATCAGTTTGGTTGAGGTTATCAGTGTAGTTAAGGTTAGGGTTAGGCATGAGGTTATCAGTGTGGTTAGGGTTAGGAATGAGGTTATCAGTGTGGTTAGGGTTAGGCATGAGGTTATCAGTGTGGTTAAGGTTAGGGTTAGGCATGAGGTTATCAGTGTGGGTAAGGTTAGGGTTAGGCATGAGGTTATCAGTGTGGTTAGGGTTAGGCATGAGGTTATCAGTGTGGTCAAAGTTAGGGTTAGGCATGAGGTTATCAGTGTGGTTAGGGTTAGGCATGAGGTTATCAGTGTGGGTAAGGTTAGGGTTAGGCATGAGGTTATCAGTGTGGTTAGGGTTAGGCATGAGGTTATCAGTGTGGTTAAGGTTAGGGTTAGGCATGAGGTTATCAGTGTGGTTAGGGTTAGGCATGAGGTTATCAGTATGGTCAAGGTTAGGGTTAGGCATGAGGTTATCAGTGTGGGTAAGGTTAGGGTTAGGCATGAGGTTATCAGTGTGGGTAAGGTTAGGGTTAGCCATGAGGTTATCAGTGTGGTTAGGGTTAGGCATGAGGTTATCAGTGTGGTTAGGGTTAGGCATGAGGTTATCAGTGTGGTTAAGGTTAGGCATGAGGTTATCAGTGTGGTTAAGGTTAGGGTTAGGCATGAGGTTATCAGTGTGGTTAAGGTTAGGGTTAGGCATGAGGTTATCAGTGTGGTTAGGGTTAGGCATGAGGTTATCAGTGTGGTTAAGGTTAGGGTTAGGCATGAGGTTATCAGTGTGGTTAAGGTTAGGGTTAGGCATGAGGTTATCAGTGTGGTTAAGGTTAGGGTTAGGCATGAGGTTATCAGTGTGGTTAAGGTTAGGCATGAGGTTATCAGTGTGGTTAAGATTAGGGTTAGGCATGAGGTTATCAGTGTGGTTAAGGTTAGGATTACGGTTAAAATCAGATTTTAAGAAGATAAATTGTAGAACTAGGCAGGGTTTTCGACTTTGCAAGTTGGCCAGATAGTGACGACAGTAAAGGGAGAGCAGGCTTTCGTTCCACCCCAGCACTAAACAAACCTGTTTCAACTAATCATCACACCCTTGATCGACTGAATCATGTGTTTTCATGATGGGCTATAACGACAGCCTGTACACCCTGTGGATTTCCAGGACCAGGGTTGGTGACCAGTCTCAACCCAGACTCGAAGTCTCACGCTAGCTACAGTAGCTCAGCCAGTCAGGTCAAGTGAGACTAGCGACCACCAAGTGTAGATTGCAGCAGTGATGGTTCTCAGTGTGTGTTTGTGGTGTTTACATTGTAGGTAGGATACTGTTGTCACTGAGGGGGATCTTCTCGTCGTTCTGGTCATAGAACTCCAGGCCGTTCATGCCGATGTAGTAGGGATCACCCCAGGTGGTCAGCAGCTGCAGCTGGAAGATGACTGGTGGGTCAAGGGTTAAGGAAGAGAGACCTGGAGCCTTGCACACACTCAGGACTTTGGCAGTCATCTAGTATATTAGTGACTGTCCAGATCACAGTATCCTGGCAGGCAAAAGTGGTTGTAATGACATTGAATATGTAAAGTATGATTTTATGAAAGGCAAAACAAATAAAAATAATAATATATATTTGCCAATTTTATCCACTAAAAGGTGATTTATGTATTTTGTGGGTCAATTCTATCCACTCTTCGCATTATTTCTGCATGTCCATGTAAGGTGACTATGTAAGGTGAAATGTTATGTTAGTAAAGGCATACTGTATTCTGTGGGACTATTTCTTACGAGCAGCAGGAGGAAGGATACATCCACAAGGCATGATGGGGGCCTCATAGTCCATGCTGGGCTGCTCCTGTCTTTTGGAACCAGCTCTGAAAACCACACAAGACACAAACCTTAAGATTATATCTCATATTGTATTACAATACTGACCTTGAGCATATGAATTAGGCCGTGGCAATTTTTTAAAGCTAAGGATCCGGATCACGTTCTGCGCATGTGTTATTTTATGCACACATTTGTTTTTGATGTAGCCTATGTCTCTGCCTCATATTTCTGAACAGCTGAAATAAAAACCCTGAGGCGATTTGAACGAACATTCCAAAACATATATATATTATGAAGGTTACAACCTGTTTTGTAACAGATATTTCAGTTGCACAAGCAGGACACAGTCCCTACACTTTGGACACATTTTGTATGATGATATAGGCTAATCTTTATAGTTGCTGCCATATCGTAGTTCCTGAAAGAGGAACACCTGTCTGCCTCCTGTGCAGCTTAGCCAATGTTTAAAATTATGATGTAAAATTAATAATCCTGAAAATTTCAAGAACTTTGAAAGTTTCTTCAAGTGCAGTCGCAAAAACCCTCAAGCGCTACAATGAAACTGGCTCTCATGAGGACCGCCACAGAAAAGGAAGACCCAGAGTTACCTCTGCTGCAGAGGATAAGTCCATTATTGTTAATTGCTCCTTAGATTGCAGCCCAAATAAATGCTTCAGAGTTCAAGTAACAGACACATCTCAACATTAACTGTTCAGAGGAGACTGTGTGAATCAGGCCTTCATGGTTGAATTGCTGCAAAGAAACCACTACTAAAGGTCACTAATAAGAAGATGAGACTTGCTTGGGCCAAGAAACACGAGCAATGGACATTAGACCAGTGGAAATCTGTCCTTTCGTCTGATGAGTCCAAATGTGTGATTTTTTGTTCCAACCGCTGTGTCTTTGTGAGATGCAGAGTAGGTGAACGGATGATCTCCGCATGTGTGGTTCCCACCATGAAGCATGGAGGAGGAGCTGTGATGGTGTGGGGGTGCTTTGCTAGTGAAACTGTCTGTAATTTATTTAGAATTCAAGGCACACTTAACCAGCATGGCTACCACAGCATTCTGCAGCGATACGCCATCCCATCTGGTTTGCGCTTAGTGGGACTATCATTCGTTTTTCAACAGGACAATGACCCAAAACACACCTCCAGGCTGTGTAAGGGCTATTTGACCAAGAAGGAGAGTGATGGAGTGCTGCATCAGATTACCTGGCCTCCACAATCACCCGACCTCAACCCAATTGAGATTGTTTGGGATGAGTTGGACCGCAGAGTGAAGGAAAAGCAGCCAAAGAGTGCTCAGCATATGTGGGAACTCCTTCAAGACTGTTGGAAAATAATTCCTCATGAAGCTGGTTGAGAGAATGCCAAGAGTGTGCAAAGCCGTCATCAAGGCAAAGGGTGGCTACTTTTAAGAATATAAAATATATTTTGATTTGTTTAACACTTTTTTAGTTACTTCATGATTCCATATGTGTTATTTAATAGTTTTGATGTCTTCACTATTATTCTACAATGTAGAAAATAGTAAAAATAAAGAAAAACCCTTGAATGATTAGGTGTGTCCAAACTTTTGACTGGTACTGCAAGTGTTTGGCACAGTGCGGATAATGGACAGAATGCTATTTTACGAGACGCTAAAAGCTGGGCCGAACAGAACGAGTGTGCTCGAATACTCCCTTGAAAGACCTTCGCTTCAAAAATGTAGCCAGTATACACTTCCTCAAAATAGTCAGAATTAATCTAAAGATAACTCAGGAAATCTGTCAGATCTTAGCCGCGCAATTTTATATCTAAGATGTTTGGTGCAGTATTTTTCAATGAAAAAAACGAGTCGTCTCTCGTTGAATGACAACAAATACTTTATTGAAGAATCCCTACTGTTAACCAATCACAGACGAAGGGGCGTAGACTTCGGCTCCGAACTTGGGCTTGCCTCCAGAAAAATGTTGTGTGCCTGAACAGCCGAAAAAACCCTCACCGAAGTCCAAAACAAACAAAAACGTCACAAAATGTCGTCATAATATATGCATAAACTCTACCGAACTGTTTCGGCTGGGAAGCATGCGGACGCCTTAAAACAGTCTGATGAAATCACAACAGAGCCATTACTTTAAACACCTTCCTACTGGGAGGTGGCCAACAACTAGCCTGGTCCTAGATCTGTTTGTGCTGTTTTGCCAACTCTTTTGGTCATTGGCAAGACGGAACAAACAGATCTGGGATTAGACTAGCCTCCAAGTACTCACTTGAGTGTGTAGACCAGGTCCTCTGATGTAGTCTTGCTGTTGACCAGGCCAGTGGTGGGGTTCTGAAGGAAGTCGATGAAGAGGATCTCCTGAGCAAAGTCAAAGTGACAGTTCCCTGGTCCCTTCCTGATGAGGAAGCCCTCTGCTGGAGAGATGAGTGTATCGTCCAGAGACACATGGATCACCTTTACCTGGAGAACACAGGAATAGGGATAATAAGAGATGGGTATCTTAACAAATGTGTATCATGGTTAGAATTGTGTTTTTGTGGGGAATAGGGATTCACCCCTTACACAACATTCTCAGTAAATATTCAGAGATATTTAAAGATCTATGGCAGTAATTTGATATATTGTACATGCACCCTTATGGGGCATCGTATAGATTTGTACAACTACAATGCACTGCACATTTAATGACAAAACTCAGAAATACAAAGGCGACCTACAGGGCCCAGATATTTCTATTTCAATTGACACTTCCAGACTACTAAACCCAGGAAGTTCTCTATCTCAGTGACTAAACAAGTGACTCTCTCTCACCCCTCTGTAGGAGTCCTCTGGGGTCTTGTTGTAGTTCCAGATGCGGAGGCCAGCCACCGTCTGTGCCTTGTCAAAGTTCACTGTCAGGGTGTGGTGCTGGCCACAGAAAAATGGGATCAGCCACATGTGCTGGTCCTCAGTGGTGATGTTGTGGCCGTCAATGAGTCTGGACAGAGGAGAGAGACACCTCACTGGTTATGTACATGTCATTCTGCAGCGTAGTGGACATGGAAAGCTAGAATTTATTAGACACCTTGCTATACTTGGGACACTTTAGACTGCTTCCTATCCTTGCAGTAGGGGGACGTGTTCACTTCAGTTTAAAGAGGCATTATATATATATATTTTTTTTTACAGTGTATATTTTAGATGGAAAAAAAACGTGTAAAAATACATAATTGTTACATGTAAGGGTATAACATGATATTTGAAATTATTTGAAAAATACATAAAAAACTTTTAAATGTAGTTTTTATGACGGTGCATTGAGCTGCTGCTGTTTCAAACGCCACGTGACATTGTTTACGTTTTTCAGTGGTGGTTTTGCTGTGCACTGTTGTTGTGCCTACAAAGGGCTATTCTACAAAGCCGAATCAACTTTGATAAGCAACCAGAAAAAAACGATAGATTTTATGGTTAATTGAAAAAGCTAAACTTCGATACAGCATGTCTTTTCGTTTGTTAAACTAATTAGACCATTTCCATTTCAAGCTTATCTTTCTACAAAATAAAAAATGATATCAGAATATTTAGGCAAGTGATTGCGTTTACGTTTTAATTTTCCCTCTCTCATGTTGGGTTTTACATGAAAAGGCTACTTTTGTACGCATTTCCGCAGCAGGCGCAATGCTAACGGAGGTTCCACTGACACAGATCAATGCAAAAACTCGCCAGAAAACATTTGATCCATCCATTGACGTATTGAATTGCAACACTATAGGTTTGCTAGCACTAGCAGCCGCCGACAAGTTATTTCGTTTACAACGTTAGCCGTAATGGCAAACATCACGCTTCATCTCTCACAGCATCGCTTCTATGACATGCCCCTTTTTTGCGACGCGGACACTCGATTTCAGAACCTTGGACAGCAGCCGATGTACACAACCATAACCATAACCGCCTTGAAACCAAAGCCTACAGCAAAACAAAGCATCTTTATATTTCAATCAACAAAGAAACTATTGAAAATTATTTTCACGATCACAACAAAGACATCTCAAAATCAAATAAATGTGATATTGCTCAAGTTTATAGACACACATAAACCTAATGTCGATCGATGCACAATGCTGTTGACTGAGTGGGAAAATGTAGCCTGGCTTTTTTATGCATTTCAATTGGCTATAATTTTTCCATTTCATTTTCCACAGGCACTACTGACCCTTCTAATAAGAACTCAGTGCCAAGACATAATCTGCTCAGACTGTCTCCTGATCCAACTCCTGATTGCTACCCAGTCACCATGGGAAATGTGCAGTCTTTCTCGCCCAGCTATCAGAAGGCGGCCGGAGATGGGCCGGTCACGGTGGGCCACGACACGGCCGCTCAGAACTGCAAGAACGCCAAAGACAAGAACTAGAAGCGACACTCGCTCATCAACAAGAAGCAAAAGAAGGGCTCCAAGAAGGTGCAGCCCAAAGAGAACAACGTGACCCACCTCAACAACGAGAACCTGGAGAAGCCTCAGTCATGCACCAACCTGTCCACCCTTACCCAGGACCAGTATCCCCCAGACCTCATTGAAAGCTCCGACAACGCCGCCCTGACCAACTCCAACACGGCCCCCGACATGTCCAAGAGGGTGATGGTCAAGGTCTTCCCTGACGAGATGCTGCGCTGCCTGGGTGAGTTCCTGTGCCAGGACTGCTACCGGCTCCAGAACCTGTCCCCCAACGACCCAGGGCTGTAGCATCAGAGCGTGGACCGCTTCCTGCTCGACCACGGCTGGGGGAACCAGAGCACCCTCACCCCGGCCAACATTTATCTATACTGTAAGGTGGTCTCCTATTAGGCGGGTACGGAGCACCAGCTGCAGGACGTGGTGATCACCTGCCTCTACCGGACTTGCTCCTACATGGGCAACGAGACCTCCTACCCACTGAGACCCTTCCTGGTGGAGAGCTCCAGGAACATCTTCTGGGACCGCTGCCTGTCCATCATCAACCTAATGAGTGCCAACATGCTCCAGATGAACACGGACACACACTATTTCTTCCGACCTAAAAAACAAGATCCAGAAGGAGGAGAGGAGCCGCTTGCTCATCGGTCTGGACTGGTGAGGGGCCCCGGGGAGAGGGGCCAGGAGAGGGCAGGGGCCTTCTCCATTCTGGTATTTCAAAATGGAGGGAGGAGGATTGGTTGAGGGAGTACGAAAGGGAAGAGGAGAAAATATGATTAATAGATTTTGAGGGTTAATATGAGGGCCTACCAGCAACCCATGACTGTTTAACTGACTGTCTAAGATGTGCACGGCCTACCACGGGCTAGTGCCTACCACTGGGCTAGTGCTCACATCACACTGAGACCGCATTCTACCAGCCTACTATTCTGACTGTCTAAGATGTGCACGGCCTACCACGGGCGGGTAGATGAGCACTGCTATATATCGAAACAAAGCTGTAATAAACATTGAAACGACAGACACATAAGAGTTGGAGTCAGTTGAATAGAATCCCTTGCAACGCTCTTGTTGGCTTTGTTGATGATGTTGTTGACAAGTTAATTAGATAACTTTGGCGTTTCATGACTTAGAATACATCCTGTGGTCAGAGGGTATGCAGTTAGATCCATCTACATTGTCAGCGTTGTAAGGTCAGACACACACACACACACACACTACTGACTTGTCGAGGGTGCGTGTGTCCTGGCCGTACTCAGGCAGGTCGTTGAGGTCCCGTGGCGAGGCGTTCACCATGGTCAGGTCCAGAGGCAGGCTGTCCCCCTCCTTCCCCACCACCTCTAACCCCGTCATGCCCAGGTAGTGGGAGTCCCCCCACGTCATACTCAACTCTATCCTAAGGCCTGGAAAGAGGGATGGGGGGAGAGAGAGAAGGAGAGAGAGAGCTTGGAGAGTCAGTGTGGAACAAGCTGAGCTAGCTACATTTTACAGACATAAAATGCCAGTCCTGTGTGTAAAATGTGTGAATTGATCATGAATAACACTAATTTAGAAGGGAGTCCTCACATTTTCCATTGTACATTCCTGGGATCTGCTCCAGGGTCTCCTCAGACTGACCAACAGTAGGGTTCAGATGGAGGTTTAACTGAAAATGGCAGCGAATAGAAATCAGAAATGTTAGTGTTGGGCTGGAACAAAACCTGCACGTCCTGTATCAATCCAGGCGTTCCACATTTACACTGTATAGTCCCATTCAGTCCGGTCATACTCACAGTGAGGTCGTCCTCGGGTCTGAAGCCAGCCTGGGTGAAAGGTCTCTCCTCCCCCTCTCCGTCGGCCGTGCGGGGCCTCTGCAGCTCCTCCTCATACCCCACCAGCCCCTCAGAGCCCTTTGCCTCCCCGCAGAACGTCTCGTCATAGCGCGACATGGCCTCCAGGATCTCATCGTCCGTGGTGAACAAGATGGTGTCCCCGAACTGGTCCAGACCTAAGACGAGAGGGGTGGAAGTTAGGAATGAGTATGAGTAATCCCTAGTGGAGGTAGAATTCCGTTTGTTAGAGGCAAACAGGTTTTCATGCTTGGACAACAAATGACACTAAACCTATTTTGTCACCAAACAAATGCTGTAGTTCTATAATCTAATGTAATAGTTATATTGTCATAATTATAATGTTCTTATGTCATTCCCAGATTGCATTTTGGTGATTAAAATAAATTGTGCATCCTCACAAGTCAAGTCAGTTTTCCATGAAAGCAATTCAGTTCACCAGGAATGGTCTAATCCAGACCTTTTTTGAATAAACTATGCGCAGAGGGGGCGTTTCTTGGACACAGATTAAGACTAAGAGAAGGACAAACTTAATCGCTTTCATGGAGGACTGGCTTGAATTGTGCAGATTTATTTATTTTTATCATAAGCAAAAGCTATTGGTTTTCTACCCAAAGTTGCAAAGACAATGTTGTGATCCATTTAATAAACACAAGAGACCAGCAAAATGGATAAAAGGATGTGGCAGTAGCAGGAACAGCGACATCTAGTGGGTAAAACCTGGTACATTACATACAGCTTCATACTACTTGTCAAACACAGAGAACTGATTCTGTATACTGGATGTTGGGGTGGGCTTGGCGTGGGGTTTGTGGGGTTAATCATTGTTAAGAAGAGGTTTGGTCCAAATCGGATGTTCAGTACTATACTTATAGAATATTATATGAATCCTATAAATTGAAATGGCCAATTTGGGTGTGATCAATTAGTTGAGTTCAAATAGTTTTCAACAAAATAATGTTGCAGGAGTGCTTATCTTATCTGTTTCTAACTACAGAAACCATTTCAGAACAATCTGAGATGGTGAGTGTCATGGCTTGCTGAAATGACATAGAACGACCCATTTGGGTGTCATGGGAGAGAGCCTGTCCCTCACTAATGCTCCCCTACCTCCAGACAGAGTCCCTGACGCCTTGGCGATCTCTCCCCTGAAGATGCACCTCCCATCCAGCAGCATTTCAGCTTCCTTCACCCCCCGGAAGGAGTGGATCCTGGACTTGTTGTAGTTCCACACTCTTATCATGGCCACCTGACACAGCCCGGCGAACTCCAGGTAGATCACGTGACTCCTCCCCTGGGTGAAAGGTGCCAGCCACAGGTGCATGTCGTCCTGTGTGAGGTTGACGCCATCGATCAGGTTGGTGACCACACGCGGGTCCTTTCCGTAGGCAGGCAGCACGTTGATATCAGGCGGGTCGGCGCGGATTCGGGTGGGAAGGAGGGGCTGACCGCTGGAGCTGAAGACTTCGAGACCGTTGAGGCCCACATAGTGGCGATCGCCCCACGTGGACAGGATTTTAATGACCAGACGTTGACCACGTGGGAGGACCGGAATCTCAAACTCCTCCTCGCGCTCCGCCTCGGCGGAAAGGTCATCCTCTGGGTCATCGCAGAGGCCCCCTTGAGGGGCGGGGGAGGAGAGGTGGGAGGAGTGGGGGATGGGGCTGCAGGGGGAGGCTCCTGGGCCGGAGGAGGGGATTATGGCAATAGTGGCGGCTCTGGAGGAACGCTGGAGGAACTCGTCAAAGATGTCACCCTCAAAGCTCATGTTGGAGATGCGACCACGCTGGCACTGGTTGAACTTGGTGAGGGAGTCCCAGGACTCCATGAGGGTGTCGTCATGGTCCTGCTGGCTGCGGAGCTGGGCCCGGGGGGGACGCTGCTGCCTCCGGTTGCTGCTGTCTGATACTGAACCTGGCTCCTCTGTGGAATCAACACACACACTCTCATGTTACCTCCAAGACACGACAGAGTACATAATAAATGTGTAGTTAAGAGCAATGGGAAGAAAGCAAGCGTATTTTTGGCCCGTTTCATAAATTGTGGTACTACTCCATATAATTTTGAGAGTAGGATTTCTACTACTAAAGTTATGGCTCGCAATAATCCTTCTATTTTTAAAAATTTTTTTATATACATATTCCAGATATATAGAAGATAAAAGTAATGGTAATGTTTATGTAATTTTCACACAAAATAGCCCAGCTCCGACAGCTGGTGTGATGCTGGTCAAAGACTCTTTGACCCACTTCAGGGAGATATGTCCACAATAGATATTGTCAGAGCCAGCTGGCACGTGCCATGTGTGTTAGTGTGTTTCCAGATTGCAGGAAAATGACCCATAACTAGAGGGTCTGGCTGGGAGTCTGTTGTCAGGGAGATAAAGAGAGATTATTATAGGATGTAGATTTTATGTGATGCAGTAATCTGTCTGCTCTATAATCTTATTTAAAAACAAAGATATGTCTGGTCTGCCGTTGACAAGACAAAGGGGGTGGGGGGGTGGAGGAATCATTATTGAGTTGCAAAACTAAGGCAAGTAGACAAACAGGCTCCCACTAGAGATTATTCTGTCTCTGACCTTAAGACGGTTACATGAACTCAAATGAACGTCTCGTCTCTTTCCTGCACAGCAGAGTAGATAAAGGAGCTGCAAAAGTATGGAATGGCTCACAATAGGTCCTAGGACCACACAAGCACATAGCATACACACAGGGTTAGCTACCTATGGACAGTCCAATGGCTCCATGCTGGTGCTCCACTGCTGGTTTGCTGCTGCTAGTACTAGTGTTATTATGCCTGGCTGAGCTCCTACGTCCACTAACAGGTTGGTCCTGGCGCTGCTGGTCATTCAGCTCCTCCAGCAGGTCACCTCCCAGGTCCAGAGAGTCTGCACTCCCCTGGCCCCCGTTCACCGTCCTCTCCACCCCACGACACACCCTCCCTGGGTTACAGCCCAGCTCTGGGAGCACTGAGGTGGAGGTGGAGGAGGATTGTGGGAGGGAAGGTTTGGACTCCACAGATTGCTGGGGCACTAGCCAGAGGGGCTTCTCCCTCGCAGCCTCGCAGCCCTCTGGGGCGCTCCGGGACATGGGCTGTAGCCACTGGGGAGTCCTGGAGGAGGAAGGCTGCGTGGTGACTGTGCACTCTGTGGGTTGACCCGACTGCTCCAGCTGCTGTTTCAGAGGGGGGTGGGGAAGGTCCAGTTCCGGAGGGTCCATGTCAATGGAGTTCCTCTGTAGGAGACGGTGTGTAGATGTGGGGGCGATGGGGGAGAGGGGGTTGTAGGTTTTATCCTGCAAGTCTATTCTGACCTGGGCCAGCCCCTCAGAGAGAGTGAGTCCGTGGTTGGGGTTGGGGTCACAATGGTGCCCTCCGCTGTTCCCCTCCACGTTCCTGTCATAATGGCGCTGTGGGCTGGCGCCACAGAGAATGTGTCCGGACACCACGGGGCTGGGAGAGAAGGATTCTGGGACTTGGAGTGCCTGGAGGGCAATGCTGGTGCTGTAGTCGAAGACCTGGTTGCCACAGCCCTTGTCCAGCTCGCCTTCGAACACCAGCGTGCTGTTGAGGTAAAGATTCACATGCCGGGCGCCAATGTCCAGGTCCTGAAAAAGAACAGTACGGCTATTTCAGGCTCTAAGCAGCGCAATATTTAGTTAATACATTGATATTGGTAGACCGTATAAGAAAATTAACATTAAAACAAACTCCAAGTCTAATACATTTAAATAAAAAATGTAGAGGTGAAAAAGCTCGATCAACATTGAAACTGAAAATCACACCACACTGTTAACCAAGGAGCTTCCTAGTTGTAGGTCCCAATGTTCTTTCTTCAATTTACCCACAGGTATGTAGACATATATACCTGTGGGAAATTAAGCTAACCGTGCAGACATAGTCAACTGTAAAGCTAACCGTAAGTAGCCTCCTTACCAACACACGCAGACAGACATAGTGGATGGCTAAAACCAGACTCAAATCTCCTCAATCCCTGCTCATTAAATCAGTGTATCCCCACCCCCTGGATCCAACCGTATCACACTGCTCCTTACCTCGCAGCTTAAAACACCACCAATACCTAACAAAGGACTCAATGAACAGAGACACGGTTAATATCAACCCATAACATCCATAGTTCCAGACAGATCCCTGGTTGCCTGGGCTTTGTGCCCCCGTCCGTCCCCTTTGTGACAGCAGCTGGGCGGGAGGCAGGAGCAGTCACCCGGGCGTCCCTTCACTAATCCTCCAGGGTTAATCCCTCACTGTTCCACATTTGGACAGACTGGCAGCTCACATAGCCACTGGTTAAACGCAACTACCCTCCCTCCCAAAGCCTGCTGCCAATATGGGGTTCACCCTCTACAATGACTGGGGCTGGCTGAAGCAAGCTGGATTTATGAGCAACTGTTAATGGTGTGTATTTTTGTAAACCCTGATCTAGGACTGGCGTGATGAACCAATCAGGCTGCATATGTAAGGGTTGCACATATAGTAAGTGCTAAGAACTTAATATACTTAAGTACCATTTCTATCAGATTCCATTCGAATCATCACCTAATGCAACCCTTTTTTACTATAACTGGCAACCTACTGGCAACCTCTATTGCAAAGGCTCAGGTCAAAAGTAGTGCACTACATAAGGAGAAATAGGGTGTCAGTCTGGTCTCTTACATTGATGCTCTTGTTGTAGTTCCAGATCTTGATCCGGGATATCTCAAAGTCCGGAGAGCGCTCCGTGTTCCTAATGATGAAGTAGAGCTGGACCGGAGGATGGAAAGGACAGGTCCACATATGACGCTCCTTCGTGGTCTGGTGGTCAAAACAACACACAACAACATATAGAGAAAAGCAGTCAGTTTAAATCAGAAAATAGATGAATACATTCACTTAAAATGACCAGAGACCCAATATAATCTGGCAACACTTTGAATACCATCCTAACAAAGCATAATTCAGAGTCCAAAGCCACGATAGTCCGGTGGCCCATTGTGACATAGCTACTGAGACACCGTCCGCAGAGGACGCACATCTCGACCGCGCACCTCCCCAAAATTCCCAACCAAAGTTGGTTCCGTGTACGCGTCTTCTATTCATTTGAATGGGGTGACGGTTGGAGAAATAGCTTGAGCTGCGCTGAGAATTTGAAAAGCATGAAAGCCAACGGTCCAATATTCTAGAACATTGCTGTGCGGACATACACATTCTGAACTATGATAAGCGCTTATATGCATATTAAGCATATTTATATCACCTTATGTGCTATGCAAAATGCTTTATCATGCACAACATAGGCTAATAACAGCTCATAAGCTGTATAATGATTCCTTATGAAGCAAAGTGTTCTAATGCCTTTATAATGGATCCCTCTAAAATGATGTATAAATATTAAATATGCACCATCACCTTTCTAAATAGTTCAATTATTGTTATCTTAAAGGCTTGGGGGCAGAACTCAACTCACTTTAGCTTTCCCGTTGACCAGCGCTCCGAGGTTCCCAGGGTAGTCGGCGTTCCGGATGTCCAGGTCGTGTGGCGACACGTACAGCTTCCTGTTCCCTGGGCCGAAGAACTGCATCTCCGTCAGCCCCACCTGGCCCCTGTTCCCCCAGTTACTTAGGATCTCCATGGTGACGTATACGGTGGGCGGTGCCTCGGCCGAGACCCGCCTCTTCTGCCACCATGACAACAACAGAACTTCATGAGTCAAGCCAAGCTGTCACTTCATACAGTGTATTCTTAGCATCAGAGATATAGAATTAGAACACTATTAGATCTCTCTGTGTGTCTCCCTCCCTCTATGTTTAGCCTCACTGTTTGTCTCACCTAGTTGTTTTACGCTTAGTCATTCCTAGCCCTGGTATTTGATGGAGTGACTCACCGGTGGTTTGCTTTTGTCCGTTTTCACTGTCTGAGGGATGTCAAAGTTTGTGCCTGCCTCCAGTTTCTCCAACGCCTTTAGTAGTCTCTGCTGTTGCCTGGAAGAAAATGATTAGTCATCTATTGTATTGTGTCTTTCATCACATCAATAGTCTTTGACCTTGCTCTTGGGGATTATCTATGGAAATGTATGCATGGTCACTGACAGTTATCGAAGACTACAGCTACAGCTTTGGTGACTAAATCTGCTTCAAGGTCAGAGAGGTTAGGTTACCACTGACACGTTTCTGATTGTTAGAGAGCCTCGGTAGGAGGTATACAATTACTGGTGCTCTTGTGCCGTCCTCCAAGACGTACTGCATTACTACGAGTTTTGTACTGTACTGCACAGTCTGTCCATGGCGTTCTGATCCCAGCAAGGGAAAGCACACAGGCATGACGAAGTTAGCGACGCCAGTGTCATTCTAACAAGTGTCACCAGACAAGACTACGTTTGGCCACATCCCGATATCCATACCTTATAGATGGTTTCTTTCTCTGTAGTATGCTAGTGTGGATACTATTGGAACATAGCCATTCATAGTTTTTTTTCCTTTGTGACAGTCAAGGATAGTCAAGGGATTTGTATAGACCCGGATCTGGTCCGCAAGCCCATTCAATGCGGCCCGCGGGTGCTTTGAGTAAAAAATAAACAAAGGTTTTGGACAAAAAAAAAATATTTGTAAAAACAACCTCATTCTACATTAAAATGACTCAAACCAAATCGAAACTGTTCAGACATTATATTGGACTTACATTTATAAAGTCTCTACACTCTTTCCAGGTTGCTAAGAATCACCAAAACGAAAGCGGAATAGTCAGGGAACATCGAAAATTCCAAAAACGATTTCTTGCACATTGAGAAAATATAACACATTTTCAGTGCGGCTCTCCGGACCTCGGTGAAGACCGAACGCGGCCCGCGAAGCAAAATGAGTTTGACACCCCTGGTATAGATTTTAGTCATTTAGCAGACGCTCTTATCCAGAGCGACTTACAGGAGCAATTAGGGTTAAGTGCCTTGCTCAAGGGCACATCGACAGATTTTTCACCTAGTCGGCTCAGGGATTTGAACCAGCGACCTTTCGGTTACTGGCACTACGCTCTTAACCACTAAGCTACCTGCCGCCCTGTATAGACTTAGACAGTAACTACGATTTCGGTCCTTTTTCCTCTCCATGTAGTGGTTAAGGATCAAGCCCTAACGCATAGTATGCAAGGACACTAGTGTGTAACGTTGCAGTACGGTACCTGGGTCCCATCAGGGTGATTCTCTGCATGGCTCTGGTCACCCCACTTTCCTTGTCGTCATCGTCGTCACGCAGCGAGCCGTTCATCATCTGGTGTCCTCTCACCTGTGGATTTAAAATGGAGGAGCACAATGGAGTAAGACTTAAAATGGAGGAGCACAATGGAGTTAGACTTAAAATGGAGGAGCACAATGGAGTTAGACTTAAAATGGAGGAGCACAATGGAGTTAGACTTAAAATGGAGGAGCACAATGGAGTTAGACTTAGAGAGGATAGTAGCCTAACCAGGTTGAATTAAAAGTAGAAAAGATGAGAAAATAAGAGAGATTGGGATAGGCTAGGACGTAAAACATGAATCATTACAGCAGACCGATTCGAAGAATATAACACAACTCACTAGTGGACCCAGAACAGCAAACCCTTGATTGTGCCCATAGATATAGAATTACATTAATTAATTATATTTCTATGGTTGTTATCTAGCCTACCGGGGTGCGGCTGAAGGCCCTGGGCTCGGGGCTCTGCAGTGGGCTGTTCTCTATCTGCAGGGCTTGGAGCACCCTGCACGCCGTCTCCTCTGAGTCGCGCTCCTCTTGGGAGACCTTCCTCGCTGCAGACAGGGGGCGCTCTACACGACTCCTCGGCCCTGAGAGAGAGAGGGTGGGGGAAGAGACAGAGAGAGGGGGGAGAGGGAGAGAGAGGGGGGAGAGGGAGAGAGAGAAAGAGTCATACTCTTGAAACACAGTTCAGGGACCATTGTACACTTGACTGTTGTTTACTATTTGACAGCTATTTTCTAATAAGGCTTCTTGGGTTTATGAATGACATGCATACAGGGCAGAACAGAACATACGTTGAGGATCTCTGCCATCCCTGCACTCCTTTGAAGAGGGCCTGTCCAGAGTTTTGCTCTTCACCAGCAGAGGCTTGGTGGGGACGTAGGCTTCCATGTTGTCTTTCCGCTTGGCTGACAACGAACGCTCGATCTTCTGGCCTGCAACACAATGGAAGAAAGGTCTAAGAGGTAAGATAATAGAGTCTGAAGCAAATTCCAGGCTGCATCTCAATAAAATCTCTAAACAGGCATCTTCTACAAGTCTCCTTCCCTTCAACGGCAATGATATAAAACATCTGGATGGGTAAATCCTCAGTAGGCATCCAACATATTGCTTTCACCTATCCTATCATTTAAGATCAGTGCAAATGAAGGGGGGGACAAGGAAAGGAAGCCACTTTAGTTGAATGTTAAGATGCATCCTTGGCTGAATAACATGAATATATTGTAATCTGTATTGTTGGGATTACCTTTAGGAGAGGGCCCAAAGTCCAGCACCATGAGCTCTGCAGGGTCGTGAAGGCAGCCTTTGGGCCCAGTGGCTCGCGGATGGTTCATGTTAGTAGATGTTTTGTTGGAGGAGGAAGGAGGCAGGCCTAGCTCCTCCAGGCTCTCCGTGCTCTCCTCCCTCTCTATCTGCTCCTCCACCCACTCCTCGTCCGACTCCTCCCCCGCCGACCCCCGGCTGCCGCTGCTCCTCCGCACGCTCACCTCCAGGCTCCGTCGAAGCACCTGAGCCCCAAAAAAAACACCAGGGGTATGTTCAATTGAGTTGAAACGGAAATGAAACTGGTCTTCTTATCAGACAAGCACAGGCTTTTCCTCCTCAGCTTAAAAAAGTTTTCATCCCGTTTTGTGACCAAATGAAGGCGACTCAGCTCTCACTTTCACGCCACTGCACCATATGTAACACAAACCACAAACAGGGTTTACACTGAGCTATAGCGCAGGTTGAAGAAACAGGGCAGTTATACATTTTATGTGCCTTGATTTATAATGCGCTGAAGGGAATGTCTGCTTGGCGTAAGAGGAAATGAAGAACGTCGTAAATTAAGTCAGCACTCTCTGGATAGAATTCAATGATTTACGGCGACATGTAATCTGGTGAGATGGAAATGGTGAAGATGGCTGTATTTCTTGCACTTTGGTAGCCTGGATCAGTGTCTTGGATAGAGAGAAGAGGAGAGAAGAGGAGAGAGAGAGAGAGAGAGGAGGGAGAGAGAAACAGCTGACGTCTCACCTTGACCTCGTCGATGTTCAGTAGGACCCGTTCGTTTTTATGTTCAGGCTCCGCCTGGCTACCTCCTCGGCCATCAGCCCTGGAGCCAAACGAACATGACACCTTACAGGAGTTTCGCAGGGGGCTACGAGGAGAACGTGGACTCGACCGCTGGAGAGGCACAGGGTGAAGAAAGAGCAGAGTGAGATGCAATCACGCAAACTCAGACTGACTGCTGTATTTCACACAGAGATGCTGGCACACACTATCGAAATGTGGCAAAGAACACTGGACACCCACGCACGCATGAGCCTGGTGGGAATTATATATCATATAATATATACCATTTAGCAGACGCTTTTATCCAAAGCAACTTACAGTCAAGCGTTCATACATTTTACTTATGGGTGGTCCCGGGAATTGAACGTTACAAGCGCTATGCTCTGCCAACTGAGCTACAAAGGACCATTGTTTTCTTCCTACTGTACCTCCATCTCTATGCTGTCGTAGGGTTCAAAGTCTTCAGAGTACCGTCTCTCTGGAGATATCCGCAAACAGGGTCCTTGTTCTGTTTGAATATTGACCGACTTCTGCAAAGATTAAAATACAACATTATTCTAAACAAAAACACTACATTCTATTCCATTTGTGACCATCTATGTCTATGATCGTTGATTTGTTCACTAAATCTATATACATCAGGGTTAGGCTGTGTAAAGACCATTAGAAATAGAATGACTAGATACTACAGAAATAGAATGACTAGATTCTATTTCAACGGTGTAGACTAACTAGAATGGCGATACCTGAACCCATTCTCTCCTCTGCACTTTTCCCGGGGCGGTGTGACTCCTCTTGCTACTGTTCACCTCCAGATTGTGGATCTCCTCCTCTGCTAGCTGCAAACCCCTTCTGGAGGCATCTGGTGATGAGTCAGAGGCAGGGAGAACAGAGACACTGCACATGAGCAGTCAAGTCTGCCCTCAGAGGAAGAGCAGAGGAGAACAAGACACAGATGGTTCCATAGCACACAGAGGAGGAAAAATGGCCGCTGGTTACGAATGTCACTTATTATCATTTATTCAACGGCCGTGGGCATAGGATTATACTATACTAAATGCTAACTGAGGGGTGGGATGGTTTTCAGGGATGCTACGAACATTAGCTTAGTCATAAAGTAGTAATAAACAGGGACAGAATCTACAATAGCCTAACCAGGATTTAGTATTGTAGCAGAGATGGTTTGTAGGTTATACTCAGCTGTTGATCGACACTGAAATCATGTATTTTAGTGCTAAGTGTTGGCAGATCTATTTTAGTCCTGCATGCTGTGTACCAGCCGTGTGTGTAGCTCTCAGAGCCGGCGGTGGCGAGGTGGCAGACTTCTGGTTGGGTCTCTTGGTCAGCTTGCTAGCGTTAGCGCCATTCAGATAGATGGAGAAGCCCTGCTCCAGACGCTCTAGCTCGATCTCCTTGGGCTCTTTCGTTTTCAGTCTCTTTAAGATCCTATGGGTCAAAGGTCAAATCATCACTAGGAAATACACACAAGTGGTTTATGAATCTACAGTTGAAAATGAGATGAAAAAACATGTTTTAAGTCTGTTTTCATGTTTTTTGCATGCGTGCGTGAGAGCATCATGTTATATATGCAAGCAGGTCAAACGAGCGAAGCCTAATCCCTAGAAACCAAATTGTCCTCACACAGTTTGCGTGTCAGTGTCACTCATACATCATTGGTGTCATTCAATCTCTCAGCACGAGCAACCAACCAAAGTCTACCCTATATGTGTGACTATAAGCCTATTGACGGTCAGCTACTGTGTCCTCTCAGTGTAACCGGAGCTGCCTCTCCCAAAGGCCCATGCCTGCCTCACAGTTCACCTGTTTTTGTGCTGAAGGGCGATTAAATATTCATCCAGTATCTCTTCGGCAGCCAAGCCTCCCTGACTCCTCTGGTTCTCCTTCACAGATAGGTAGACAACAACAGGAAGCAGTGTCAGACAGAAAAGCAATGCGAACATGTACAGTATCACAATTCACTGGGTCATGCTGCAATGATTCTTTTGAGAAGAGGTGCAGAGTCTTGAATCAAGCTAAATCATTAACCCTGTTTATCGTCATAGCCTAGGTGACTAGCCTTCATATGGAGTAAATACAACCCAAGGTTGAGATGACACGTCGACATTTTGACAAATAGTGTGGCCATAATCTTCGGTTATCGATATGGAAATCCACAAATTCTTCTTTAAGTTAAAAGTCCATACAAATTACTTTATACTCCTCGCCATCAGCATGGAGTTCAATAATAAGAGATAGGCCCTAAATTAAATAGGTTTATTGTAAGACACAAGAAACGCTAAAATGCTGCAATACGTTTACTTACCATAGACATAACATTGAAAGACAGAAAGGATGTTCTGGTAGCAAATATAGAGTGAACTCTATAGTCATGCGCTCAGTCTACTGAAGTTGAAATGTGATGAGAAAAACAAAAACAGATAATGTCAAATGATAAGATAACTTCAACCATTTTGAATGGGAGTATGTTTAGCATCAGACTGCGTCTTTGAAATGAAGATAATGGATAGGCTATGAGGATTGTATTCTGGTTTAAGTATTGACAATAGCAAGACATTCAATATAACCTAGCTAGCAAATTCACAGGCTCATGCAGGTTGTGAAAGGGGCGATTCCACGCCAGCGTAGGCCAAAAATATTTTGGGTATTTCAGATTGTTCTGGCAATTCTCACATAGAAACTTCATTGCCAGGAAGGATGTTTGACATGCTTTTTACATTTGTCTCACAAACCATATTTTTAGAAAATCATGATTAAAGTGGCCATTTTAGGCCCTTTTTTTAGACCTATACATGCCTCCTGTATAATAATAATAATATGCCATTTAGCAGACGCTTTTATCCAAAGCGACTTACAGTCATGCGTGCATAATTTTTTTTTTTTGGGTATATGGGTGGTCCCGGGGATCGAACCCACTACCTTGGCGTTACAGCTGAGCTACAGAGGACCTTATGATCCTTGAACCGTACATGATACAGACAACATCTTGGTGTTATCATACTCCTTATAGTGTGCTCTCAAATATGGAGTATGTCTAGATTCTTAAATACACATTTTTAATTTATTCAACATTATATTCATAATAATATTACCATCAAAAGTACCCTTTTTGATTTTGTTAATTTTAAGACATTGTTTGGAACAATATACTCTACAAGTACATCACATTTCCAGAGTGGGCTCTCTGCTAATTCTAAAGTTATGATACATTTTACGAGCACCACCAACACCATAAATGGGAAAATGGATTAAAAAAAGAACTCCCTCTGCTGGTGATTTGCTGAATCCTAAAGGAGGGCTGTGATTGGTTAATTACCTATAATTTCAATATATATGTATAAAACGGGTCATATCATTAAAAGAACCAGAGAGCCCACTCTGGAAATTTGACGTGTTTGAATAGTAGCCTATATTGTTCCAAACAATATGTCTAAAAGTATACAAATCAAAAAGGGTACTTTTGAGATACATCATTAATATATTTTATGTTTAATAAATTAATGTGATTTCTTTTTATTTCAGAATCTATACACACTCCATATTTGAGAGCACACTATAAGGAGTATAATGAAACCAATATGTTGTCTGTATCATGTATGGTTCATAGATCATAGGGTCTTACAGCAGGCATGTAACTTTATAGGTCTAAAAGAGCCTAAAATTGCCACTTTCATCATACATTTTCTCAGAAACGGTTTGTGACACAAATGTAAAAAGCATGTCAAACATTCTTCCTCCCAATGAAGTTTCGATGTAATAATAGCCAGAACAATCTGATACCAAAAATATTTTCGGCATATGCTGGAATGGAATCATCCGAAAAGAGGATGAAATCACTAGCTCTCTTACATAAATCTAGCAGCCAACTAGGCTTCAACATCTGCAGGAGCACTGGAGGAGCAGGGGGAAAGATGAAGGAAGAAAAGAGAACAGCAGCATAGATGCACTATATCACTTGAACCAGAATCTGGCCTTGCAGGAGATGTTGGTATGGCGAATCTCCTTTAAACCCAGGAAGCAGCCATTCAACAGCTTTCCAAGCGTAATAATGTCAAAAAATAAATTCGTTCCTCACCAAATATGGAGTTTCGATTAGCAACTATCTTCATTTACTGCCGTCACGGCTGGTATGTACTTTCATAAAAGTTCTAAATAAAAAGTTACATGCAACTGAAAAAATGCCTCTTCGACACCTCCAATGGCTGCCGACCTGTGCATGGCAGTACATTTAGTGCAATCCGAGATCAATTGGGACGTGAGTGATTGGAGGTGCCGAAAAGGTATTTTGTCGGTTGCGTGTACCATTTTTTTTTTTTTTTTTTAAAGACATACCTGCTGTGACGGCAATACATGACTATAGTTGCTAATCGAAACTCCATATTTGGTGAGTAATTCACGTATTTTATCATTACTAAGCTTGAATAACTGCTTTGTGGTCTTAAAGGAGATTCGCCATAAAGCCAGATTCTGGTTCATATATGACTGTGTTATAACAGGTGCAATACTGATTTTGGGAAGTGGCCATGTAGGCAATCTATTGAAAAGAGGGTTATTTGCACACCTTATGTAATTCCAAATAGAATAAAACATTGGAATAAAATAAACTTCAGCACACTGGCATCCTTCTATGCGCCAAACATCGAATCAATTGAAATCCATAAACCACATTGTGGAGCGAGCATAGGCTACAAGAATGCATGTCCCTCACCCCATGAAGAGCAGGCGCTGCTTCAGCAACAGCTAATGGAGATCATAATGAAATACACTAAATACTGTGCTCGAGTTTCTTTTCACAATGTAGGTAATCCAATCATAAACAATGACATTGACAAACCCCAAAACGTTTTATTGACCCTTTTAATATTTGTCAGGACATGCATATCCTGTACAAGGCTCACTCTGCCCCTGGCCAAGATTTAATAGCATCCCACACCTGGGAGGTGGGGAGTAGGCACATAAATCAGGCTTCATGGCAGTGAGACGCAAGACCATCCCTTTTTGTAGTGGACGTCTATCCACATGACCTCAGCTACTGTGTTCTCCAATTATTTGAATATAAAATAATAAAATGGAACTCACCGCTTTATCCATTGTGGGGTCACAGACACTGGTTTTCACATAGACCTAATTCCACATTTTGAGAGGACGTCATTCCACGATTTTTTTATTTCAACTCTGCAGCAAGGAAAATAGAAATGAACCGAGATTATGACCTTTTTATGAGGACGGTCCGGTAGCAATGTTGCCGCACCCGAATTATATTTTTCCCGCATAAGCAAAAACTGTACGCCGTTGCTAAAATTCTGGCCCTAGCTACATTCTTGATCATTGTTACAATGTCAGTTTTTTGTATTTCACATACATTTCAACAATGCACTTCAAATGTTGAAATTAGCTCACTCTGTGAATGAAGAAACATAGCTAGCTAGATAATCAGCTTTATTTGTGCAGGCTAGTAAGCAGCTAGCAAGTCGGCGCTAGCTAGCTGATGTTGCTGGCTGCACGAGAACAACTGGGGCTAAACTAGCCAGCTACGCTAACGAATGACTAGGCTAAGGTAGCTTGCCACTCATCATTTTATCAACTTGCTCTTTTTAGACAATATACATTTTCGTTAAATGTTTAAAATACTCACAATACATATATATACTTTCACAGGTATTATAACGCTGTTTTTCGATATCCAGATGAAGTTTCCGATTCTCATGTGTCCTGTGTTGTTGATAACAGTGGATGCTGGTTACCAGGAGAAACATCCACCAATAGCGAAAGCCCCTATGTTGGACACACCCCTGAGGAGGAGCACCATGTTTTGTGTACACTGCCTGCCTCCAAGCAAATACACAACAACGAAATAATGTACTTTGCCCAGCTACCCCCTACTAACCATAATAATAGATTATATTCTATTATGGCCATATCAGAGCAAATGTTTTTGCTATTTTCTCCAACTTCACCAGGGTATCAATAAAATGTAATATTTCTAAAGAAATATCTAACATTTTGCTTGAAAAGTAAAAATCAGGGCAGGGAGCAGCCTGGGACATATTAGAAAACAGCACATTTGTCAGATCAGATGACAGAGTTGTGTCCAAATGTCCTCAAAAGCCATACTGCAAAACCTCAGAGCATGACAATGACACCACCAAAACAAAATGAAACTCTGTTTTATTCATTATAAATCAATGCATTTTATATAAAAAGGGCAAAGGGAAATGTAAACCTCACAAGGGCACCCTGACCACACTGGACCCGGTTGCGGACACTCAATGAGCCAATACACCTGGTTAACAATCATCCACTGTCACCAAAAGGCCTGGGCTCTGTTCAAGATCATTCAACAGTTGTGAATGGTTTAGAAGCGAGTGCTGCAGACATTAATGAACGAGAGCATTACAAGCATGGTGACTAGGATGGCCATTGTGTTTTGTGCACCTAACACAACTGTCACTAGCAGCCGACACACATTCTTGACATGCCCACAAAACTGAGTGAATAGCTGTCCAATGGTGTAAGATTGTTGCTAACTTGGTAAGGTCTTAGCTTATTCTAACAGAGTCCCTAAAGCAGGGGTGTCAAACTCATTCCATGGAGGGCCTAGTGTCTGTGGGGTTTTGGTTTTTCTGTTAAATTAAGACCTAGACAACCAGGTGAGGGGTGTTCTTTACTAATTAGTGACCTTAATTCATCAATCAAGTACAAGGGAGAAGCGAAAACCTGTCTATACTCGGCCCTCCATGCAATGAGTTTGCCCTAAAATGGACAAAAGTTTTGTAACGACCTAACGCAACAGTCCTGAATGTAGCCCAGGTACCTTCTGTCCGTACAAGACCACAGCCTTAACCCCTACTTACCTTAGGGAGTTCACAGATCTGAAATAACTTGATATGTGCAAGCTATAACTTCAGGCAGAAGTCCACAGTCCACTGAATGGCTTGGTGGGGTGGTGGCCAATACCATATTGCTTACATGTGTCCAGTCCTTTGGGATCTGTGAACACTAAAAGGACAGGGGCTAGGGACCAAAATGGAACCAAGCCCTGGTAGTTAGTTAGAATAAGCCAAGACAGTACCGTGGTCTAGAGCACTCAACAACTTTTTCATAAATTACACTGCAGAAGAGAAAAAAAAGAGTGGGATTATTTTCAAAGAAATCAACTTGAAATTTAAAGGACTTATTGGTATATAGCTTCAACAAAAATGTGTATTTAGATAAATAGAATACAAATTATGACAAGGAATTTTCACTGTCACTTTCACTTCCATTTTTACTTTAGGACATGACTCAGTCTTAGGACATTATGCACACGCGAGTACGACCACATCTTGAACAAATCATGGTTGGCCATCACAACTACAGGCAATAGATAAGCCAAGAATATAACCCTGTAAATAGTCCACATTTCAAAATAAAAGCCAATTCATCCACACTCAAATGTTGTTCCAAAATAAAACAATTTCAAATCAAGTTGATTTCACTGACCCCAAAAGGTAAAGCTCAGTCTCTGGTAATAAGGAGTTATTTGAGGACAAATATATTGTCCCAATTTCCCTTCTTCTTAATGCAATATGAGGATTTAATAAGCCTACGTCTTTGGGTGAGAGGTCCAATCACCAGTGTTTCCAGGTCAATGTGAGCTGGAAAATGAGACTTGGGAACTGGTATGGCTTTCTGGAGCCTGGTTTTTAAAGCAACCCTATATACTGAGCTTTCTTTGTGAGTTTAGGGAGGGTGGGGAAAGATTAAAATTATCAAATACACACATTAAAAGACAAATAAAACAAATCAAATAACTTAAATAGAAGTGCTTAAAAACAATACAGTTCTGAGAGCCCTTTCAATAACCAGAAATAAAGCAGGGTGCAAGGGAACCCTGTCCCACCGCAACAGAAAAGGAGTGAGAGGAATAACGGTAATGTTAATACTAATTTGTCATCCAATGATTCACAGATGTACAGTTTACTTATAGGTCAGAACCCACCCACCCACCCACCCCGACCTTCCTTCCTTCCCAGATTTCCATAGTCAGTGGCCCACCCAGGTCTGTGAGCCCCATTCGCCCTCTGTTTCAAGTCTGTCTGTGCTAGAGGGAGAGCCCTCGGTCTCAGTGCATCCCCTCTCCTCTTCTGCCCTCTGATCCTCCTGCTCCTCCTTTTTCCTGCGCTCCATCTCCCACTCCACAAAGGTGTCGAAGAGGCTGGGCCAGGCCTCGTCCTCGCTGTAGTTGCTCAGGTCCGGCCCGATGGCCTGTGTGAAGTTGAGGAACATGTTCCAGGTGTCCCGCGAGATGCCCCGCACGCCCGACGGGTTCTCGCCCAGGAAGTCCAGCCAGTGCTCAAGGATGGCTGGCATGTCCTGCGTGAAGACCAGGCGCCACAGAGCGATGGCGATGTCGCGCTGCAGCGAGCGCTGGCCCTCCTCGGCGTCCAGGCCGAACTGGAAGGTGAAGCGGTACAGGTCCTTGAAGCTCTCCTCGCCCTGTGCCTCCAGCAGCATGCAGGTGAACCGGGAGCAGATGCCCTCCAGACTGTCCGCCTGGATCGCCCTGCATCCGTCCACAAACTCCTTCCTACAGACAGGCGGGGAGAAACAGGGCTGAGTTACAGACCGCAACATAATGTCAACCTTTGACTCAGGGCAATGAGCCATATGGAGTGAAACATGTCAGTTTCTTACATTTTCAGCTACAATGACAACTTGGACAATTTCAAGTCAATAGTTTAGTTGGGACACTCTTACCTTGCGACTCTGATAAACATTACATAGGGCTCAACATAAAGAAGTCAGGTAAAGTAAACAAAGAAATATCTGTGCCTTCTAAAGTCTCTCGACCTCATCAGTATGATAAAGATAAGCACGCTCTACAGCACAGGGAGAGAAAGGGTAAGATGCCCCCTTGATGTATAGCGGCCATTTTACGGGCTCCTACTCACCCCGGACACACTGCTCATTCCTGACCAGGCCTGAATCCCAACACGCGGAAGAGAAAGAGACTGCGATATAGAGGCAGCGAGTAAATCATCCGCCTCTACCCTCTGTTCTACTGGCGAATGTAGAATCACCGGAGAACAAACTGGACGAGCTCCGTTCGAGACTATCCTATCAACGGGACCCGAAGAACTGTAATATCCTATGTTTCAAGGAAACTTGGCTGAACAAGGACAATATTCTAGTTGGTTTTTCTATGCATCGGCAGGACAGAACGGCAGCGTTGTGTAAGCTCAGGGGGGTGGGATCTCTCTCTGTTAACTACAGCTGGTGCTCGATCTCTAATATTAAGGAAGTCTCGAGGTTCTGTTCACCGGAGTTAGAATACCTCATAAACTGTAGACCATACTATTTACCAAGAGAGTTTTCATCTATATTTTTCGTAGCTGTCTATTTACCACCACAAACTGATGCTGGCACTAAGACCGCACTCAACGAGCTGTACAGGGCTTTAAGCAAACAAGAAAATGCTCATCCAGAGGTGGCGCTCCTAGTGGCCAGTGACTTTAATGCAGGAAAACTGAAATCAGTCTTACCTCATTTCTACCAGCATGTCACCTGTGCAACTAGAGGCGAAAAAACTCACCTTTACTCCACACACAGAGATGCATACAAAGCTTTCTCTTGCCATCCTTTAGGCAAATCAGACCATAACTCTATCCTCCTGACTCCTGCTTACAAGCAAAAACAAGAAGTACCAGTGACGCGCTCAATACGGAAGTGGTCCAATGAAGCAGATGCTAAGCTACAGGACTGTTTCGCTAGCACAGTCTGGAATATGTTCCGGGACTCATCCGATGGCATTGAGGAGTTTACCACATCAGTCACCGAATTAACTAATAAGTGCATCGACGACTTCGTCCCCACAGTGACCGTACGTACATACCCCAACCAGAAGCCATGGATTACAGGCAACATCCACACTGAGCTAAAGGGTAGAGCTGCCGCTTTCAAGGAGCAGGACACTAACCCGGATGCTTATAAGAAATCCTGCGACACCCTATAACGAACCATCAAACAGGCAAAGCGTCAATACAGGACTAAGATTGAATCCTACTACACCGGCTCTGATGCTCGTCAGGCGAGCTAAATGCCTTCTATGCTCGCTTCGAGGAAAGCAACACTGAACCACGCGTAAGAGCACCAGCTGTTGCGGACGACTGTGTGACCATGCTCCCCGTAGCCGATGTTAGCCTTTAAACAGGCTAGCATTGACAAGGCCGCAGGGCCAGATGGATTACCAGGGCATGTAGTCAGAGCATGCGCTGACCAGTTGGCAAGTGTCTTCACTGACGTTTCTCAACCTCTCCCTGACCCAGTCTGTAATACCTCAGTTTCAAGCCGACCACCATAGTCCCTGTGCCCAAGAACGCCAAGGTAACCTGTCTAAATGAATATCGCCCTGTAGCACTCACATCTGTAGCCATGAAATGCTTTGAAAGGCTGGTCATGGCTCACATCAACATCACCATCCCCATCCCAAACACCCTTGACCAGGGCTTTCCAACCCGGTTCCTAGAGAGTTACCGTCCTGTAGGTTTTTGCTACAACAATAATCTAGCACACCTGATTCTAATAATTAAATGGTTGATAATCTGAATCAGGTTAATTACAACTGAGGTTGGGGCGAAAACCTGCAGGTGGGTAGCTTTCCAGGAACAGGGTTGGAGAGCCCTGCCCTGGACCCACTCCAATTTGCATACCACCCCAATAGGTTCACAGATGACAGTCTCTACAATGTGTGCAAAATTATTAGGCAAGTCAGTATTTTGACCATATCATCATCATTATTATGCATATTTCCCAACTCCAAGCTGTATAAACTGGAATGCTTATTGGATTTAAGCATATCAGGTGATGTGTAATTTGTGTAATGAGGGAGGGTGTGGCCTAAGGAGATCAACACCCTATATGAAGGTGTGCATCATTATTAGGCAGCTTCTTTTCCTCAGGTAAAATGGGCCAAAAAATAGATTTAACTGACTCTGAAAAGTCAAAAATTGTAAAAAGTATTTCAGAGGGATGCAGCACTCTTGAAATTGCTAAGATATTGGGGCGTGATCACAGAGCCATCAAACGTTTTGTTGCAAATAGTCAACAGGGTCGCAAGAACCGTGTTGAGAAAAGAAGACTAATTAACTGCCAAAGATTTGAGAAGAATCAAACGTGAAGCTACCAGGAACCCATTATCCTCCAGTGCTGTCATATTCTAGAACTGCAACCTACCTGGACTGCCCAGAAGTACAAGGTGTTCAGTGCTCAGAGACTTGGCCAAGGTAAGGAAGGCTGAAACCCGACCACCACTGAACAAGACACATAAGTTGAAACGTCAAGACTGGGCCAAGAAATATCTGAAGACAGATTTTTCTAGGTTTTATGGACTGATGAGATGAGAGTGACTCTTGACGGACCAGATGGATGGGCCCGTGGCTGGATCAGTAACGGGCACAGAGCTCCACTTCGACTCAGACGCCAGCAAGGTGGAGATGGGGTACTGGTATGGGCTGGTATTATTAAAGAGAAGCTAGTTGGACCTTTTCGGTTTGAAGATGGACTCAAACTCAACTCCCTAACCTACTGCCAGTTTTTAGAAGACACTTTCTTCAAGCAGTGGTACAGGAAAAAGTCTGCATCTTTAAAGAAGATCATGATTTTTATGCAGGACAATGCTCCATCGCAAGCATCGAAGTACTCCACTGCGTGGCTAGCCAGTAAAGGCCTTAAAGATGAAAGAAAAATGACATGTCCCCCTTCCTCACCTGACCTAACCCCTATTGAGAACTTGTGGTCCCTTCTTAAAACAGTCGATTTACGGTGAAGGAAAACAGTACACCTCTCTGACCAGTGTCTGGGAGGCTGTGGTTGCTGCTGCACAAAAAGTTGATCGTTAACAGATCAAGAAACTGACAGACTCCATGGATGGAAGGCTTATGACTGTTATTGAAAAGAAGGGTGGCTATATTGGTCACAGATTTTTTTTTTTTATGTCAGAAATGTTTATTTGTAAATTTTTTGTTGTTTGTTTATTATTCTCACTTTAACAAATGAAAATAAACATATGAGATGGGGAACTTTTCATTTTTCATTTAGTTGCATAATAATTCTGCACACTAATAGTTGCCCAATAATTGTGCACACATAGATATTCTCCAAAGAAAGCCAAAGCCAAAACCTCACTTTTACTTTCTTAAATATTCAGGTTTGAGGTTTATTAACATTTTGGATTGACCGAGAGCACTGTAGTTGTTCAATAATACAATTAATCCTCAAACATACAACTTGCCTAATAATTGTGCAAAGTGTATTGCACTACACACTGCCCTTTCCCACTTGGACAAAAAGAACACCTACGTGAGAATGCTGTTAATTGACTACAGCTCAGCGTTCAACACCATAGTGCTCATCATGAAGCTAAGGACCCTTGGACTGAACACCCCCCTCTGCAACTGGATCCTGGACTTCCTGACGGGACGCCCCCAGGTGGTGAGGGTAGGCAACAACACATCCGCCACGCTGACCCTCAACACAGGGGCCCCTCAGGGGTGCGCGCTTAGTCCCCTCCTGTACTCCCTGTTCACCCACGACTGCGTGGCCAAGCACGACTCCAACACCATCATTAAGTTTGCCGACGACACGGTAGGCCTGATCACCGACAACGATGAGACAGCCTATAGGGAGGAGGTCAGAGACCTGGCAGTGTGGTGCCAGGAAAACAACATCTCCCTCAACGTCAGCAAGACAAAGGAGCTGATCGTGGACTACAGGAAACAGAGGGCTGAGCACACCCCCATTCACATTCACTTGAGTTTCAAGTGTTGGTGTGTCCAAACACACCAACACAGTCGTGGAGAGGGCAGGACAATGCCTCTTCCCCCTCAGGAGGCTGAAAAGATTTGGCATGGGCCCTTCTACAGCTACAACATTGAGAGCATCTTGACTGGCTGCATCACCGCTTTTCATGGCAACTGCTTGGCATCCAACCGCATGGCGCTACAGAGAGTAGTGCGTACGGCCCAGTACATCACTGGGGCCGAGCTCCCTGCCATCCAGGACCTCTATACCAGGCGGTGTCAGAGGAAGGCCCTAACATGTGTCAAAGACTCCAGCCACCCAAGTCGTAGACTGCTCTCTCTGCTACCGCATGGCTAGCGGTACCGATGCACCAAGTCTGGAACCAACAGGACCCTGAACATATTTTACCCCCAAGCCATAAGACTGCTAAATAGTTTAATAGTTAACCAAATAGCTACCCAAGCTATCCGCATTGACCCTTTTTGCACTAACTCTTGCCTCATCACATACGCTGCTACTGTTTACTATCTGACACTTTATTCCTAGTTATATGTACATATCTACCTCAATGACGTTGTACCCCTGCACATCGACTCGGTACTGGTACCCCTTGTATATAGCCAAGTTATCGTTACTCATTGTGTAACTATTATTACTTTTATTATTAAGCGTTTTACTTTTCTATTATTTCTCTATTTTCTTCTCTCTGCGTTGTTGGGAACGGCCTGTAAGTTAGCATTTCACTGTTAGTCTAAACCTGTTGTTTACCAAGCATGTGACGAATAACATTTGATTTGAGTAACTTAACCACATCCTGTCACATTGTTCTGCTGTCACTTCAGCCAGATATGTCCTCTGATATGCCTTGCTTTTCTAACCCGTTTTATACAGCAGATATTAAATCAGACTTGGCGTGAACAGCAAAGCAACAGTAAACATTTAAACGTTTCTGGCTCTAGGTAGCTCAGAAGAGAACATTTGTTAATAAGTCAAATGATGGTAATAGGTCCAATCTTCAGACTAGGTACAAGATTACATGAGAATTGAGAAGACCAAATCATCTGAGCAATAGACAATCAGAGAAAGACCGTCTGAGCCTTACTCTATTTCCTGTGTGCCCCCAACCTGTCAGCTAGCAAGTGCCCTGCAGAGCTGCTGAAAGCTGAGAGAAGTGGGGGTGGGGTGGCCAGCCAGACAAATGTTAAATGAAACACTGCACAGTGAGAAGGGAAGCTAGCCTAGAACAGACAGTGCAGGTTAGCAGTAGCCATTTTAGAATTTGGTTAGAGGTTTAACATCAGGCATTGGATCGGCCATGCTAATCAATATTATAGGCTAATATGGCCTCTTTTGGACCAATACATGACTTGAGGAATCTTCTCAGAACATGTTGTTTTCTGAATATCAGGCATCAACACATTGATGAAGCATTGTCTGGCTCATCCCCACCCCTTCCGATCCCATCCCCAACCCATCTCTCACCTTGTAAACTTGCACATCGTGGCCGCCTGGAACTTCCAGGCGAGGACCAGCACGCGGAACTCGGCGGGGTCCACGCACAGGTCGTTGCAGAACCTCTCCATGCCCTCCTCCAAGATGGCATCCTCCTGCGGGTCCTTGTAGCAGCAGAAGAGCTCCTCGATGCGCAGCAAGGACGGCCCCTCCCCATCCGCCACCGAGCGGTCCTCCTTCCTCAGGTCCCCCATCATGGCCGACGCAGGGATCACCGTGGTCTCCACGGTAACCTCCACGGCGGTCTTGGTGCCGTTGAACATGAGCTCGCTGGAGGCCTTGCTGCACACGGTGCCGGGCTCCTCCTTGTGCCCTCCTCCTCCCGTGCCCCCACCTTTCTTGTGGTGGGATTTGGACCCTGGCTCCTTGTCGCCACTCTTGCTACCGAGCGAGGACGATGGGTTCTTACACTTGGTGACGCACTGGCCCATGTCTCTCTCTCTGGTCCTCCCAGTCTGTCCTCCCCTCCTTCAGGCCCCGTCTGCCCCACCAAGACGCCTCTGCTCTGGCCTGGTGAGACGTCTCAACATGCCCTTGGGCCCTGGAACAGAGGAGGAGTCCAACACAGTCACACAGGGTCAACAACAACAGTGACAATGAGTCACTGAATCAACAAAGCCGTTAGTCACAAAGGGTCAAAAGCCACAACACGGAGGTAATAATTACTAGAGAAGACAACTGCTAAATGCTAAAGTAAGAAAATCATATGAAGACCATACAAGTAGGCTACATCACCAACGAAGAAGGGTGGAGTGTCTGGCAGTTTTTTAAAGCTTGGCCCAGGGACCATAGAAGCTTTGAAGCTGGTACTGTACCATGGAGAGGAGGAGGGTTCAAATTAAACTAGAGGGCTGAATAAGTACTTATAGAGAAGAGCCTAATACAGCATGGGTTACCATAGAGACCCTGACTAAAATACAGCTACAACAAGATGTTGGTTACCTTAGAAACCACAAGATTTTAATGTAAGTGGTCCGGATCATACATACTACCAGCCTGCACAATACGCTACCTGAATAGCTCGGCGATAGCTAAGAAATGGGTTGGTTCTGATAATAAGTACTTACAGACACTTCCTCAGAATGCCTTTATCACTCTAGATGAAGGTGTCATCTTTTTCTGCTCCATCGTGGTGACCTTGACATCCGCAATGCTGAAAGACACACAGCATCTTGTCACCATAAGCATAATGTGATACAGGGGTATCATTTGCCCACATGTAGATTCAGTCTATGAACTTGTTGTGAATTTGTAATTTCAGATCGAGAAAGCAGTAATTTACTACATATTGCAGAGTATTTCCACAGCAGGGTAGCCTTGTGTCAAGGATTTACTACTTTTAATTGAAAGCAGCAAACTATAGAGATAAATATGCCTTAGCCCTCTCCTTTCTGAGATACCTTTTAACTACATAGGCCTACAGTACCAGTCAAAGGTTTGGACACACCTACTCATTCAAGGGTTTTTCTTTATTCTTTACTATTTTCTACATGTTAGAAAAATAGTGAAGACATCAAAACTATGAAATAACACATATGGAATCATGTAGTAACCAAAAAAGTATATTCTTCAAAGTAGCCACGCTTTGCCTTGATGACAGCTCTGCACACTCTTGGCATTCTCTCAACCAGCTTCACCTGGAATGCTTTTCCAACAGTCTTGAAGGAGTTCCCACATATGCCAAGCACTTGTTGGCTGCTTTTCCTTCACTCTGCGGTCCAACTCATCCCAAACCATCTCAATTGGGTTGAGGTCTGGTGATTGTGGAGGCCAGGTCATCTGATGCAGCACTTCCATCACTCTCCTTCTTGGTCAAATAGCCCTTACACAGCCTGGAGGTGTGTTGGGTCATTGTCCTGTTGAAAAACAAATGATAGTTCCACTAAGTGCAAACCAGGTGGGATGGCGTATCACTGCAGAATGCTGTGGTAGCCATGCTGGTTAAGTGTGCCTTAAATTCTAAATAAATCACTGACAGTGTCACCAGCAAAGCACTCCCACACCATCACACCTCCTCCTCCATGCTTCACGGTGGGAACCACACATGCGGAGATCATCCGTTCACCTACTCTGCATCTCACAAAGACACGGCTATTGGAACCAAAAATCTCAAATTTGGACTCATCACACCAAAGGACTGATTTCCACCAGTCTAATGTCCATTGCTCGCATTTCTTGGCCCAAGCAAGTCTCTTTTTCTTATTGTGTCCTTTAGTATTGGTTTCTTTGCAGCAATACAGCCATGAGGCCTGATTCACGCAGTCTCCTCTGAACAGTTGATGTTGAGATGTGTCTGTTACTTGAACTCTGTGAAGCATTTATTTGGGCTGCAATTTCTGAGGCTGGTAAATCTAATGAACTTATCCTCTGCAGCAGAAGTAACTCTGGGTCTTCCTTTCCTGTGGTGGTCCTCATGAGAGCCAGTTTCATCATAGCGCTTGATGGTTTTTGCGACTGCACTTGAAGAAACGTTCTTGACATTTTCCGCATTGACTGACCTTCATGTTTTAAAGTAATGATGGACTGTTGTTTCTCTTTCCTTATTTGAGCTGTTCTTGCCATAATATGGACTTTGTCTTTTACCAAATTGGGCTATCTTCTGTATACCACCCCTACCTTGTCACAACACAACTGATTGGCTCAAACACATCAAGAAGGAAAGAAATTCCACAAATTAACTTTTAACAAGGCACACCTGTTAATTGAAACATTACAGGTGACTACCTCATGAAGCTGGTTGAGAGAATGCCAAGAGTGTGCAAAGCTGTCATCAAGGCAAAGGGTGGCTACTTTTAAGAATCTCAAATATAAAATATATTTTGATTTGTTTAACACTTTTCTGGTTACTACATGATTCCATTTGTGTTATTTCATAGTGTTGATATCTTCACTGTTATTCTACAATGTAGAAAATAGTAAAATAAAGAAAAACCCTTGAATGAGTTGGTGTCTCCAAACTTTTGACTGGTACATTACATTTGAAATATTCTGGGACTCAATGAGGAATTCATGATGGTTCCGGCTGTTGCAAGATTCATAAGCCAACTACTGTACTACCATTCTTGTTCAACTAGTTTGTGTTTTATTTTTTACCTGTCTTTCTTGATTTGATGATGAAACACTTAGCAACAAGAGAACAGTCCCTAATCACATTTATTGAAACTATTCATGAGGAATGAAACTTCCGTGGACATGTACAGGCAAAACACCTCCTGGAAAGCCTGCAGTGCTTTCAACCACGTTCACCCAATTCTAATATGATGGACTTTATTGTTGTAGCTAGCTGACTAGGAACACATCTGGCATGTATATATTGAGGGCAATATCTAGCTAAGTTAACTATCTAACTAACTATTTAGTTACCAACCCATTTATCAAAGTAACACTGCCAACAATAATCTTTAAACTTGGTAGCTAGCTCAGCAGGGCAGTTCTAGTTAGCATCTGAACGTTGGCTAACTTAACCCGTTTATTTTAGTTTGACCAGCTAACAACATGGCAACCTAATCAACATGACTGTCTAACAAATAAATCAGCTAAGTTCCCTGGTAATAATATAGCCTCGTTTGTGGCTGGTTACACTTCCCCTTCATACCTAGCTGCCGACTGGCTAGCTGGCACGTCATCATGTAGCTAGCTAGTTATCTGTAAAGTTAGCAATCTAGTAACTTATGCCATGAAACTAGAAACAATTTTAGAGCACGAACAAGAGAAGTAACGTTACCTTTTAAAAATAGTTGATTGTCGAGAAAATCACGTACATCACTCCAATAATATCAGTGAAACAAATAGCGAACTTAGGACACAACGACACAAACAGCCCCACTTAGCTAAAAAAGCTAGCCAGCTAAGCTAATGCTGGTAGCTAGTCAGCATCATAAACAAAAACGAGCGTTTCAGTTGACTTTTGCCTGATAAGAATGCACCTGGTTTGCAAACAACCGCCCCAAACGACTGACTTTTACTTTAAATTGACTACTAAATCAAAAAAGTCGGATGAACCAGTACGAAAGGCTTACAGTTTCTTTGTTTTTCCCCTTTAGTCATTGAGTGGTTTTCCCTGCATCACTTCCTCCCCACAGAGCACCAGAGACAGCTAGCAACTATGCTATCCACTGCTATGCACGGATTGGCTCCCCTGTTTAGATTTAGTTCAAAATTGTAGTGGCTGGCAACCTGACTAATACAGCTAAAACCCAACAAACATGAATCAACATTAATGTAATATTTGGTGAAATAGTCTTTGGGGTTGAACTTGAAGGGCTTTGAAAAGTGAATGAAAAATTGACTATTTAATTGTTTCGCAGCGACTTTGCAACACTGATTGCTGCGAACACACCTCTCAAATTACGTCAATTTAATCGTCATTTCTATGCGACATGTTATTAAAAAGCTAACAGCACAGCAGGTTGGTCAAGTAATAAATGCCAGATAATACTACTATTCGGTAAATCAGCATTATGACATGGTGTTATTGCAATGTAAACATACACCGTTAGATATTCCTACCTTAGACGTTCCTATTAAATGAACGATAAGCGTGTCATTAGCCAGGTACTTTGGCTTGTTACCCTGCTAGCTCACGTTTGCCCATGTTCAGAAGTGTGACGCACTGACCCCATTATGCCGCGTTCAAAACAACTGGGAACTCGGAAAAATACGAGGTAAATCATCACGTCAGTGATCTTCAGGTCGGAAAGTCTGAGCTCTAGAAAGATGGATGACCGTTCAAATCGATTTTTCCCAGTCGGAGGTCGTAATTTCCAGATGTTATGAACGCACTGAAGTCGGAAATGTTGGAGTTCCGAGCTCCCAGTTGTTTTGAACGTGGCATTAGATACATAGATAACTACTAGGAACTCGGAAATCTCTGACTTCAGTGCATTCAAGGTAATTGGGAACTCGGGAAAATAAGAAGCTGGCAGCTATCTAGTCCACTGAGGTATAATAAGAACTATATAGTCTCTGCTAATATTACTTCATTTCAGATGTTATATCGCCACCTAATGGTTTATTGAAACATGCACGTACATGTATTATTTTCCCACATTTCCAGCACTAAACCTACCTCTGTTTTAAAGCAATGTAATGGAATCTTTACTTTCACCAACCGCCATATATATTCTAAATGTATATGTTTTCACCTATCCAATTATGTTTGATCAGAGATTATATCAATTCAAACGGGGCCCCCAGTCTTTTGTGGTACTCTGGATCCTTTGGTTGAGTCTGGCGTTCGTTATATAGGGCAACTTACTCCTTGCATATATTTTTTATATTCCCTGCTTTGTATTGTTTTCAGACCAAATGACAACAGCCACACGTAATCAGGTCCTGTCACTGTATATGAGGGTATTTCGGATCGCCCGGGGCTGGCAGTCCACACTCCCACAAGACACTTAGAGCGAGAGAAGGTACATTGTCCAGGAGGCCCAGACCCTCTTCAGACAGAACCAACAGGTAAAACGATAGACCAAAAGTTTGTCTGCTGTAGCTCGGTATCATCTTCATCTGTTTGGTTAATATGTTGTTCTGTGTATCCCTTTCAGTTGACAGATCAGGAATCAATAAAGAAGTGCATAGAAGAATGTGAGGCAAGGATAGAAATTGGTGTGTGTCAAGAAAAGCCTGGTTGACATTTTCAAATTATTTTAGTAATATAATCTCTGGATAAATCAGACACTGTTCAGTGTTCACACTTAAAGGCTTTGGTGTGAGAATCTGAGTGATGTTTTTCCCCACTCTGATTCACAGGTCTTCATTACAGGAATCCCTATCCAAGACCTGTAAGTGACAGACATCTAAACCAGAACAAATGTTTATATATCTCAGGCACTATTGTGTAATTTCACTATTGTCTAATGTAATGGTTTTATTTAGGTTGTATACCCTTCATTGCAGATCTACCTGCCTATAATGGGACTGGCAACCCAGAAAGGCAGGAAGCTGAAAGCACAGCAACGCGTGAGGAAGCAGGCCAAGCCAGTTTACTTACAGTCACATGACGAATACAGCTGATACTAGATGAACTCTATATTCTTGTGAAGGGTTCATGTTACCAAGGACAGGAGGAGAGTCATTGGCTGATCTCAGGAGTTGAGTTGATATGACCACTGCTGGAGATGACAAAAATCCATCTTTTATATTTATTTCCAATGTTCATCACGCACATCAATGTTCATCAATCACATTTCATTGTAAACTGCACTGTAGCATCCAATCCATGATGTATATGCAACAGTATACTGTACCAAGTATATTTATGCATGTGATTGCTGACAAAAGCTTTTATGTGGATGTCAGTATTGTCTGTCCTGTAAGATAAGTAGACATAAAGATTTATGATACTATTTTGAATGTATTTATTATTTCAATAAATAGAGTTTTGAAAAGCACCACTCCTCTGCATTCATTCTTTCAAGGAATTACAAAAAAGTCAGATGAAATCTCAGTCAGGTTGAAAAATAGACTTAAGGATTTATTGAGTAAAGTGCATTAGACTGCATACACAAAACAAAGGTTTTATTCATTTACCACCACCTTCAGTTGATCAACTGTTAGATTTAACTGATAGGAACAATGTCTTACTATCACCAGTTAAAGATTAGTAGGCTACTCTCTTAAAAGAAAAGCTGCACATTTAGCGGCTTTCACGTTTTAAAGGTAAAACTTTGATTCGATTTCATGTGCAACCACAAAAATGATATATGGTCATGTTGTAAAGTACACCATGGAACAGACAGACACACATATACTATGTATACAAAAGTATGTGGACACCCCTTCAAATTAGTGGATTTGACTATTTCAGCCACACCCGTTGCTGACAGGTGTTTAAAATCGAGCACACAGCCATGCAATCTCCATAGACAAACATTGGCAGTATAATGGCCTTACTGATGAGCTCCATGACTTTCAACGTGGTACCATCATAGGATGCCACCTTTCCAACAAGTAAGTTCGTCAAATTTCTGCCCTGCTAGAGCTGCCCCGGTCAACTGTAAGTGCTGTTATTGTGAAGTGGAAACATCTAGGCGCAACAACGGCTCAGCCGTAAAGTGGTAGGCCACACAAGCTCACAGAACGGGAACGCTGAAGCACGTAGCGCGTAAATATCATCTGTCCTCGGTTGCAACACTTACTACCGAGTTCCAAAATGCCTCTGGAAGCAAGGTCATCACAAGAACTGTTAGTCGGGAGCTTCATGAAATTGGTTTCCATGGCCGAGCAGCCACACACAAGCCTAAGATCACCATGCGCAATGCCAAGCGTCAGCTGGAGTGGTGTAAAGCTCGCCGCCATTGGACTCTGAAGCAGTGGAAACACATTCTTTGGAGTGATGAATCACGCTTCACCGTCTGGCAGTCCGACTGACGAATCTGGGTTTGGTGGATGCCAGGAGAACGCTACCTGCCCCAATGCATAATGCCAACTGTAAAGTTTGGTGGAGGAGGAATAATGGTCTGGGGCTGTTTTTCATGGTTGGGGATAAGCCCCTTAGTTCCAGTGAAGGGAAATTCTAACGCTACAGCATACAATGACATTCTAGACGATTCTGTGCGTCCAACTTTGTGGTAACAGTTTGGGGAAGGTCCTTTCCTGTTTCAGCATGACAATGCCTCAGTGCACAAAGCGAGGTCCATACAGAAATGGTTTGTCGAGATCCGTGTGGAAGAACTTGACTGGCCTGCACAGAGCCCTGACCTCAACCCTATCGAACACCTTTGGGATGAATTGGAATGCCGACTGCGAGCCAGGCCTAATTGCCCAACATCAGTGCCCGACCTCACTAATGCTCTTGTGGCTGAATGGAAGCAAGTCCCCGCAGCAATGTTCCAACATCTAGTGGAAAGCCTTCCCAGAAGAGTGGAGGCTGTTATAGCGGCAAAGGGGGGACCAACTCCTTATTAATGCCCATGATTTTGGAATGAGATGTTCGACGAGCAGGTGTCCACATTCTTTTGATCATGTAGTGTATGTAAACACACCAACAACCCTCTATGGTTTTTGCAACTGAGTAAACAGGTTAAGGGGATCAGTGGTGTGTATTCATGGATGCCAAGGGAAGCCATGCTTCCCAAAAAATTGACCAAGAAAAAAAAACATAAATTATTGTATCTTTCATCTCTCTGTTTCATAATTGTCCTTCAATTCGCAAGAGGCTGAATGTTTCTCACAGGAGAAAGCATCCGAGCGAGCGAAACAGCGCCCCCTCTGTCTCTGTATGTGTAGCCCATCTATCTGATGCTGTCTGGGGAAGCCAGCGAGCATTTGGACTCCCTTGATAAAAAAAAAACCATACAATAATAGCCAATCAGCGTTGAGCTAAACTGAGTGAGCTCAACTGTGAATGGTCCTGGCGCACCAAAAAAAAAGTGTCAAGGCACACAAGTTTTGATTTGGCTTCACACCAATCACATCACATTAAAATACCAAACGTCATTGACAGAAAACTTGAATTGTTGCATCTCATTGTGTTGTTGTCCTCCGGTGGCTATCTAGCTAGCTAGAATTGGCCCATTCCTAAATTAGCCATGGATGGAGATTTGGACTTGTGGTTTTACTTAATTCTCCGTACTGGCCAATGATTATAACGGCGATTCTAATCTAACCATAAACTCATACATTGTGCCTCTGGCCTGAGAGGATGGAAAGTTCAATATGTAGCTAGATGTAGTGGGCTAATGTTAACTAGCTGGCTCATCGTTACCCATGAAAGGAAGTTAGGCTAGCGAGCAAGAATTTTAGCCAGGTATCCTAGGACAACAAAAACTAAAAGCGTGTCCTGTATGACAGAGTCATAGACTGTTTCGTCAACATGAAAGAGAGGAGGATGGCATTGGTGTTAGGGTGAGTCAACTGTTGTTTTTTCTACTTGCACACACACACATACAAACACACACACACACACACACACAGAGAGAAATCAGAACCATGGACATCCACATCATATTTAGCTTACGTTGATTGGACTAAATTGTTTTTGTTATCTTTCAGTTGTCACTGTATTAGACTAAGCATAGGTGATTTGATGTTGAAATGTTGAAGTTGAATTGGTGCTGGAATAGTGAAGGCAGCTCTTCTTTGCGACTTGCGTTAACGCTGTGGTTCTAAATCAATAGTTTGAGTAGTCCGAAAATGTTGGAAACATTAAGTTGCTTGACCATGTTTTAGGTCATGTAACTGTTTGCTACATGCAATATGCTTTGTGGACTTCACCGGACAAAGGTTGCTCTCCGATTTTGTGATGAAACAAAGGTGTGGTTCAATTTATTCTGCCACTGTGTCTTCTTATTGTCTCGGCCTTAGGCCTATATATCAGGGTGACAAGGCATATGAACCAACAAGTTATAGAGCAAACAACGCAATTATCACAACACATAGGTTGTAATATGGATTTTTTTTCTGGCTTGGCTTCCCCAGTGACTTTACCCACGCACCGCTACTGAAAGGGATCCATCTCTATGACCGCTAGCCTGGTACCAGTGTCTTTAGCTGACATTCCACTCCTTGCCACTCCTTGTCATTGCCAAAGAGACTGGCCTTTCGGCTATCTTCAAATATGAACATTCTATCATTAATGAGCTTGAGGAGATCAGAGGATTCGATAACCTTCACAGCTTTCATCCAATCACAATGTTTATGCAAATTCGACTGATAGGAAAACATCCTAACTTAATTCATACATTTGATTGAAAACATTCTAACATTAGGCATTCTGATGTAATACATTTAATTGTAAACATAAACATTGGGCTTCGGGGAGAACAGAGGATTCCCGTTTATTGCATTTTTACCGCCAGCCATAATGTGATCACATTATACCAGAGAAGCTCTCGCCATTCAAACTTCCCCGCCAGTTCACTGTGAACACTGTAGCCTATTTTATATCCAGCAAGCAAGAGCAATGTGCTTCTTTCGTGTAATATATATATATATATATATATATATATATATATATATATATATATATACACAGTATATAAACTACCGTTCAAAAGTTTGGGGTCACTTAGAAATGTCCTTGTTTTCCATTAAAACATACATGAAATGAGTTTGAATAGGAAATATAGCAAAATGAATAGGAAATGTAGTCACTGACAAGGTTAGAAATAATGATTTTTAATTGAAATAATAATTGTATCCTTCAAACTTTGCTTTCGTCAAAGAATCCTCCATTTGCAGCAATTACAGCCTTGCAGACCTTTGGCATTCTAGTTGTCAATTTGTTGAGGTAATCTGAAGAGATGTCACCCCATGCTTCCTGAAGCACCTCCCACAAGTTGGATTGGCTTGATGGGCACTTCTTACGAACCATACGGTCAAGCTGCTCCCACAACAGCTCAATAGGGTTGAGATACGGTGACTGTGCTGGCCACTCCATTATAGACAGAACACCAGCTGACTGCTTCTTCCCTAAATAGTTATTGCATAGTTTGGAGCTGTGCTTTGGGTCATTGTCCTGTTGTAGGAGGAAATTGGCTCCAATCAAGCGCCGTCCACAGGGTATGGCATGGCGTTGCAAAATGGAGTGATAGCCTTCCTTCTTCAAGATCCCTTTTACCCTGTACAAATCTCCCACTTTAACACCACCAAAGCACCCCCAGACCATCACATTGCCTCCACCATGCTTGACAGATGGCATCAAGCACTCCTCCAGCATCTTTTCATTTGGTCTGCGTCTCACAAATGTTCTTCTTTGTGATCCGAACACCTCAAACTTCGATTCGTCTGTCCATAACACTTTTCTTTCCAAAAAATTGGCCAGTCTGAGATATGGCTTTTTCTTTGCAATTCTGCCTAGAAGGTCAGCATCCCAGAGTCGCCTCTTCACTGTTGACGTTGAGACTGGTGTTTTGCAGGTACTATTTAATGAAGCTGCCAGTTGAGGACCTGTGAGGCGTCTGTTTCTCAAACTAGACACTAATGTATTTGTCCTTTGCTCAGTTGTGCACCGGGGCCTCCCACTCCTCTTTCTATTCTGGTTAGAGCCAGTTTGTGCTGTTTTGTGAAGGGAGTAGTACACAGCGGTTGTACGAGATCTTGAGTTTCTTGGCAATTTCTCGCATGGAATAGCCTTAATTTTTCAGAACAAGACTGACGCGTTTCAGAAGAAAGTTATTTGTTTCTGGCCATTTTGAGCCTGTAATCGAACCCACAATTGCTGATGCTCCAGATACTCAACTAGTCTCAACAAGGCCAGTTTTATTGCTTCTTTAATCAGCACAACAGTTTTCAGCTGTGCTAACATAATTGCAAAAGGGTTTTCTAATGATCACTTAGCCTTTTAAAATGATAAACTAGGATTAGCAAACACAACATGCCATTGGAACACAGGACTGATGGTTGCTGATAATGGGCCTCTGTATGCCTATGTAGATATTCCATTAAAAATCAGCCGTTTCCAGCTACAATAGCCATTTACAACATTAACAATGTCTACACTGTATTTCTGATCAATTTGATGTTATTTTAATGGACAAAAAATTGCTTTTCTTTCGAAAACAAATAAATTTCTAAGTGACCCCAAACTTTTGAACGGTAGTGTATATATATATATATATATATATATATATATTTAGTTTTTTGTTTTTAATTGCTCAAAATAAGTGACCAAACTACACTGAGTGTACAAAACATTATGACATCCATGACCAGGTGAACCCAGGTGAAAGCTATGATCTCTTATTGATGACACTTGTTAAACTACGTGCAAATCTTCCTTTGGAATAAGGCGCATGCTTGGAGAATAATTACATAACCAACATCTTTAGTAATACTACTATAGTGTGTGTGAGTTCGCTAATTCTCTCTATGTCCATTCAGAAAGTTTCCTAAAGTAGCCTATCTTGACTCCATCTCTTAATATGAGAGGAGGGACAAATAATAGAACTGAAATGGCAACCTTGTCTCAGAGCATTTCGTATTATTCTGCTTGTAAATCCGAGACACTCCATTTAGTAAGTATGTTACGTTTGGTATGGTTTCATAAGACAGATGGTTATTTAAAGCAAAAATGAAAGAAGGGTGGTTGGTCAGTGTGGATGGGTGGGCATATAACGCGAACGTCTAGCAACCCAAAGGTTGCGAGTTCGAATCTCATCATGGACAACTTTAGCATTTTAGCTAATTAGCAACTTTTCAACTACTTACTACTTTTTAGCTACTTTGTAACTACTTAGCATGTTAGGTAACCCTTCCCCTAACCCTTTTAGCTATCCCTTCACCTAACCCTAACACTTTTAGCTAACCCTTCCACTAACCCTAATCCTTTAACATTACTCCTAAACTTAACATTAACCCCTAGCCTAGCTAACGTTAGTGCCCTAGCTAGAATTCGTACCATATCATACGTTTTTCAAATTCTTAACATATTGTACATTTAGCAAATTCGTAACATATTGTACCTTTTTTGCAAATTCATAACATTTAATACAAAATAAGTAATGGGCATCCACAAATTAATAAATACCATATGAAACGTAACATATTCTAAATGGAGTGTCTCAGATTTACATACAGAATAATACTAAATGCTCTGAGACCAGGTTGCAACGAGCATAACAAATTGTTAAAATGTAAGCAATTTCATGATGATCAGCATATGTGCGAGGAATGACAACAGGTGCCAGTTTTGCATTTCTTTCCTCTCATTAATGGGATGCAACTGAAGCAAACGTAGCTCGATTGACTCTTGTAAGCTAATATTTTCCGTATCATAATTTCACTCTCATTACGGAGTCCTCTCTAGCCACTTTGAACAACATGATCTTGCATTGACACTGCCTTCTCACCAGGGAATTACCGCAGCAGGTCGTAGCCGTTTTGTTTGTTGCTGTTCTTAAAATTTGAATTCTATATTGTGCCAAATCTGCCCCATGTTCCATAACGTTGTCATGGAAAATATTAATGTTGTTTCCAACAACCAACCAGCAACTGTGCCATAAATCCGGCTGCATATTGAACGTTGAGATTACCGTAAAACCAGTCTCTTTGGCAATGACAAGTAGTGTAAAGGAGTGGAATGTTAGCTAAAGAGACTGGTACCCAGGCTATATGACAGCCTGTGCAATCTTCAAAAATATCAAGAAATCGAGCTGAAAATATCCAGCATACATTTCTGTCTTTAATAGCTATTTAAAAGGAGTGAGTTGGTTGTTTGTCTCTCATAATATCTAACATCCTGCAAGGCGTCTGAGGAGCTGTGCCTAGTAATGCCTAGTCATCCAGCTGGCACAGACAGGCCACCCCGCGGTTGATCCAATGTTTCTGAGGCCGGTCGGAGGGCAGCTCGATAGGCATTACGTAGTTGGTGGAGTGGCCCGTGGTGGACAGAGTTCCGCGCCGGGCGCTGGTCTTGTACACGGGACACACGTAGATGTTCTCATGCAGGAACTTTGACATCTCCCCTGGCCTGAGCCAGATGATGGGCAGGGGGTCGAAGAGGATCTTGGGGAGGGACTCTCCTATGACCATCTTCTCCCGGTCCCAGCGTGCCCCCTCCAGGAAGAACCCCTTCACGTAGGCCCCATCATATGGCTTCTTCTCCATGTGGGTCTCTTGCTTGGTCACCTGATAGAGATAGGGAAGTTATGTCATATCATGCATCCACTGGACACATAGATGAGGTTTACATTGTAGTTCATTGTACTCCCTTACTTCAAATTCAAAGCCGATGAAGTCGATGGGGACGGTGTACTTCCGGGCAAAGTTCTGAGATACTCCCGTGAGGAAGGACTGAGTAAAGTAGAACCCAGAGACCCAAAAGACTGGTGGTGGCCCATTGTTGATCCAGTCCTGTCAAACACATAGCCCAACTCCCATCCATCAGTATTTGTGTCTTTCAGAAGTATCAGTTTCACAGGAAACAAAATCCCTGTCCTCAAAACAACTTTAATTTAACATAACATACAAACACATTTGAATGTGTATTGTTGGGGTTGAGCAGCTCAGGACCCTCACTCTCTTGATGATCATAACTGACCTGTAGAAACTTTAGTCTGGCGAGGAGGTCGGACACATAGCTGCCCAGAGGCTTCAGAGACGGGTAGGACTTGGCCGACCACATGGTTGGCACCTTGCCCACCACCATACTGTTGAAGACGTTCTCCAGCTCAGAAGACATCACCACCTGACCCTTGAGAGCCTTTCCGATGTTTATCAGACTGATGCGTACCACCTGAGTTAACCTGAGGGGGGTCAAAGCATCATTATCAGCATGTTATAAACACTTCATAATTGCCAACCCAAATTCCTCATAGCCAAAAAGGCATGTAATGACCGTGTAGTAATGACTGCCTGTACACAGAGTACAAATCAACTGCTTATAGTGGTCATTAAATGTGGGACTAGTGTTGTAAAACTACCGGCAATTTACCAAATCTATGGTAATCTATGGCAATCTATGGTAACGTTGGTCATTTATATTTGAATAACTTCTTGTGGATAGACCATATGGTTTAAGAGAAAATAGCCGAATTAATGAAAGAAGCATCTAATCAACAATGGCATTATTTTCAGTTAACTCTGAAACGCTACCACCTATAGACTACTTTCACAACTGCCACCAGTTTGGCGCCAAAATATTTACAATAAAGACAAATTGACATAGTAAAATAAGTAAAAGTGTATCAAAATGTGAAGGATATTTCATGCTGAAACCCTAATATTAAACACCAATGGTATTCACTAAGTTGAAGGGTTATTTTTAGGATAATGTTTTACAGCTTTGTCATTCTATTTTTTATTATTTTATATATTTTACATGTGATGGAAATTCCATGTAGATAATAGGCAGAATATACCGATTAGCGAAGGTGCTGGAGGCAAAATGCTAAACTGGAGAAACAGGAAAAAGTCTCTGCACACTTCCAGTCAGATGCCCATTTATTTGAATAGAGGCTGAGCTTTCGGTCAGTCGACCTTCATCAGAGCATATCTCCACAAACAATAGTGGGACAGATAAGGCCACACAGAGGGTCAGAGATAATTATAGACACCTGTGATAATCTGAAGTATCCAAAAAGGCCACTAAATGTCATGTGATGAAAAGTCCATAAAATCCTTGAACGTTACCAGTAATATACCGTCCCTTTGCAACCCTATGTGGGACACAAAACATTTGACTTTGCTTTTAATCAATTGACCATAAGACTCCAATTTCCATGGCCAGATGTAGAGTAAGTCTTATAAGAGTGCATTCATTGTATCAATTTGAAAGGCTACACTTCCTGACCCCAGTTTCTTTAATCCAGATCATGATATCTACCTGTTGAAGCGGATCAGTTCCTGTCTCAGCACAGTGTTCATGGACTCCTCATACATCACTGGGTATTTGTTAATCACCATCTGGATGTCAAAGTCCGCTGGCAGCTTGGACAGGATGTCTTCCGCAAGCTCATCAACCACTTCCTGTAGTAATCAAAGAGATATAACTACCAGTATAATAAATACAAAACAATTTAAGCTAATGTACAGAGCTGACATATCATGGCTTGTTCTGAGGCATCACAACCTCTTATCCACATAAAGTGCCGGTCTGTGAGAATGTACAGGTTTTGATCACACAGAGAATGTGTCCACCAGGGTTGAATATTATCCCGGTATTTTACAAATGTTCCATCCCGAGAATAAATCACTTTTCTCCCGGGTAGTATTTCCCGCCAAAACCGGAAGTGTCATTCAAAAGCGTTATAAAGCATATAAATAGGCCTATGTCTGGATTTGATTAGAGCTTTGATCAAAAATTCAACCCTGATGCTACCTGAGACTGATGAGCCATACATTAAATACATTTTAGGAGCCCTACATTAAAGAAATGTAATGATCCCAAGCTCAAAAAAGCCCAACTGATTGTGCCGTTATCCAAAACATATATGATATAGGCTACTGCACATTACACACGACAGAAAAACATAAAAGCCCATAGATGTAGCTAGCTATATGCTCTCTTGGGTAAATAAATGAAACTAGCTCCAGTAGGCTAATCTATTTGAGTGTGGACTGTATTACTGTATTGTATTATACTGGATTATATGACTGGAATTACGCACATAGTTCAAACCATGATAAAGCAGGGAGAGAACATGCGAGTATAGGCTAGCAGATTTGATTTTAATTTTGAAATATAATAGGGCCTATTTGTATAATTAGTAGGCTGACGCATATATACAGTATCTTTCATAACTTACAGTTAGTGAGTGCATACATTATTTTTACATACTGGCCCCCCGTGGGAATCAAACCCACAACCCTGGCGTTGCAAACGCCATGCTCTACCAACTGAGCTACATCCCTTTTCAGAAGAACAGAATAGCATACTCTGAGTTGTCCTTATGTTAGGTCCTGATGTGGCTATGCCAAATTGCTGTGGGCTACACTAGTTCATTTAGCAGACAAGATTAGCTTAGAATTCCATGGCATTATTTTATATTACTTTATAGTATGAAGAATACAATTGAACAAAGCTGAATAAAATATAAATATTTTCTCCAAACGATTTGAGGGAGTGCGCACATGCGACTATTCTGTGTTGAGTGGTTAACAAAGAAATAGGTACTCCTATATGCTTAATTTAGAGTTATTCATGTAACTGTAGCTGTTCTACAAACGTTTGGCTATATGTTTAGATTTTTAATACATTTTAAGGCTGCATGATGCGACTCTAATAAAGGCACGAGCTCTGCTTTGTTTTTTGCGCTGGCTATACTCACTTCATTAGACAAGCACTTGATAATGCCTCTAATTTCACAGCGGCATCCCCTTTGTGGCTGTAATGCACCCAAAAAAAATCCATGTCTTTGTTGTACCCTTCTCCCTGAGTGCTGCGTGCTCCATCACGTGATCGGGTCTTTCTCACAGGCTACAAGTGAAGACAGACACATCGGGGATGCAACTGTGCGCGTCCTTATCCAATTCCGTGGTGCATATTGAAGATATTGGAAGAACTGTCCACATTTACTTTTCATCAGCCAACAAGATGAGTAGGCCTAACGAACAGCAAAAGCACTAGCCTATGTCAATCTACTATCCCCCATTGTACAAAAGTCGACCTATTCTATTCTGTGCAATAAATAAATATTCCAAACATAGTCTGGGACAGTTGTGGGATGCAATAGATCCCAAATTAATACAACCACTAGCATCCCCAAACAATTTTTTACGCAAGGTGGCTGACACAACAGATCAGAACGTTTAGCTTAAAATTTTGATAAACTATTAGGCTATTTCTTCACATTATATGCGCAGCAATGCACACATAGCAGTAGGTTATAAGCGGGAATGTTCTATTAACGGGAAAACACCATTACCAAAAGTGAGCGCAAATGCGATTATGCATGTAATGCTTTTATTATAAAGGTGCATTTTTACGGTGAAAATGATCTTCCCCAAACTTGAAACTCTCGCGCTGCTTATGTATGCCAGTTAGGCTCTAAACCCCTTGTAAAGCAGATGAATGTGCTTAATTTTAAGAGGTTTTTTGGCCACTTTAGTTGTGATACAAACCTTATCAAAACATATAGGCCTATGGGCTAGGCTACATGAAGGCTGGTGTGCGAATATGATTTGAGAAAGTCGCAGAAAAAAGGCTGTTTCTTATGCTGGGCATCATTCACAAGTGATAATGTCACACCAGCCTTCGCTTTGGCTCCCCCTTCTGTCCAGCTCAGACATTCGGCGTCGCCAGCCTTCTAGCTGCTGCCGAACCTACTGCTGGCAAACGCCCTTCACTCCTCAACCCCGGACTTGTCTCGTCATCATTACACACACCTGGTTCCAATCCCCACTCTCTCACTGTATATATACTCCCTCTGCCATTTGTCTTTGTCGGTCATTGTAAATGTTACTTGTTTTCCTGAGAGGAATCTCTTCTACTATTTCCTGAGTACTTTATATTTTGCACTTTGGGTTCACCCTTTGCCTTTTTGTTTATTAAGATATATTTTGAGCACAACAGCGTTTGGGTTTCGTCCCGCTTTGATCTATGGTGCTTAAATAAATTCAGTAGTTCTAAACCTCCGACTGCCTCCTGCCTACTCCTCTCTACACCAGTGACAGATTATATATCATTCACAATTGATAGGCTAATATTGTCACCCATCAGACTATTCTTGATTTAATCTTGTCTTTACATATACTAAATAATATATGTGTGAGATTTGTTTTGATTTAGAATGGACCATTTTCATGCACAAGTCTTGAAATAGGGGCAGGGGGAAGAAATACATGTCATCTATGCACTTAAATAGCGGATGGAAGACGCTTTTCCTGTGATTCATTTTCATGCCAGCCAGGTAGGCTATACTCATGTTGTAAAGATAAGCAATGTGCTTAATAGTAGGAAAGTTGAGAAATAAATATAGTAGGCCTATCCTATTGAAAGCTGATGGGATCCTCCTCTATTTAGTAGAGACCATCACACTGTTTTCTCACGCAATTGCATAGCCTATAGAAATGTTGCGCAACATGAGCTCATGGGCTCTCATTAAGTGTTTGATTAGATTTCCGATTACATTTGCATTGATGTCAGAGTGATTAGAGGGACAATAGAGTGCTGAGTACCAGGCAGTTAGCAAGTTTGGTAGGCTACTAATGACCATGAGCAGCATCAGAGCTTGGAGAAGCCTAATTACTGTGACTAAACGGTCACATGGAATTTGACTGCCTTCATGACTCGTGACCGCCGGTGTGGCGGTAATACGGTCACCGCAACAAGGAGAGAGGCCAGCGGAGCACAGGTGCGTGTGTATTGCGCAAGAGACAGAGGCTATAAGTTAGAAGCTTATTATGCATAACCCATCATTAATTAGCCGAATATATGGCTAATACTGCATTGCATTTTTTACCTGAAATAGAGGCTAGGACATCTATATATAGGGCTATATATCAATCTAGAACAATATTATGTATTTTGGATGCAATTTGAATGGAGTTGATGGAGAGAGAGAAAGACTGCGAGAGAGTGCTCGCGTGTGCACTGATTTAAAGCAATGATATTCGAGTGATAGGCTGTTTTAAAACTCTGCAGCTGCAATATTTTATTTATTTATTTACAATAAAAAAATAAGGTGACCCACGTAAGCCAGATGGAGATGGTGTCACGACTTCCTCTGAAGCTGCCTCTTCTCCTTGTTCGGACAGGCTTCGGCGTTCGTCGTCACCGGCCTTCTAGCCACTGCCGCATCACATCTCATCATTCCATTTGTTTTGTCTTGTCTATTACACACACCTGGTTCATATCCCCTCATTAGTACATGTATAAGTGTTCCCTTGTCCTTATGGGTGATTGTTTAATGTGAGGAGAGTGTAGCTCGGTTGAGCTCTGTGTATTTTGTATTGCCGGGGTATATTTTCCCCTTGTGCCTGTTTTGTTCCAGTGCGCCTGTTTTGCGCACTGGACTGTTTGACGCTATTCTGCGTAACGCTTTATTCCGGAATAAACTCTGTATTCTGTGATTTACCCTCCTGTGCCTGACTCCTTCAAATCACCCATCACAGATGGGTAAATTAGACGCGCATTCAGTCTTTATATTACTGTAGTATAGGCTTTGCTGCAGCAAATGCAGGCCTACCTGTCACAAAAAAAAGTTACCATGATGAGATGATAGGTCTACATGTATTGTGAACTGCGCTCCATACTGAGATGGGTTGTCTGTCCCCACCCTGAGCGTTGGTGATTCATCATGCAGAGGCCGTAGAGAAGCCAGATTTAGACATCGCTTATAATTTAACAGTTCCATTTCACGCCATGCTGTTCTTATAAATCATTTATTATAATTTACTGGTTTCTCACAGTTATTTCTCCCGGAAAAAGTGAGTGGTTTTGGGCGGTAAATCCCGGTAAATCTCGGTAACCGGGTTCCCGCCATTCAACCCTAGTGTCCACTGTCCAACTAACCTGAGGGGATTTAGCCCCGCCTCCAGTCTGCCTGGGCAGAGTCAGAAGCACTCCATCCAGCAGCTGATTGGTCTCCTGGTTATCCTTGGTGATGTCAGCATTGCTGTGGAGTCCAAACACGCCAGGTTCCGCTGCGATGGGTAGGTTGCGGATGTAATCAACATAGGTCTTGAAAAGAGAAACAGTACAAATGAGTTCAAATCCAATAAAATTGTATTAGTCACATGCTTCGTAACAAAAGGTGTGGACTAACAGTGAATGCTAACTTACGGGCCCTTCCCAACAATGCAGAGAAAGAAAATAGAGAAATAATAGAAAAGTAAAACACATAATAATAAAAGAGGCAGGGGACGAGGACAGTACAGGAGTTCGCGCTGGAGTTCCGGATCCTGGCAGCAGGGTCCGGGTGGAATGAGCGGGCCCTGATCAACCAGTTCCGGTGCCACCTACGGGAGGACGTCTGACAGGAGCTAGCCTGCTGTGACACCAGTGTGTCTTTTACCGAACTGGTGGACATGGCCATTCGTCTAGATAACCTGCTTGCAACCAGAGGACGTCCTGGAGGAGGTCTGCCCGTTCCCGCCCCGACCGACGCGGATCCAGAGCTCATGGAGCTGGGTGTTACCGCACACCGAGAGAGCGGAGGACGACAGTGCCAGTGCCACTCAGATGGCACGAAGGGACATTCCACCACACGTTGTCGTCAGCGCTCTTTTGGGTCAGGAGGCGGCCGGCAGGGCACTCTCGCATCACCCCAGGTATTGAGCACCCACTCTTGTTCAGAGCCCTCTGCTGAGCACTGTACTATACCCATATATTTCCCTGATCACATGAGAGTTCCCCAGTGTAAGGAGCTAGTCGATTCAGGCGCAGCTGGGAACTTTATGGACAAAACTTTTGCACGCCACCAGGGCATTTCATTAGTTCCCCTATCCATTCCACGCCCCATCAGAGCACTTGATAGTCGACCATTAGGGTCCGGGTTGATAAAGGAAGTCACGGTACCAGTCACCATGATCACACAGGAGACGCAATGTGAGCAGGTCACTTTTTCCATCATTGAGTCTCCTGCTTTCCCTGTGGTGTTAGGTATTCCATGGCTAGCACTCCACAACCCCACTTCCTCATGGCCGCAGAGGGTTCTCACGGGGTGGTCGCGAGAGTGTCAGGGTAGGTATATGGGTGTTTCCGTTGGTGCAACCACGGTGGAAAGTCCAGACGGTGCCTCCACCGTGCGCATTCCCCCCGAATACCATGATCTGGCACAAGTCTTCTCTGAAAATAAAGCGACTAAATTACCACCTCATCGGGCGGGGGATTGCGCAATAAACCTTCGGGTAGACGCTGTACCTCCCAGGAGTCATGTGTATCCCCTGTCGCAGGCGGAGACGGAGGCTATGGAAACATACGTCACCGAGTCCCTGCACCAGGGGTACATACGTCCATCCACTTCACCCGCCTCCTCAAGTTTCTTTTTTGTGAAAAAGAAAGATGGCGGTCTGCGACCCGTGCATTGACTATCGACCACTGAACAAGGAGACGATTAGATTTAGTTATCCTCTCCCCCTCATTCCGTCAGTGGTTCCAGTCATAGCATGGAGCGCGCTTCTTCACTAAATTAGATCTCAGGAGTGCGTACAACCTGGTGCGTATCCGAGAGGGAGATGAGTGGAAGACAGCATTCAGCACAACCATGGGGCAGTATGAATACCTGGTGATGCCCTATGGTTTGATGAATGCTCCCTCAGTCTTCCAGTCCTTTGTGAATTATGTGTTTCGGGACATGCTCACGGTGTAGTGGTCTACATCGACGACATGTTGTTGTATTCCGCTACGCGCGCCAAGCATGTGTCCCTGGTTCGCAAAGTACTGGCCCGACTGTTGGAAAATGACCTTTATGCTAAGGCAGAAAAGTGTACGTTTTTCCAGCAGTCCGTCTCCTTCCTCGGATACCGCATTTCTACCACAGGTGTGGAGATGGAGGACGGCCGCAATGCAGCCGTGCATAATTGGCCAACTCCAACCACGGTAAAGGAGGTGCAGCGCTTCCTTGGCTTCGCCAACTATTACCAGAGGTTTATCCGGGGCTTTGGCAAGGTCGCAGCTCCCATTACATCTCTGTTGAAGGGTGGGCTGTCCCTGCTCTGCTGGTCTGCCTTCAGTAACCTGAGGAAACTGTTCACCTCGGCCCTGGTACTGGCCCACCCCGATCCATCACTACCGTTCGTAGTGGAGGTGGATGTGTCCGAGGTTGGGATGGGAGCAGTCCTGCCTCAACGCTCGGGCACGCCACCCAAGCTCCGCCCCTGTGCGTTCTTCTCAAAGAAGCTCAGCCCGGCGGAGTAGAACTACGGCGTTGGTGATCGGGAGCTGTTGGCTGTTGTCCGAGCTCTGACAGTGTGGAGACATTGCCTCGAGGGGGCGAAACACCCATTCCTCGTCTGGACAGACCACCGTAACCTGGAGTACATCCGGGCAGCGAGGAGGCTGAACCCTCGCCAGGCCAGGTGGGCCCTATTCTTCACCCGGTTTGATTTCACACTGTCATACATTCCGGGTACGAAGAACGTGAAGGAAGACGCACTGTCCCGGCTGTATGATACAGAGGAGAGGCCCAGAGACAATACCCCCATACTGCCAGACTCCTGCATTGTGGCGCCGGTAGTATGGGCGATGGACGCGGATATAGTGCAGGCATTACGCACAGATCCATCTCCACCGCAGTGTCCAGCTGGGCTGCAGTACGTGCCTGCGCTTATCCGTGATCGTCTGATCTACTGGGCACACACGTCACCCTCCTCTGGTCACCCAGGTATCGGTCGTACAGTGCGCTGCCTGACCGAAAAGTACTGGTGGCCTACCATGGCTAAGGACGTGAGGGTGTATGTTTCCTCCTGCTCGGTGTGCGCCCAGAGTAAGGCACCTAGGCACCTCCCAGCGGGTAAGTTAAAACCTTTACCAGTTCCACAACAACCATGGTCTCATTTGAGTGTTGATTTTTTAACTGATCTGCCTCTCTCTCAAGGGAACACCACCATCCTGGTCATTGTGGATCGCCTTTCGAAGGCCTGCCGCCTCCATCCTCTGCCCGGTCTCCCCATGGCTCTGCAAACTGCGGAGGCCCTGTTTACACACGTCTTCCGGCACAACGGGGTACCAGAGGATATAGTGTCTGACCGAGGTCCCCAGTTCACGTCAAATGTCTGGAAGGCGTTCATGGAACGTCTGGGAGTCTTGGTCAGCCTGACCTCTGGGTTCCACCCTGAGAGTAATGGGCAGGTGGAACGGGTTAATCAGGATGTGAGTAGGTTCCTGAGGTCCTATTGCCAGGACCGGCCGGGGGAGTGGTCGGTGTTCCTGCCATGGGCAGAATATGCCCAGAACTCTCTCCGCCACTCCTCTACAAACCTAACGCCATTCCAATGTGTTTTAGGTTACCAACCGGTTCTGGCACCGTGGCACCAGAGCCAGACCGAAGCTCCTGCGGTGGATGACTGGTTTCGGCGCGCGGAGGAGACGTGGAACGCTGCCCATGTTCACCTCCAATGCGCTGTGTGTCATCAGAAGGCTCCCGTCTTTGTACCGGGGGATTGGGTCTGGCTCTCAACCCAGAATCTGCCCCTCCGCCTACCCTGCCGGAAGATGAGCCTGCAGTTTGTAGGGCCGTTCAAAGTCCTGAGGAGAATCAACGAGGTCACATATAGGTTATTACTTCCCCCTGATTACCGTATTAACCCCTTGTTTCATGTGTCTCTCCTCAGGCCGGTGGTGGCTGGTCCGCTCCAGGAGTCTGAGGTGCGGGAGGTCCCTCCACCTCCTTTGGACATCGAGGGGGCGCCGGCGTACTCTGTCCGGTCCATCCTGGATTCGAGGCGCCGGGTGGGGGGCCTTCAGTACCTCATGGAGTGGGAAGGGTACGGTCCGGAGGAACGGTGCTGGGTTCCGGTGAGGGATGTCCTCGATTCCTCTCTGCTGAGGGACTTCCATCGTCGCCATCTGACTCGCCCTGCTCCGTGTCCTCCTGGCCGTCCCCGAGGCCGGTGTCGGTGCGCTGCTGGAGCTGCGCGTCAAGAAGGGGGGTACTGTCACGAATTCAGCCGAGGCTGCCCCTCCTCCTTGCTCGGGCAGGTTTCGGTGTTCGTCGTAACCGGCTTACTAGCCACTACCGCTCCATTTATCATCACTCCACTTGTCTTGACTTGTCTTGTCAATCACACACACCTGGTACTCATTCCCTCATTAGTCTGTGTATAAGTGTTCCCTCTGCCCCTTGTCCTTTGTGAGTGATTGTTCGTTGTGAGAGTGAGTAGCCCAGCAGCCTTGCCAAGTGGTGATGCAGCCAGTCAAGATGCCTTCAATGGTGCAGCTGTAGAACTTTCTGAGGATCTAAGGGCCCATGCCAAATCTTTTCACCCTCCTGAGGTGGAAGAGGCGTTGTCGTGCCCTCTTCATGACTGTGTTGGTGTTTTTGGATAGTGATGAAGCCGCAAAATTATATATAGGCTGGATAGAGATGTCATTATTACTAAGCAGATACCAGTATACTGCCCCTAACCACAGATGTAGGATCAGCTCACTCTACCCCCAAACCTAACCTAAACACTGCACTTCCTGACCCCTGAATCATTAAGGCGACAAAAAATATTTGAACCTTAAAGGGCAACAGGATAAAGATATCATAGACTATGGATACGACAGTCCACTATCTTGTATGATAAATGGATGAAGAGATGATGGAGGTGACAGTAGTACCTGGTAGGGTCCGTGAGGGGGGATATAGTACAGGTCTCCCTCACACACGTGGTAGCGTTCCTGCTCTATCAGCTCCCTGCAGTAGAAGATGGACAGTAGAGACACCAGCAGACGCCTGTCCTTGTCGTCCGTCACCCTGCCACCATAGTTACACTCACCTGAGAGAGAAAGGGAGAGAGAGAAAGAGAGAGAAAGAAGTGGAATTTATGTGTCTGTCTTCCACTAGTTCAGATTAGTAAACCCTCCTATGCTCTGATACAAACAGAGAAGGATCCTCTTTTACTTCTATGTGCTACAGTCTCTCTCTCCCTCTAAACCTATTTACACAGCTGTGAGAGCCTCACCAGTAAGGTAGGAGAGGGCCTCCAGAGGAATCTCCTCATACTCATCCAGGAACATCTGGATCTGTGTCATACTGATCCTCAGGTCAGACTCATTGAACTCATACGGGATATTCCAACCTTGGGGTCAAATGCGGAAATAAAAACAATTACACAAGTTTTGACCCTTTAACTCAAGTTATAAGAGAGGATATTCAATGCAGTGACATTATTCATTCATCATGACGTATACTGGAGGAAAATGTGTTTCCCCAGAAAGAGAGAAGGAACCAAAAGGATGAGCGAAAACACCAAAATACCATTTCAGTGACTGGAAGGGGATGAAAAAAATGAAAGAAAAAGGAGTAAAAATAAAGAAAAGAGAACCATACAAGAGTGTTAGTCTCACCCAGCGGTCCGAAGGTCCTCCTCTCCTGCACTAGAGCATGAAAAAAGCAGAGACCAAACAGCAACTTCTGCCATGCCTCCTGTTTCTTGGAGCTGTTGAAGAAGGCGGGGTCGGAGATGGGGTCGCTGACGTAGGAGCGGAACAGGTTGGCCCTCATCCCCTTGGGGGGCTCGTTGGTCATCTTCACCCCGTTCTGCAGGATGCTGACCGGGAACTTGTCAGACGGGTAACTGGTCAACCACAACCTGTGGAGTTAGCAATGATAGTGTTGGTTTAGTTTTGTTGCTCTGTACTTTGGTTTTATTTGTAGAAAATAGAAATGTATAGGATCATAAGCAACCAGAGTATTACAAACCCACAATAGACTGCCTGGCCAATGGCTATAATAGCTATAAAAACTCCCCCTGCACTGCACTGCAACGGCTGACCTGAAGGTGGGGTTGGTGTTTTCGGGGGTGATGCCCTCCTCACAGATCCTCTCCAGGGCGGGCATCCAGCTGGTGCACAGATGACAGTTCTGTAGCACCACCCAGGTGCCATCCTTGATGGCAGCATCGATCATCAGGGCTGCGATGGGTCCCTGGCCCTGGCCCAGGGAGATGGTCTGGGTCTTACTGCCCCCCATCTCAAGGTCGTCAGCAAACTTTAGCAGACCTGGAGACCAAAGGAACATTTAAGTACTGGCATGAAGTCTTGAGCACTCAAAAATCCAATCAGATGTGACCTCTTTAATGCAGATGTATAACATATGTATATAAAGTTGGTTAAAGACTAGTTTAGTTTTAATAATTTCTTGATGCATCATAATTCAATAAGTTAACTGGGCAGGACACAAAAACCCCAAATCAATATCCAAAACCTAAGTTAAAGCACAGAATACAGCTCAAAAGTCACAGGTATCTCTAATGAATTACCTGCAGTGGGATCAGATCCCGGAGAGAGCACAAAGATGAGAGGAGAGCAGCAGTTGGAGTCGTTGTAACTCCCGGCCAGATCGAAGGTGGGTGGCTCAATGTAGCTGCGTCCCATGTTGTCCACAATGAACTCCTGCACCGCCGGCACCAGCTTGTCCGGCCTGAAGCAGCGCAGCACCACCATGCGGTGCATCCCCACCAGCATCCTCCAGCTGTCAGGCAGCTGCTCCTTGTGAGGCTTCCCCGAATCGTAGATCTTCTTCCACTTGGGAATGTTGTCTCGGACGTGCTCGAAGAGACCTTCTAAGTTTGGCAGCTTGGACGCTCTTACGATTTCTGACCAGGACTTGTCGGAGAGCCACTCAGGAGCGGGGTTGGGGTCGGGGTTGTCCAGAGTAATGCCACCAGTGAGGAGGAAGCGCCAGATGGTGTCGTCCACCTGGCCCTTGCCTTGCATGATGCCCACGGTGAGGAGCAAGGAGAAGAGTAGCTTGTCCTTCTCGAAGAGCGATCGGCACACGTTGTTGTAGATGCTGATGGTGAAGTGCTCCACGATGTTCTCGATGCGGGTGGCCAGGTCGTCACTCTTCAAGCTCTGGGCGATGGACTGCAGGTAGAGGTTGATGAACCAGGTGAGTGAGTACTGGTACATGGGCTCTATGTTGGCCAGCTCCGAGATGCAGAAGAACAGGATGGACGAGTGCTCGGCTACAGGCCGGTAGCCCATGCGCGTGTTGTCAATCTCCTTCTCCGTGACACTGGCGATCTTCTGCTTCTCCGAGATCTCCTCGGACAGCACCTTGGAGGAAGACAGGACCTTGATGGCCGTTTCGTCTTCTAGGATGTTACCCTCTGAGGAAGACAGGATTTTTAGGATTTTATCCTCAATCTCCTTCAGCTGCTTGTTGTTTGCGGCACTCTCCAGGATCAGCTGGTTCTTCTTCTCTTCTAGTTCTGGTTTCTCCTTGGCGGCCACGATGCCCAGAAGCTGGTCCTCCAAACCCAGTGGGGTGATCATGAAGTTGAGCAGGCAGACTTTAACTGCCACCTCGGGGAGGTAGTGCGGGCTTCTCAGGCTGGTGGTCATGTAGAAGAGGAAGTCTTTGGAGTACTCCACAATGTTCTCTCCTAGCTTCATGTACTCCACGCCTTGCTGTCTGAAGGTCTGCTTCAGCAGCACCGGTTCCAGTACTGCATCAAGTTCTTCTCCAATGTTCTCCAGCAGAACAGGGGTGCCGAACGCGATGGAGTTCTCCAGTGTTCTCACATAGTTACCGTCTGACAGCTTGATGACGGCCAGCTTGTTGGCCTTCTCCATGTTCTTGATCCACTTGTTGGCCTGGCCCTGCGGGTCGATCATGAGGGGCCAGCGGCGTGAGTTGGACACGATGATGCCGTTGTCAGTGGAGAAGGAGTCGACAGGCAGGCCGGCGATCTGCCATGCCCGGATGGACACCTGGTTGCCCAGGGTGTTGCTGAGGGTGAAGTCCTCAGAGCATGGCACCTTCTTGGCCTGGCAGAGCAGATGCCACTCCCGCTGGCATTCCACACGGTAGTCCACGGTGAAGGCCCCCAGGTAGGACACGGTGCCGGAGGAGAGGAGCACATCGCCTGTCAGGTTGGTGTACCTGATCCCCAGCAGCCGGGCTGCCTCCGTCCACCTATCCTTCTCCCCACCCAGCCCTCCAATCAGCTGCTCTGCCCTGATCAGCTTCTGCGAGCACAGCTCAATATTTTCTTCCAAGTCTTTCTTCTTGTTGCACATGGCCTCGAACGTGTCGTTCAGGTCCTGGAGCTTGTCCACCACCTCCTTCAGCTCAGCTCTCTTCACTGACAGCATCTGCATCTGCACCCCAAGCTCGTCCTCAGCCTCCTTCAGCTTCTCTATCTTGGGGGCCACCACTTTGGACACACGCTCGTACACCTCCATGGCCCGCACCCACTTACAAAGGCCCTCACAGGCAGAGGAGACGTTCTTGATGATAGAGGGCTGGAACTCAGGGTTGTCGATGAATTTGTCACGGATCTTCTTGATGTTGGCGGCGGCGATGTTGTCTTTGTCGTAGGCTTTGAGGTTCTCCAGGAACTTCATGTCTCCCAGGAGCTTCTTGGAGGGGCCCCAGAAGTCCTCAATCATCTTACCTGTAACACAAATAATCAAACATAACACATTACTTCACAATTAAGCCCATGTTTTTTCAAACATATTTACAGAAATGTATCTGCTTACGTACATAATTTCCTGTTTCATCTGTATAATTTAATATTACATAAATGATTTATCTGTGCTTACCTGAGCCACCAGGATCGGGCTTCCTCTCTGGCTTGATGCCTTTCATGATGCAGATGGACTCCATGACCAGTTTGACCAGACCTGGAGGGTTCGACATGGACTTGACCACTGTGATGTCTGATGGTTTCAGGGTGTCCAGGGCTGACAAGGCAGCCTCAAGGGCAGGCATGGCCTCCGCCAGATCACCCTCACACTCATCCTGAACACAGACAGCAGGCAGTTACTCACTTGTAATACAGAAACGAATGTCATCTGTCAAAATGTTGTTCCTTGCTAGCAGTTCTAACATTACAGATACAGAGGAAATTTTAATTGGAACATGCAACCCCAAATATATGTCATTTACAGTATATCGTCTTTATAATTGTAGTGTGAGTTGATCTGAATGATACAAGATGTTGTAAAGTGACAGTGTAGACGTACCTTTATAGCTTTGGCTGCTGCAGCCGCGTCGTTGGCCACCTTCTCATCTGCCAACACCAGCTCTTTCTTAGCATCCACAACTACTGTCTCCTTCTCGATGTTGACCATCATCTTATCTGTCTCAGCTGATGTCTGGATCAGCTCTGGCTGCAGGGCGGTCAGCTCCTCCTGCATTATCGACACCTGTGGAACCAACATGGAGTCATTCAGATGGAAGGGGCAGAGTGCTTAAGGCTTGTAACATCATGTTAGTCAATTTAGGGACTTTACGATGTGAGTTTTTGCTCTTTTTATTAATCAACTAGGCATTATTGTACGATAATGGGTTAAAGGTGCAATATGTAACTTTTTGGGCAACCCGACCAACTTCACATAGAAATGTGAGTTATAGAGCTGTCATTCTCCTTAAAAGCAAGTCTAAGAAGTGGTATATCTATTCTATGTGCGTTATTTCTATGCTTCCCATTCTTAAGTTTAGTTTAAATGACTTTTACTTTCAGGTTTGGACACCAGCTTCAAACAGCTGAAAATACAACATTTTTGGTTATGGAAAAGAAATGTCACAGTGTTTAGATTCTCTACACTATACTTGCTTGTTTTGTCACATAATTATATTATTATTATTATTTAAACAGAAATTATGCAAACTCCTCAAATTTTTGCAACCAGGAAATGGCGGAGCGATTTCTGCATAGTGCATCTTTAAGACGTGATGATGGTACACTGAGGCCTCATCATTCCCACAATGAGGATTGTTCTGCCAATCACATGTCAAAATAGGCCATAGTACCTTGGTTATCTGTTAACTCTGTACCAAAGCATTGTAACTCAGCAAATATAAATGGGCCTTATATAAGTAGACTTAGTTGACTAAACTATCCCACCTGAGATGCAGCAAAGTACAGCTTCTCCAGACCCACAATGTAGCGGTTTCTCTGAGTGTCCACCTCACTCCTCTTGGAGTTGAGCAGGACCTTGTATGTAAGAATGAGCTCCAGGTAGGATGTGGGCGTCACATAGTTGTGTCTCCTGAGTTGAGAGAAGTACCTCTCGGACAAGCCTCCCACGCTCTCCTGGAAGGTTTTACACATCTCCACCACTCTGAGAGACACACAAAACAATGACTTGGTAAAAAACTCCATGAAATGGGAGAGGAGTTGTGACAGTAAACAATGTGACTTTCTGTCACAATAAATTGACAAGAAGGGTCAAGCTCATGTACATTTTCATCAAGTGTGTGGTCATCAATTTGCAGAAACCTGAAGAGAAATTGACTATTAACTAGTCCAGTAGCCTACCATAGACTACTAGCAGCCTAGTAGCTCATAGCCATTTCGTAGCTTGTAGCTAAATCAACAGAGAGAGACACTAGCCGGGTGTTATGAGTGGATACGTTTCTTACTGTAGCCTGACGTTGTCCTCCAGCTCCACATCCTCCAGGAACTTGTTGGCCACCATCTCCAGAGCGTCTTTAGGCCAGGCCTGGAACCAGTCGATGGTGCAGCAGTTGATGAGGGAGGGGAACATCCTCAACCGGTTTCGGAAGGCATCCCCTATCGGGCTCATTGCTGTCCAAAGACAAACACCATCACTGTTTAGACATGAATACTGTAAAGATTCTTAAAGCAAGGTAACTCTAAAAGCCACAATGGATGTGGGATTGAAACCATCACAATTACCAGTAAAGAGGTTGTGTATGGGTAACCTAGTAATAATACTAAATGTATGAAGGTACCCACCGAGCACAATGTGGAGGTTTGCCTTGACGCGCTCGATGAAGAAGTTGTACATGGAGAGCGGTGTAGCGTCGATCTTCTTGCCCTCCATGCGGGCAATGCCCTGCACCTTGTCGATGATGTCGGCACGCTCGTCGGCTGGGAAGATGTTGGGCACATCGCCTGTGTTGAGCAGCATGTTAATGTCCTCCACGAAGGCCTCGTCCTTGATCTGGCTGTCATTGAACAGGAACACCATGTTCTTGCCCTGCAGGCCCGCCTTGAGCATCAACCGCTTTAGGTCGTCGCGCCACTCTGACACGCCGTAGTTCTTGGTGAATGAATAAATGAATGAATTGAACTCATGGACTTATTTCCAGACTTTCATGGACTTTATCACAAGGGCAAAAGAATGGGCAGGACTGACTGTACATTGGTCACTAAAAGCGCTTTACATACAATTCAAATGGGAATAGATATAATACATACAATATACAAATGCATACCATCATCAAGACTACACAAGATAAGTAGCCTAATTAGCATGACCTTACAGTTGCCCATGAGTACTTCTCAGAACCTTCTCTCAAACCCTCCCTCTGGCCCTGGGACATAGAGACAAACTTTGTGACTTCTTACAGCTGAGGTAGGCTACCAACCCCCGACCTCAGCCTGTGACTATTGTCCTGCTGCAGAAGCCCACTTCACAGCTATGTGTTAGGGACCAAGTTGCCAGGGTAAAGAGTCAGCTAACCCGGTCAGCCATTCAGTGGCCTAACCTGGGGTTGGAGACCCCGGTCTGCCCCTGAACTCTTTAGTTGTTTCCAGGAGGGCAGGTTGAGACAACCTCTATAAACTCCTCTCCTCCACCTCAACTCACATCTGGACCCTTTCCACATGGAAAATCCTTCTTCTGGACTCAATGACTGGTGTTTAGAGCGTCTTTGACCATTAACCACTACACCACTATCACTACCACCACTACCACCTCCTCTGTAAAGTCGTGTGTGTGTGTCTATTTGGTGTGTGGCAATAAAGTGTGATTTGTATCCCTGTCTCCTGCTGGTCATTATCAGTCCTCTTATCAGTCCTCTTACCTATATATTTAAACCGGCACCTCTATCGGAGACCAGCACATGGTGGCGCTCTTTTTCACTAAGCTACATTCATTGACCTTCAGAGTTCTCTTGATCCGGTTACCTTAGTTAGCTCGATCTGGAAGAGGTCGTAGTCATTGATGAAGGTGCCCAGCTTGGTGGCGCTCTGCCGTCCTGAACCCCCGATGCCCACCAGGAGAAGATGCCCGTTGTTTTGCTTGAGCACACGGCAGATACGCGAGATGTGCTCGATGGCAAACTTGAACATGACAAGGGACATGGGCGCCTTGCTGACATTGTTGAACTCGTCCAGGTAGTAGTCCATCACGTTGGTCAGAACGTGCAGGTCGGTGATCTCGTCGTAGGCCTTGGCGTCCGAGTCGGGCTTGGCGTAGTCTCCGAAGAACAGGCTGCGGATCGTCTCGTCCACAACCTTACCGCTAGGCGTCAGGTGGGTCAGCAGCTACATACAACAGGGGGCAGTAGAATGGATTTAGAATAAATAACATCTGCATTGCTCTTGAACTAGTAACCATTAGACTACACTAAATAAATCACACTTACACTAATGCAGAAGCCTGACAGAAGATACATGGTCAATTTGAAAGACAATGATCATCCAACAATGAAGAACTGTGAATGTATAATAAGTGTAATGTGGAACTTACCTTATCCATGCTCTGCTTGAAGTAGCCGGAAGTCCTCTCCTTTACAATGTTGAAGAATGTCTCTCTGTCCTCGTTGTCGATGAGGCGGTCGTAGAACACACGGTAGACCTCATGGATCCACAGGCGGATCAGCTTGTCTCCCTCCTGCTCACACAGAAACAGATCATACATAAATGAATACATAAAACATTTCGAATCTCCGCATATTTGTATTTTCACAAGGTACAGTATTTAGTATAAAAGTGATATAGAAGTTGTTAGCTATGAGCTGTTGTCATCTGGTCTTGCCTGGAGGTGCGTGGGTGGGCTGAGCAGCACCCCGCGGATCACCCTGGCAAAGTCCCTGAGGTTGAAGATGTAGTGGGACTTGGAGGGGGTGGGTAGGAAGCTTTCCATGGCATCCTGATAGACAGCCATGGTGGCCTGCACCATGATCTTCCCCAGTCTGGACACACAGACAACATACAGTGCATTTGGAAAGTATTCAGATCCCTTGACTTTTTCCACATTTTGTAACGTTACAGCCTTATTCTAAAATGGATTAAATTGCTTTTTTCCTCATCAATCTACACACAATACCCAATAATGACAAAGCAAAAACATGTTTTTAGAAATGTCTGCTAATTTATTAAAAATACAAAACTGTAATATCACATTTACAGTATTCAGACCCTTTACTCAGTACTTTGTTGAAGTACCTTTGGCATTGATTACAAGCTTGGCACACCTATATTTGGGGAGTTTCTCCCATTCTTCTCTGCAGATCCTCTCAAGCTCTGTCAGGTTGGATGGTCAGTGTTGCTGCACAGCTATTTTCAGGTCTCTCCAGAAATGTTAGATTGGGTTCAAGTCCGGGCTCTGGCTGGGCCACTCAAGGACATTCAGATACTTGTACCGAAGCCACTCCTGCGTTGTCTTGGCTGTGTGCTTAGGGTCGTTGTCCTGTTGGAAGGTGAACCTTTGCCCCAGTCTGAGGTCCAGAGCACTCTGGAGCAGGTTTTCATCAAGGATCTCTCTGTACTTTGCTCCGTTCATCTTTCCCTCGATCCTGACTAGTCTCCCAGTCCCTGCCGCTGAAAAACATCCCCACAGCACGATGCTGCTGCCACCACCATGCTTCACCGTAGGGATGGTACCAGGTTTCCTCCAGACATGACGCATGGCATTCAGGCCAAATAGTTCAATCTTGGTTTCATCAGACCAGAGAATCTTGTTTCTCATGGTCTTTAGGTGCCTTTTGGCAAACTCCAAGCGGGTTGTCATGTTCCTTTTACTGAGGAGTGGCTTCCGTCTGGCCACTCTACCATAAAGGCCTGATTGGTGGAGTGCTGGAAGGTTCTCCCATCTCCACAGAGGAACTCTGGAGCTCTGTCAGAGTGACCATCGGGTTCTTGGTCACCTCCCTGACCAAGGCCTTTCTCCCCTGATTGCTCAGTTTGGCCGGGCGGCCAGTTCTAGGAAGAGTCTTGGTGGTTCCAAACTTCTTCCATTTAAGAATGATGGAAGCCACTGCGTTCTTGGGGACCTTCAATGCTGCAGAAATATTTTCATCCCTTCCCCAGATCTGAGCCTCGACACAATCCTGTCTCGGAGCTCCGTGGACAATTCCATCGACCTCATGGCTTGGTTTTTGCTCTGACATGCACTGTCAACTGTGGGACCTTATATAGACAGGTGTATGCCTTTCCAAATCATGTCCAATCAATTGAATTTACCACCGGTGGACTCCAATCAAGTTCTAGAAACATCTCAAGTATGATCAATGGAAACAGGATGCACCTGAGCTCAATTTCGAGTCTCATAGCAAAGGGTCTGAATACTTATGTAAATAAGGTATTTCTGTTTTTAATTTTTAATACATCTCCAAACCTGTTTTCGCTTTGTCATTATGGGGTATTGTGTGTAGATTGATGAGGAATTTGTTTTATTTAATCCATTTTAGAATAAGACTGTAACGTAACAACATGTAGAAAAAGTAAAGTGGGCTGAATACTTTCCGAATACACTGTAAGTCAGAGGTCAGAATGTATTCCATTGAGTGAGATGATCCATTGGTCCTACATATAGGCTCAGATTGTTTGAATGTTTCATGTTATCTCTCTGTCCTTTCCTCAACAACAGGGATTGTTGGTTACATCAATTGTTGGTTACAAGCCGTTTAGGGGCCATTTTAATTGAACAGATATTAATGAATGTCTCTGTTCATCACCAAGTTCATCACACTACAACACAAATGGGCCATAGAACTGCATAGCCTCTCAATTCTAGGTAAGGATAAGTTTTAGACATCTCACCTATAGAAAGCAGCATCAAATCCCTTGCCAAAATGCCAGTCGGTAATGGAGGTGAATATCTTGCTCAGCGTCTCATGGTCAAAGGAGTCGATAGAAACAATATTCAAATGACGGGTGAAGCGGCCTATGATTTAAAAGAGAAACTAACTGGTAAACTTTTACAACAAAATTATATACACATTGAGAAAACCTACCTACTTGAAAGGAAAACAATTTATGCATACCAAATCACTGAAGCAAAGGGTCTTGTTCAGTACGATCAAAACAGGAGAAACTGTTTTAAAATGGAGAGGTACTACCTCAACTTGTTCAATAAGAAACGCTAATTGTTGTGCCTTACTGAACACCACCCAGTACTTGACGGCAAAGAAAGAGTACCTGAAATGTCATTCCTCCCCCCACCAGGGGGCCCCATAGCAGATACGAACAGAATGTCCACAATGTCAATCCTGGAGGTGTCCTTCTTGTCGTACCAGTGGTAGTGGTCGATCCACTGCCTCAGCAGCTCAATGGGTGGTTGGGCGCCATAGATCTCCTTGGCAGGCATGTTGAGGTCATCTGATAGATCAAAGGTCAGACTGATCACTAGTGTGAATCTCAATTGTATTTCCTTGATTACTCACATCCTCTCTCCTTGCCCCCTTTTTAAAATGCATTGGCAAAGAATATTCAAGGTTCCTCCAATCTGACCTTCTCTCCAATGCGTTTTGAGCAGGGGAGAACAACTGTCCCCTCTCATTAAAGCCACGAAGTTCAAAGCTGACCATGGTACTGCAGGAATTGTTGACAGAAAACAGGATCCCCCATTATAGTGAATGGGAAAATGGCAATCTTCGTGGTCAATCTTCATGTAAATAAATGAACAATTCTAAGACAACCATGGTACCAATAATTGCTTCTATTACACCAGATGTATGTCCTTGAACCACACATAGAAGAAGATCTACAGGGATGTAGCTCAGTTGGTAGAGCATGGCGTTTGCAACGCCAGGGTTGTGGGTTCGATTCCCACAGGGGGCCAGTATGAAATGTTTTTTAATTTTTTTATGTATGCACTCACTAACTGTAAGTCGCTCTGGATAAGAGCGTCTGCTAAATGACGTAAATGTAAATCTTAAGGATAATTTTATTGCTAATGGCAGCCTGCAGTACCCTGGTCGGCATTCGACTTGAGATACTCAATGAGAGGGCGCAGTACTAAGCTAGCCTGCAATGTCACTTCCTGGAGTAGCTCAAACTGCGCATGTTATGTATCCATGAGATGCCATCTTAACCATCTTTTTTGGCTTCAAATGCGCTATTGAGTCTTCATATAGGAATGAATGGTGTCACGTGATCAATGGCTTTGTCCATTCATATACAGTCATTGGTTTTGAGGAGGGGAGGAGAGAGGACGTGAGGAATCAAGGAACTGAGGTTTCATACACTCTTTAAAGGTGAAATGGTAGGGGAGACACTGGTTGTGTCCAAAATGGCACCCTATTTCCTATATAGTGCACTTCTTTTGAGGGGAAAAAGTAGTGCACTATATACAGAATAGGGTGCCATGTCAGACCTGTGTTAAGCATTGAGTAGCATGGACACAGTAACGTGCTCCACTGAGTGTCCTACTCATTCCTTACCCACGTAGACGACACACTTCTTTCCCATGGGTGGCCCGAACACGCCCTTCCTCCGGCGGTCCAGCTTGCCCATGATAATGTCCTGGGTCTGGTTGGCTGAGGTGCGTGCCGAGAAGTTGATGCAGTTGGGTGTGTAGCGCTCCTTAGGCAGCTTGAGCAGAAAGCTGTTGTTGATGACTGACTTGCCCGTGCCGGTGGGCCCCACGAACAGCATGGGCACCTCGTGGGCCAGGTAGGTCTGCAGGAAGAACAGCTGACGGGCTGTCTCCATGGTGGGGATGATCAGGTCTGACACCTAATAGGGGGAATAGAGAGCATGACAACCTGGTTACTCCCATTTCAATTCCTCCAATCACTAGTAAAGGAGAAGAGATTTTACAGAACATGACAACCCAGTTATAGCCCCATTTGACCCCCTCTATTAGTCACACTCTTAGGTAAACAACTGACATTGGCTCCAGCGGCAATAGTGGACTCCTCCTTGGTGATGGAATCAGTCCATGTATTCCACTGCCCTGTGCCTTGCTTGTGGAAGTAGTAGTCATAGACGGTGCCTACAGAGGAGGAAAACTAAAATGACTAATTGTACCTTTAATTATTGTATTGAGCAAGTGAAAGAATCAATCAAACTTTATTATATAGCACATTTCTTACGACAAATGCATTTCAAGGTGCTTAGCAAATAAAAGAATAAAACGTGAAGAAGATAAAACCAAAAAGTTTCTATGCAAATATAAAATCAAGATAGACATCAATAAAATTAAGAGATAAATTGAAATCATAAAACAATAGTAAGATAACAGTGGATACGAGAGACTAATGCAGCAATAAATAAAAGGGGATAAAATCAGATACATAAAAAGGGATATAATCAGATACATAAAAAGGGATATAATCAGATACATAAAAAGGGATATAATCAGATACATAAAAAGGGATATAATCAGATACATAAATAGGGATATAATCAGATACATAAAAAGGGATATAATCAGATACATAAAAAGGGATCAAATAAATAAAGTAGATAATATGGCTAATATTGGTAAAAGCACAGCTAAAAAGACATGTCTTAAGCAGCAACGCTTTGGGACTGTTGTCAGGTATGGTTGTCAGTCACAGCACAACTCATTGATAGGGTCATGTCACCTCTCTCAGGGAAGACGTTGTTCTTGGTCAGTTTGACACTTTTGGGCCGGGGGTGGTTGTCATCCATGCCCATGATCAGGTTCCTGTAGAAGGCGTCAAACTTATTGCGGCTGTCCCCGTTGATGGTCCCGCCCACACTCCACACCACAGCGAATAGGAACAGGCCCTGCAGCCACATGGTCACCTGCTGACTGGACATGGGCTCTGCGCCATTGGTCCCCGATGCTGCAATGTCATCTTGTGAAGGAGTCCAGGCGCAGCAACACACATACAAAGGAACAGTCGCACACATACATACATACAAGGTCATCAATCAATGAGAAAGGTCTTCTAAACCTTCTCCAGACAGATAGAACACCAGTTTATGTCTGGACTTCATAGTTTGACATTGTATCATGAAACAGCTGTGTGTTGGCTGACCTAGGAGACAGGTGTAGAGCCTCATCAGGCTGTAGGTCAGGTGGATGGGAGACGTCGACACCAGGAAACGACACTCTCTGGAGGTGAAGTCCAGACAGGGCTGGACCAGCCAGTTGAACATGTCCACAATCTGCAGAAAGACATGAGATGGTGTGTCACACATAATATAATGGAAAGGGGATACCTAGTCAGTTGCACAAGTGAATGCATTCAACCGAAATGGGTCTTATAACCCAGAACACAATGGACAAAGTATGGTACAAATCATTGATTATGCTGTATGGTGATAATTACAGTTGAAGTCGGAAGTTAACATACACCTTAGCCAAATACTTTTAAACTCAGTTTTTTCACAATTCCTGACATTTAATCCTAGTAAAAATTCCCTGTTTTAGGTCAGTTAGGATCACCACATTATTTTAAGAATGTGAAATGTCAGAATAATAGTAGAGAGAATGATTTATTTCAGCTTTTATTTCTTTCATCACATTCCCAGTGGGTCAGAAGTTTACATACACTCAATTAGTATTTGGTAGCATTGCCTTTAAATTGTTTAACTTGGGTCAAACGTTTCGGGTAGCCTTCCACAAGCTTCCCACAATAAGTTGGGTGAATTTTGGCCCATTCCTCCTGACAGAGCTGGTGTAACTGAGTCAGGTTTGTAGGCCTCCTTGCTCGCACACACTTTTTCAGTTCTGCCCACACATTTTCTATAGGATTGATGTCAGGGCTTTGTGATGGCCACTCCAATACCTTGACTTTGTTGTCCTTAAGCCATTTTGCCACAACTTTGGAAGTATGCTTGGGGTCATTGTCCATTTGGAAGACCCATTTGCGACCAAGCTTTAACTTCCTGACTGATGTCTTGAGATGTTGCAATATATCCACATAATTTTCCTTCCTCATGATGCCATCTATTTTGTGAAGTGCACCAGTCCCTCCTGCAGCAAAGCACCCCCACAGCATGATGCTGCCACCACCGTGTTTCACGGTTGGGATGGTGTTCTTCGACTTGCAAGCTACCCCCTTTTTCCTCCAAACATAATGATGGTCATTATGGCCAAACAGTTCTATTTTTGTTTCATCAGACCAGAGGACATTTTTCTAAAAAGTACAATCTTTGTCCCCATGTGCAGTTGCAAACCGTAGTCTGGCCTTTTTATGGCGGTTTTAGAGCAGTGGCTTCTTCCTTGCTGAGCGGCCTTTCAGGTTATGTTGATATAGGACTTGTTTTACTGTGGATATAGATACTTTTGTACCTGTTTCCTCCAGCATCTTCACAAGGTCCTTTGCTGTTGTTCTGGGATTTATTTGCACTTTTCGCACCAAAGTACGTTCATATCTAGGAGACAGAAAGCGTCTCCTTCCTGAGCGGTATGACGGCTGCGTGGTCCCATGGTGTTTATACTTGCGTACTATTGTTTGTACAGATGAACGTGGAACCTTCAGGCATTTGGAAATTGCTCCCAAGGATGAACCAGACTTGTGGAGGTCTACAATAATTTTTCTGAGGTCTTGGCTGATTTCTTTTGATTTTCCGATGATGTCAAGCAAAGAGGCACTGAGTTTGAAGGTAGGCCTTGAAATACATCCACAGGTACACCTCCAATTGACTCAAATTATGTCAATTAGCCTATCAGAAGCTTCTAAAGCCATGACATCCTTTTCTGGAATTTTCCAAGCTGTTTAAAGGCACAATCAACTTAGTGTATGTATACTTCTGACCCACAAAGTAGATGTCCTAACCGACTTGCCAAAACTATAGTTTGTTAACAAGAAATGTTTGGAGTGGTTGAAAAACAACCTAAGTGTATGTAAACTTCCAACTTCAACTGTATCTAAGAATATTAAAACCGAACCTCCTTTAGTAAAACAAAAAAGAAAACAGTGTGAGTTTTTGTTTGTGTCTGTTCTCACCAGGTCCCTGTGTTCAGTGCTCAGGCTTTCAGGCAAGGTGTCCATGTAGGAGTCTCTAAGAGGGGCCCAGCCTAACTGGTGAGGCTCCATATAGATCATACCACATCTGAAGATACAAGGACAGCCAGCCATGTACGATTCATTAAGGGGCAAATCTTAACTTCCACCTAAATCCACCTAGTCTTCAATTGACATTAATAGATGTCTAAGTGAACATTCTAGTTAAGTGGAAGTTAAGATTCACCCCTAACAGCAGAACAATCATTTATTCATCAAAGTATCAACAACCAGCTACCAACTTGCTATCCTACACCTGGTTGACTCAACACCCAACCAGAAGAATGGTTTGCTCCTTTCTTCCAGTCACAAAATACAGTAAGCCACAACATATTGAATTTGAGTACTTCTCGAAAACAGTGTCCCCCCCCCCACTCACCTGCTGACCGTAGCTGGGGAGGCCTGTTCCAGGTCGGCCGTCTCAAAGATCAGACTCATCTTAGCGCTCATCTGGATGATCTCACCACTCATCAGACACAGCTACAGAGAACAGTACAAAACCTACCTTAGTGCTTGGCACTAGACAAACAGGGCACTCATTATATAATCAATGGACACTGCACTACTGTCCAAAGAGGGTAATAATGGTAAAAGGTGACTTGTAGTCACTGGAAGAAGTGAAAAGAAAACTCTCGTAACAATTTACTCAAAGCAGACCAGAAATAATGCTTAATTACTTGTTATAAGCGTGTATGAGCCTCTATAACCTCTTATTATAAAGCTTATATGTTATGTCTCTCTATAACCAGATTTCCATCCAACCTTTTTAGGAGAGTAAAGTAAATGTGAGATTTAAAAAAAGATATGGAAATACTACAAGGTGGGATCTTTTTGTGTCGGTAAAATTAATAATGCGAGAAATTGTGCTTTTATGCGCAAATATTGATATAATAACCATCATATCGAAGTAAACTTTGAGTCACACGACTATATGTTGTGTGGTCCTCCCACTACGACTCGGGAAAGCATGCAGTTTATTAGGCTACAGATGAAATAAGTTATGATGAACTTCACAGGGTGGTGAAAGTGCACAGAGATGAGCTTGATGCTCCTTTCCAATAAATATCGAGGGTCTTATTCTGGTGACATGATGATCAATGCTTGGCCTTTTATCCTCAATAACACATCTCTGGCGGGAAAATGTTTTTATGTAGATTTTAGAATATTTGCATGAAAATCTGTTGCCAATTGAATGTAAACCTAGCTTATGAAGCTAACTCCCTACCTTCTTGTTGTCGTCCAGCACTGTGTTCATGTTCTCGATCCACACAGCGTCGATGGGCCCGTCGAAGAGGATCCACTGGCGGTCGTCCGAGGTGGAGACGGCCTGCTCCCTGAAGGAGACGGCCAGCACCCCGTCCGACCACTCGTGGCTGACAGTGTCGAAGCAACCGTACAGCTGGCCCATGGTGATGGCCTTGGGGTTGATGATCCGGTAGTCGACCGCAAACTCCTCCATCAGACCAGCTGGTGGTAAAGAGGATGCCAGAGGATGGAAACATGATGACCGTAAAAATAGAATATACAGTGGGGAAAAAAAAGTATTTAGTCAGCCACCAATTGTGCAAGTTCTCCCACTTAAAAAGATGAGAGAGTCCTGTAATTTTCATCATAGGTACACATCAACTATGACAGACAAAATGAGGAAAAAAAATCCAGAAAATCACATTGTAGGATTTTTTATGAATTTATTTGCAAATTATGGTGGAAAATAAGTATTTGGTCAATAACAAAAGTTTCTCAATACTTTGTTATATACCCTTTGTTGGCAATGACACAGGTCAAACGTTTTCTGTAAGTCTTCACAAGGTTTTCACACACTGTTGCTGGTATTTTGGCCCATTCCTCCATGCAGATCTCCTCTAGAGCAGTGATGTTTTGGGGCTGTCGCTGGGCAACACGGACTTTCAATTCCCTCCAAAGATTTTCTATGAGGTTGAGATCTGGAGACTGGCTAGGCCACTCCAGGACCTTGAAATGCTTCTTACGAAGCCACTCCTTCGTTGCCCGGGCGGTGTGTTTGGGATCATTGTCATGCTGAAAGACCCAGCCACGTTTCATCTTCAATGCCCTTGCTGATGGAAGGAGGTTTTCACTCAAAATGTCACGATACATGGCCCCATTCATTCTTTCCTTTACACGGATCAGTCGTCCTGGTCCCTTTGCAGAAAAACAGCCCCAAAGCATGATGTTTCCACCCCCATGCTTCACAGTAGGTATGGTGTTCTTTGGATGCAACTCAGCATTCATTGTCCTCCAAACACGACGAGTTGAGTTTTTACCAAAAAGTTCTATTTTGGTTTCATCGGACCATATGACATTCTCCCAATCCTCTTCTGGATCATCCAAATGCACTCTAGCAAACTTCAGACAGGCCTGGACATGTACTGGCTTAAGCAGGGGGACACGTCTGGCACTGCAGGATTTGAGCCCCTGGCGGCATAGTGTTTTACTGATGGTAGGCTTTGTTACTTTGGTCCCAGCTCTCTGCAGGTCATTCACTAGGTCCCCCCGTGTGGTTCTGGGATTTTTGCTCACCGTTCTTGTGATCATTTTGACCCCACGGGGTGAGATCTTGCGTGGAGCCCCAGATCGAGGGAGATTATCAGTGGTCTTGTATGTCTTCCATTTCCTAATAATTGCTCCCACAGTTGATTTCTTCAAACCAAGCTGCTTACCTATTGCAGATTCAGTCTTCCCAGCCTGGTGCAGGTCTACAATTTTGTTTCTGGTGTCCTTTGACAGCTCTTTGGTCTTGGCCATAGTGGAGTTTGGAGTGTGACTGTTTGAGGTTGTGGACAGGTGTCTTTTATACTGATAACAAGTTCAAACAGGTGCCATTAATACAGGTAATGAGTGGAGGACTGAGGAGCCTCTTAAAGAAGAAGTTACAGGTCTGTGAGAGCCAGAAATCTTGCTTGTTTGTAGGTGACCAAATACTTATTTTCCACCATAATTTGCAAATAAATTCATTAAAAATCCTACAATGTTATTTTCTGGATTCTTTTTCCTCAATTTGTCTGTCATAGTTTACGTGTACCTATGATGAAAATTACAGGCCTCTCTCATCTTTTTAAGTGGGAGAACTTGCACAATTGGTGGCTGACTAAATACTTTTTTTCCCCACTGTATAGAGTGGGTATCATCATATTTTGGTGCAATTTATTTGTTGTTACCAAAACTGGCACTACTTTTGGCTTGATAATGTGGACTTTCGATGTCATAAAGTTGCTGCCTGGTAGGACTAACCTTCAAACAGATCACCCAAGGCCCCAGCCAGGACTTTATAGGCAGAGGTCTTCCCACCCAGAGGGTCTCCCACGATCATGAAACCATGACGCACCAGCATCATATCATACACCTATCAACACAAAAGAACCAAAGGGAGAAGTTCTTACAGCATTGTTCCTTATTTAACCACAATTTCGTAGAAAATAGGTGAGGTTGAGGTATCAGTGACACTGAGAAGGACATAGAAATGCTGGCATTTTGTTTTGGATTACCTGGATGATTTTGCCGATGAACCAGGGCACAGGCTGGAGCTGGAGCTTGGTGATGTTGTCATTCAGGGCCTGCATGAGAAGCTCGTAGTCTGGTTTGGGAAGGACCACTCCAGGGAAAAGATCCGATATGATACCCTATGTATACAATTCAAGCATACAGTCATGTGTGAAAGTGTGAGAGATATGACAGACAAGTTAAAATGTGAACTAACAGGTGAAAAGCTAAGAAAGCTCTGACAGAATTAGCTTCTGTGGAGAAGCATAAAATTACTCAGTTTATAATGATGACATTGGTGCATAGCAAATTGGCCAGTGTTACCTAGTGTTGATTTTTCAGTGTAACATTTCTAGTGTTGATTCCGGAGTGCAATTCTCTCTGTAAATGTTAAATTAGCACTTATTGGTGTAAATTAACCTCAGTGTTGGATTTAATAACCAGAGTTGAACTAAAACCACACCCATCATTATCATATTTCCCAGCATGCTCTATTGCAGGTTCATTTTTAGAATTGTTTATTTCAATATCTATGTTTTTGCATGTACATTGATTGATTAATTAATCTTATGCTACTCAAATATAAATAACATATACTACCGTTCAAAAGTTTGGGGTCACTTAGAAATGTCCTTGTTTTCCATGAAAACATCCATGAAATGAGATTGAATAGGAAATATAGCAAAATGAATAGGAAATGTAGTCATTGACAAGGTTAGAAATAATGATTTTTAATTGAAATAATAATTGTTTCCTTCAAACTTTGCTTTCGTCAAAGAATCCTCCATTTGCAGCAATTACAGACTTGCAGACCTTTGGCATTCTAGTTGTCCATTTGTTGAGGTAATCTGAAGAGATTTCACCCCATGCTTCCTGAAACACCTCCTACAAGTTGAATTGGCTTGATGGGCACTTCTTACGTACCATACGGTCAAGCTGCTCCCACAACAGCTCAATAGGGTTGAGATCCGGTGACTGTGCTGGCCACTCCATTATAGACAGAATACCAGCTGACTGCTTCTTCCCTAAATAGTTATTGCATAGTTTGGAGCTGTGCTTTGGGTCATTGTCCTGTTGTAGGAGGAAATTGGCTCCAATCAAGCGCTGTCCACAGGGTATGGCATGGCGTTGCAAAATGGAGTGATAGCCTTCCTTCTTCAAGATCCCTTTTACCCTGTACAAATCTCCCACTTTACCACCACCAAAGCTCCACAGACCATCACATTGCCTCCACCATGCTTGACAGATGGCATCAAGCACTCCTCCAGCATCTTTTCATTTGGTCTGCGTCTCACAAATGTTCTTCTTTGTGATCCGAACACCTCAAACTTTGATTTGTCTGTCCATAACACTTTTTTCCAATCTTCCTCTGTCCAGTGTCTGTGTTCTTTCGCCCATCTTTTCTTTTTATTGGCCAGTCTGAGATATGGCTTTTTCTTTGCAACTCTGCCTAGAAGGTCAGCATCCCGGAGTTGCCTCTTCACTGTTGACGTTGAGACTGGTGTTTTGTGGGTACTATTTAATGAAGCTGCCAGTTGAGGTGTCACACCCTGGCTCTGGGGACTCTTAAATGTTGAGCCAGGGTTGTAGTTTCTATGTTAAGTTTTCTATGTTTAGTGTCTAGATCGTGTAGATCTATGTTGGCCAGGGTGGTTCCCAATCAGAGGCAGCTGTAGCTCGTTGTCTCTGATTGGGGACCATACTTAGGCAGCTTGTTGGCACCAGTTAGTTGTGGGATCTTGTTCCGTGTAAGGTATGGTGTTTGTATGTTACCTTGGACTTCACGTAGCGTTTATTTGTTGTTTTGTCGGGTGTTCAGTACTTAAATAAAAATGTACGCTTATCACGCTGCGCCTTGGTCCGTCTCATCCGTTAACGTTCGTGACAGAAGATCCCACCAAAATAGGACCAAGCAGCGTGTTCAGGAGCAAACGCCGGGAATTAAACAGGAGGTAACGTTAGTAGATGTCCTCCTCGGTTGGGGGAGAATCACGGAGGAGGAGGCCGTCCGTTACCGGAGGGCGATGAATGAGGATGCCCAGGTAGGAGAGGAGAAACGGCGCCAACAGCGCCGACGACGGAGACCCGAGAGGCAACCCCAATAAAAATTTTTGGGGGGGCACACGGTGTGGACGACGAGGCAGCAGGAGGCAGCGACAGGGCGAATCTGCAGGTTAGGAGAGGAGGCCACCAGGTTACGGGGGCTATTGGTCCAGAGGGAACAGGAGTTATGTGGTCAGAGGGAGGAGCTACAGGAGGCTATAAGGGAGAAGGAGAGTGTAGAGGCACGGCGAGAGGAGCTGGTTAGGCAGCAGAAGGAGCGGGGGTTTATAAGGGAACCCAGTCCCGCTCCTCGCACCAAGCAAGTGGTGTGTGTCGCCAGTCCGGTCCGGCCCGTTCCTGATCCCCGCACTAAGCCAGTGGTGCGTGTTCCCAGTACGGCCCGACCCATTCCTGCTTCCCGCACAAGGCCAGTGGTGTGTGTTCCCAGTACGGTCCGGCCCGTTGCTGCTCCCCGCACTAAGCCAGTGGTGCGTGTTCCCAGTACGGCCCGACCCGTTCCTGCTCCTCGCACTAAGCCAGTGGTGTGTGTTCCCAGTACGGTCCGGCCCGTTCCTGCTCCTCGCATCAAGCCAGTGGTGCGCGTCGCCAGCCCGGTCCGGCCTGTTCCTGCTCCTCGCATCAAGCCAATGGTGCGCGTCGCCAGCCCGGTCCGGCCTGTTCCTGCCCCTCGCACCAAACCAGTGGTGCGCGTCGCCAGCCCGGCCCGGCCTGTTCCTGCTCTCGCACCAAACCAGTGGTGCGCGTCGCCAGCCCGGCCCGGCCTGTTCCTGCCCCTCGCACCAAACCAGTGGTCCGCGTCGCCAGCCCGGCCCGGCCTGTTCCTGCCCCCCGCACCAAACCAGTGGTGCGCGTCGCCAGCCCGGCCCGGCCTGTTCCTGCCCCCCGCACCAAACCAGTGGTGCGCGTCGCTAGCACGGCCCGGCCTGTTCCTGCCCCTCGCACCAAACCAGTGGTGCGCGTCGTCAGCCCGGTCCGGCCCGTTCCTGCTCCCCGCACCAAGCCAGTGGTGCGCGTCGTCAGCCCGGTCCGGCCCGTTCCTGCTCCCCGCACCAAGCCAGTGGTGCGCGTCGTCAGCCCGGTCCGGCCCGTTCCTACTCCCCGCACCAAGCCAGTGGTGCGCGTCGTCAGCCCGGTACGGCCCGTTCCTGCTCCCCGCACCAAACCAGTGGTGCGCGTCGTCAGCCCGGTCCAGCCCGTTCCTGCTCCCCGCACCAAGCCAGTGGTGCGTGTGTCCAGTCCGGCACGGCCCGTGCCTGTTCCACCAGTGCCTGGTCCGGCACCGGTCAGCTGCTCCACGCCGGAGCCAGAGCAATCCGCTCCACCGGGATCCGGTCCAACTCCAGTCAGCGGATCCTCTCCGGAGCCAGAGCAATCCGCTCCACCGGGGTCCAGTCCAGCTCCGGTCAGCCGCTCCACTCCGGAGCCAGAGAAGTCCGCTCCACCGGTGCCCAGTCCAGCTCCGGTCAGCGGCTCTAGTCCGGAGCCTGTGCAGTTCGATCCACCGTCGTCGGGTCCAGCTCCAGTCAGCGGTGCCAGTCCAGACCCAGACGTCAGCCCCTCTCCAGGTTCGGGGTCTCCCACACCAGGGTCCAGACAGGGCTTGGTACTTCGTGGGAGGAAGGAGAGGGGAAGCAGCGCGCCGAGGTCCAGACCAGACCAGGGGCGCAATAGGGAGGTCGAGAGAAAGTGGTGGTCACGCCCGGAGCCGGATCCGCCTCCGAGGCGGAATGCCCACCCGGCCCCTACCCTGTTATGTTTATGGGGCGCGGTCGGAGTCCGCACCTTTGGGGGGGGGGGGTACTGTCACGCCCTGGCTCTGGGGACTCTTAAATGTTGAGCCAGGGTTGTAGTTTCTATGTTAAGTTTTCTATGTTTAGTGTCTAGATCGTGTAGATCTATGTTGGCCAGGGTGGTTCCCAATCAGAGGCAGCTGTAGCTCGTTGTCTCTGATTGGGGCCCATACTTTGGCAGCTTGTTGGCACCAGTTAGTTGTGGGATCTTGTTCCCGTGTAAGGTATGGTGTTTGTATGTTACCTTGGACTTCACGTAGCGTTTGTTTGTTGTTTTGTCGGGTGTTCAGTACTTAAATAAACATGTACGCTTATCACTCTGCGCCTTGGTCCGTCTCATCCGTTAACGTTCGTGACATGAGGACCTGTGAGGCGTCGGTTTCTCAAACTAGACACTCTAATGTATTTGTCCTCTTGCTCAGTTGTGCACCGGGGCCTCCCACTCCTCTTTCTATTCTGGTTAGAGCCAGTTTGCACTGTTCTGTGAAGGGAGTAGTACACAGCGTTGTATGAGATCTTCAGTTTCTTGGCAATTTCTCGCATGGAATAACCTTCATTTCTCAGAACAAGAATAGACTGACGAGTTTCAGAAGAAAGTTCTTTGTTTCTGGCCATTTTGAGCCTGTAATCGAACCCACAATTGCTGGTGCTCCAGATACTCAACTAGTCTCAAGAAGGCCAGTTTTATTGCTTCCTTAATCAGCACAGTTTTCAGCTGTGCTAACATAATTGCAAAAGGGTTTTCTAATGATCAATTAGCCTTTAAGCAAACACAACGTGCCATTGGAACACAGTCTGATGTAGATATTCCATTAGAAATCAGTCGTTTCCAGCTACAATAGCCATTTACAACATTAACAATGTCTACACTGTATTTCTGATCAATTTGATGTTATTTTAATGGACAAAATAATTGCTTTTCTTTCGAAAACAAGGACATTTCTAAGTGACCCCAAACTTTTGAAAGGTAGTGTACATTTTTCTAAACTAATCCAATCTGTTACTTGGACATATTGCACCCGTTACTGAAATGGTTGTTCCAGTTTAGATGCTTTAGGTAGTCTCATATCTTATTCTTCCCAACCCTGGTAGTCATTCTGAATGCAGGTCGTGGGTGAATACAAATTCCAAATATTTGATATCCCCACTCTGGCTGGATTCTAATAGGAATTACACATCACTTTGCAAGCCAGCATAATGTGACTTGATGTGGCCTGTAAACCATGAGTTTGAGGCCACTGTGTTAGGGTAAAACTAGGCCCTCAAAATAAGGCCTTATGAAATATGTATTGTAATAATCACATTTTAATTATAACGTATTTGCTTAGGATCTCACCTGGTAAAGGCCACAGGACTGAACATTAATGAATGCAACCACCATTTCTCTGTCACTAACAAATACAGTCATGGGTGGTCACTCTACAATTCAGTCGAAAGGCAAGGCACACTGGGAAATGCAAATAAGGCTTTACACTAAGCAAAGTGGTAATTTAATACTGAAAAGTGTGGACCCGTATAGACACTGGAACTGTGTTAAATTTAACTCTCAGCGTTGAATTAACACTGGAGAATTTGCTGTGTGACAATGATGACATTGGTTACCTAGATAGAGAAATCCTGTAAAAAACAGCCCGATAAGATATACAAAATCAGGGTATACCAAATCAGTTGCGTTATCAACAAGAAGTGTGACAAAGCTGAAGAATGCTGAAACATAAGCGACATTACTTGAAACAGAGGCACATCCTGGGCCAGAAACTTGGCCATGTTGACGTCCATCAGTGCTCTGAGCAGCAGAACACTCTCGTTCTCCTTTGGGTACTTCAGTTTTAGGTTCCCCGCGGCAGTCAGGACTGATTTCACGGCACGCATACCATAGTCGTAGTGATGCTGCGAGGACAGCTGCTCTGAACACAGGCGGTAGGTGGCCACAATCTTCCCGGCAAGACTGATAGGAACACCAGGAAAGGGAGTTTATTTAGTCAATGTGAGGAGTTAGAGAACTATGTATGACTAGACAACCACAGTAGATTAGTTATATATCAGTATGATTCATACCTGCGAGACTCGATAAAACCCACGGAGTAAAGTGAGATCTCACCAATGAGACCGTAGTCAGGCACCATCATAGCCACCGTACGGAAAAGAACCTGCAAGAGAAGATTCTTATTGTTTTTCTTGCAACAATCCTAATGCTAAACTAGTTTAACTATACAATGTAAATTGTGACCTATCCCTTTAAGTTTCAAATAACTACTGTTGATCCTATAGTCAGTAGTATGTGTACAGTACCTTGAGGTTGTCTGGGAGCTCGGCCCTGCCTGCGTAGCCAGGGTTCATAGTGATGAAGACTGAGCAAGTGGGATTGAGGGACAACTCGGTCCCCTCGAACATGAAGGTCTTCAGGTCCCTGGCGATGGCCTGCTGGATACTCAGCACCTGCTGGGCCACCACAGACAGCACCTCCACTTCGATTCGGTTGAACTCGTCGAAGCAGGCCCAAGCCCCGGATTGTGCCAGTCCTTTGAAGAACTTACTCATGGCCTTGTAGTCCAGGCCATCAGAGCAGTTGAACACCACACACTGAGAGAAGCAAAGAACAAGACATAACAAATCAAATTGTAGTGAATGAATGCAATTAAATATGATACCTGAAGACTGACCAAACACAGGTAAACACTATCTGTTAGCTTTGGGTGAAAGTCAAGACACAGTAATGCATTATCATGTACCTGCTTAGCCAGGGCTTTGGCCAGATCCTTGGTGGTCTCAGTCTTGCCTGTGCCTGCAGGTCCCTCTGGGGCTCCTCCCAGGTTAAGCTTCAGAGCACCCATCAGTGTCCTATGGGAACACATAACATGCCACCTCCAATATGACATGACTGTTTTCTTTTCATTGACATACAGTGCATTTCAATATCCTTATGGAATAGCATATGTGCCCATGTATGTACAGTATCATTGCATTATAACCATGGTCATGGTCGGTTCATGACTAAGTTAGTGGTAAGTCAACCAAGTCGTGGTTACAGCTAATGACTGACCTATAGCAGCGGTCAGTGAGTGGGGTGATGACCAGACGGCCGGAGTTTCCCAGGTACTCGTAGCCGTACTTGACAGTGGTGGTGATCATACGCAGGCGCACGTCTCCGTCCTCCCAAAAGTACCTCAGCTGACTGATCCAGGAGAAGTCATTCAGGGAGGAGATACGGTCCTCAGCCAGTTTAGCTACCACGTCCCGAGCTGGGAGAGAGAGGAGAGTGTGTGAGTGAGAAAATGAGTGTGTGTGAGAGATTTGGCACTGACTTCCTCTGGGCTGTACGAAGAAGAAGAAGAAGAAGAAGAAGAAGAAGAAGAAGAAGAAGAAGAAGAAGAAGAAGAAGAAGAAGAAGAAGAAGAAGAACTAATATAAAGGAAAAAGTGGGACATACCGTGGACATCAATGACAGTGAGAGATCCTAAGGTCATTCTGGCCCCTCCATTCAGCTTCCCACGCACCAGCTCCACAATGTCAGCTATTTGGGCATTGCTCTTATCCACATAGGCCTTAGAATAGATCAACATATACATTCAATTACAACAGATGGTGACAATATAATGTATTAATTAATTAGAGGGAAGTTGAAAGACAACAGTGTTTCATCAGGAACTGGGTCAAGTGGGCGGGGCTACATTAGGTGAATAAGGATGTAGAGTAATACCACAGAGTTTCTAAACCCAGAGGCGCAACATCGCGAGACTTCGAGGAACGATTGCGAAGCAGACCAAGCAGACCAGGCCGGGGTTTGTGGTTAGAGAAGTCAATGAGAGAAGTGAAACATTCTTACTTAGTTGTTCATTTTCTCGATATCTAAAGGCACAACCTAGATTACAGCCAATGTCTTTAGCAGTTGAACATGTTATTACTCCAACCTGGTGAAATTGACAAACTGACACGTTTTTATTTGAGTCATAAACAACTTTATATCGAAGGCGTGCCTTTGATTTGACGGCCTGCACATGCAGAGTTCAAAACGAGATGACGGTTACACCCAATGACGTGTTTCTGCGCATGAGCTTAGCTATCCAACATCGCCTTGACATCGCCTACAAGAGTGATCGGGGATTTCTATTGGAGAAGCAGTTTCTGCCTATATTCATACTGTACTGTCTTCGGTAATACTATGTATTATGTGACTCACGTGCAGGGTATTGGTCTTGATGGCCTCAGAGACCTCACTGGTCCAGAAAATGGACGAGGCACAGATGACAACCTGACCAGGCCACTGCAACACCCACTTTTTCCTGGGGACCTGCAAAATAATCATGAGTAAAAAACAAAAATACTAAAAAAAAGTACATTTGAAGTGTAACTGTCCAAAAACATTTCATATTTCAATTTTTTTATTTATGTCTTTAATGTACCTCGACATACTGGTCCACTCCTTTGTGGATGACATCTCTAACGCTGGTCATCATCATGCTCTCCACCTGCTGTAGCCACTTCTCCACCATACCCTGCATGGGACCACACCACACAATCCCATCAGAGTGTGTGGGTGTGTGTGTGTGCCTGCGTGTGTGTGTGTGTCCTACAATAGTACCTTAGCTTTGGCAGGGTAGAGGTTGGTGCTAAACGGCACTAACTCCTTCTCAGAGCTGATCATGCCAGTGATCTCCATGTCCTCGGTGAACTCCAGCTTGGCGATGCCCTCGAAGCACTTCTTCAGGTGGGGCTGGACGCGCCTCGGGTCCTTTGTCTCTGACAGGATCTCCAGCAACTCATCGTTGGACAGGAAGAAGAACCTGTGGATCACATTCAGTCAGAGGTGAGTCCGAGATGGCAGCCTATTCCCTATGTAGTGCACTATAAAGGGAATAGGGTGCTTTTTCGGACACATCCTCAGACTCATTGCATTTTGGATTGAGCATAAGCCATTCATTGTGATGGAATTGAATTGAGATTGATCAGTTAAACACTAAATCAGTTGCACTGACAGTTCTCCAAGGGCCTGAATCTTCAAGGGCTAAATGGGATACACAATCTTAACTCACAAGTCTCCCATTGACATGAATACATGATTGACGCAAATGCTCAAATGCACAAATTTCATGTGAGCATTAACATACAGTGGTGCTTATATCTTAATCTCTTAATTTTAACTACAGTGGTACTTATAATTAAGACTATGTCAAAGTGACAGGCAATTTCTGAGAGAATGTTAATGGTTGTTAGAGTTACCTGGGGAAGTAGAGTCTCTTTTTCTCCAGGTAGGTGTTGAGGCCTCTCTGGATGTCCTCCAGAAATACATTGGCCTCCTCGAGACGGCCCAGCATGTTGGCCTGGTCTGTGGCCACCAGCACACGCGTGTCCTTCATCTGAAAAAAACATACAGGGTATTGGTCAAGATAAGGAAATCCCCACACACACATATATGCACACATACAGTACCAGTCAAAAGTTTGGACACACCTACTCATTCAAGGGTTTTTCTTTATTTTTACTATTTTCTACATTGTAGAATAATAGTGAAGACATCAAAACTATGAAATAACACATATGGAATCATGTAGTAAAAAGTGTTAAACAAATCAAATTTGCCTTGATGACAGCTTTGCACACTCTTGGCATTCTCTCAACCAGCTTCACCTGGAATGCTTTTCCAACAGTCATGAAGGAGTTCCCACATATGCTGAGCACTTGTTGGCTGCTTTTCCTTCACTCTGCGGTCCAACTTATCCCAAACCATCTCAATTTGGTTGAGGTCGGGTGATTGTGGAGGCCAGGTCATGTGATGCAGCACTCCATCACTCTCCTTCTTGGTCAAATAGCCCTTACACAGCCTGGAGGTGTGTTGGGTCATTGTCCTGTTGAAAAACAAATGATAGTCCCACTAAGTGCAAACCAGATGGGATGGCGTATCGCTGCAGAATGCTGTGGTAGCCATGCTGGTTAAGTGTGCCTTGAATTCTAAATACATCACAGACAGTGTCACCAGCAAAGCACCCCCACACATCACACCTCCTCCTCCATGCTTCACGGTGGGAACCACACATGCGGAGATAATCTGTTCACCTACTCTGCATCTCACAAAGACACGGCTATTGGAACCAAAAATCTCAAATCTGGACTCATCACACCAAAGGACTGATTTCCACCGGTCTAATGTCCATTGCTCGTGTTTCTTGGCCCAAGCAAGTCTCTTCTTCTTATTGGTGTCCTTTAGTAGTGGTTTCTTTGCAGCAATTCGACCATGAAGGCCTGATTCACGCAGTCTCCTCTGAACAGTTGATGTTGAGATGTGTCTGTTACTTGAACTCTGTGGAGCATTTATTTGGGCTGCAATTTCTGAGGCTGGTAACTCTAATGAACTTATCCTCTGCAGCAGAGGTAACTCTGGGTCTTCCATTCCTGTGGCGGTCCTCATGAGAGCCAGTTTCATCATAGCGCTTGATGGTTTTTGCGACTGCACTTGAAGAAACTTTAAAAGTTCTTGAAATTTTCCAGATTCACTGATCTTCATGTCTTAAAGTAATGATGGACTGTCGTTTCTCTTTGCTTATTTGAGCTGTTCTTGCCATAATATGGACTTGATATTTTACAAAATAGGGCTATCTTCTGTATACCACCCCTACCTTGTCACAACATAACTGATTGGCTCAAACGCATTAAGAAGGAAAGAAATTCCACAAATTAACTTTTAACAAGGCACACCTGTTAATTGAAATGCATTCCAGGTGACTACCTCATGAATCTGGTTGAGAGAATGCCAAGAGTGTGCAAAGCTGTCATCAAGGCAAAGGGTGGCTACTTTGAAGAATCTCAAATATAAAATATATTCTGATTTGTTTAGCACTTTTTTGCTTACTATATGATTCCATATGTGTTATTTCATAGTTTTGATGTCTTCCCTATTATTCTACAATGTAGAAAATACTAAAAATAAAGAAAAACCATGGAATGAGTAGGTGTGTCCAAACCTTTCACTGGTACTGTTGTCACGCCCTGACTCTGGGGACTCGTATTTGTTGAGTCAGGGTGTGTATTTTCTGTGTAGTATGTTCTATGTTGTATTTTCTAGGTTTAGATCTAGATCGTCTAGATCTATCTTGGCCGGTGTGGTTCCCAATCAGAGGCAGCTGTCGCTCGTTGTCTCTGATTGGGAACCATACTTAGGTAGCCTATTGGCACTAGTGGGTTGTGGGATCTTGTTCCGTTTAAGGTATGTTTTGTGTTCTACCTTGGACTTCACGTTTCGTTTCGTTTCGTTTCGTTTGTTGTTTTGTCGTGTTGTTTATTAAGTTAAAATAAACATGTACGCATATCACGCTGCGCCTTAGTCCGTCCCGTCCGTCAACGAACGTGACAACTGTACACGCACACACACACACACACACACACACACACACACACACACACACACACACACACACACACACACACACACACACACACACACACACACACACACACACACACACACACACACACAGTCATTTTGTGGGTATGTGTGTCTCACCGCCTCAGCGATGATATCTTTCCAGTATCGGTCCACGATGGCAAACTTGCGTCCCTCCTCAGGCATCTGGGCGATGATGTCCTCAGAGCTGAAGATGGGCTCCAGATAGAGCCAGGTAGCCTGACACTTCAACATGGAGTCCAAGATGTCCTGCATCATCAGCAACTTTTCCTCCCATTGCTGAGAATACGGGAAGAAGGGAAAATAGAGATTTGAGATTTAAGTGAAAAGGATAAAGAAAGTGAGAGAGGTATAAGAGAAACGGAGAAGAAAGAGGGAGTGAGAAACACAGAAAGATTTAAAAACCCTTAGAATGAATGTACAATACGAACGTACATTACAGGAGCACAGGAGAACATTGGCTCATATCAATTTACATGGCCATGAATGATCTCAACTGGGATGTCACCCAATCCAGTGGACCAGAGATTATATGTGCAGTGTGATGATCCTACCTTACAGTCAGCCTCTATGGGCTTGATGAAGGGTGACCCTCGCATGGTCTGGGTCTTGATGACGTGGTCGTCTAGGAGCACTTGGATGTCGTCCACTGCAGATACAATGCTCGTACCCTACACACGCACACACACACACACACACACACACACACACATGCAGAATAAGAGATGGCTTCTATCCACACACAACATAATTCAGCACACATCAAACTGAGCCAGTGTGGCCTATTAAAGGCCCAGTGCAGTAAAAAAAGTTTTATATATATTTCCACACTATGAGGTTGGAATAATACTGTACAATTGTGAACATGATGATAATGGCCATTTAGTGTAAGAGCTGTTTGTTTTGGTGGGAGTTTTGGCCTACCTGATGACACTGGATTGGGATGTCACCCAATCCAGTGGACCAGAGATTATATGTGCAGTGTGATGATCCTACCTTACAGTCAGCCTCTATGGGCTTGATGAAGGGTGACCCTCGCATGGTTTGGCCTACCTGATGCTTCTACACCTGCATTACTAGCTGTTTGGGGTTTTAGGCTGGGTTTCTGTACAGCACTTCGAGATATTAGCTGATGTAAGAAGGGCTATATAAAATAAAATTGATTGAATTGATTGATCACCAGGTGGTAAATTAGTTAATAGACCAATAAGAGAGTTCCAAAACTCTCTGCCAATAACAGCTCATTTTCAGTTTACCCCTCCCACTCACACCACTCCCAGACAGTCCTAGCAAAGTTCTTGCTTGAGAAATTGCTCTTGCTAAGAAGCTATTTGAAAACAATCACAATAAGGTACATAATTGTTACCCAGAAATGATTTGATATTGAGAGAAAAATGGCTGTATTGGGCCTTTTAGTAAGTTGATCCTGTCTAGGATGTAATAGTATCTATTATTGGCATACTTGGTTACTTCTTAATAATTTAAAAGTCCAGACGACAAATTCTGTAATTAGTTAATACTGTGTGTGTGTGTGTGTGTGTGCATTTGTGTGTCTGCTGCTGCTTACCGTGTCTCTGTAGGCAGTGAAGGCAAAGTGGAGCTCAGCCCATTCGGTCTTCATTTTCTCCATGGCCTTCTCCAGAGAGTACTCCTTACTGGCCGACGCCCCTATCTCCTCAAGCCTGAGAGTTGAGGGAGGAAAAGTCATGCTAGATACATCTTCACATTGTACAGTAAATCACAACATAACACATTTATGGAAAAGAGCAGAAATCCACTGAAAACTGTAATATCACTAGGGCTGGGACAATACCAGTATCGCAATATTCTTTCCATGGCAAAAATGAAAACATGAAGCAGACCAAACTCTTTGGTCCGTTATAAACCTGATGTATGTCAAATATTGTGTGCTATAGCTTGGAAAATAAATGAATGTGACTCTGGATGACAACATAATGATGTTTGTTTCCAACAATAGGGCTGGTTTCCTAAAGAAGTAAAATCTGCTTCGTGTTTTGTTTCCTTGCCACGGTATTAACGAGTATAGCGATACTGGTATCACCCCGGCCCTAATCATCACTCAATATCACACTCTCTATTCAAAGATCAAAGATCAAATATCAAAAGAAATATAACAGTATAACACATTGAATCTCATTCTGGTAATAAACCACCAATACAGTCCCTGTTTCTCACCAACAATTGTTCGGATTTCAGTGCCTTAGAAGCCCCTCCTATCTATCGCAATGCTAAGGCAGAGTGTAGTGTAGGAATGAGGGGTTCTTACTTGTCGGAGAACTTGGACAGGCCCAGCTCTACCATGTTAAACAGTGAGGTGTCCACATCTGGCTTGACATCGAAGCCCACGATGGTGCTGATCTGGACACAGAGAAGCATCAATTATTCACCTTCATAGATCACAGGTATGCAGGACTCTGTCTGGTACTGATAAGGGTTGTACTGTGGCTACTGACTATGTTTATGATAATAACATATTTTAACGTATTTTATGATCCGTTTTCAGACTTACTCCAATTTTAGATCAAGCTGACACCGTTTTGTAATGTGTTATCGTACATCAATCGTTAAAAACACATGATATTCTGTCTCCTGGTTGAGTGTTGGTGCTCTGCTTTAGAGCTCCAGAGAGGCAGGGTTATGGTACTGACCGTTTCCCAGTGACGGTCCTTGATGCCTGGATTACAGATGGTGGTGAGGATGGGAAGGTGCTGCTTGAACTTGTCGATCTTGATCTTGAAGCTGTCGGCCACGCGGCGCGGCCCTGGCAGGTCGGAGAAGGACTTGGTCAGCTTGTACACTGTCCTCCACATAGTGACCAGCTCTTCTGAGATCTTCTCAGCATTCAGGTGGAGGAAAGGACCTGGGGAGTGAGGCGCAAGGTGAGAAAGTACACAAACAAGTAAGCAAACAATCGTTTCGGACCGCAATGTGTAGAAACAAAATATATACAGTACCAGTCAAAAGTTTGGACACACCTAATCATTCAAGGGTTTTTCTTTATTTTCTACTATTTTCTACATTGTAGAATAATAGTGAAGACATCAAAACTATGAAATAACACATATGGAATCATGTAGTAACCAAAAACGTGTTAAACAAATCAAAATATATTTTATATTTGAGATTCTTCAAATAGCCACCCTTTGCCTTGATGACAGCTTTGCACACTCTTGGCATTCTCTCAACCAGTTTTGATGTCTCAGTTTTGATGTAAAAATAAAGAAAGACCCTGGAATAAGTAGGTGTGTCCAAACTTTTGACTGGTAGTGTAGTTATTACGGCAGCTCTTTCTATCAAAAATCTTATGCGTGGAACTGTAATGTTGTAATATCAGTTGACATTTATCATAAAACTATGATACATCTTTAGAGGGACAGATTTTGTTTTGTATTTTTTACAACATGGCCTGTGTGTAGTTCTGTACCGTTCATCCAGATCTCTGATTTGTTCTGGAAGTTGAGGGCGTTGGTCCACAGCTGGTCATAGGGCTGCTTGTTGCCCATCAGCGTCTGCAGCATGGGGAACTGGCTCTGCTCCTTCTCCAGCAGAGACTCCTCTTTGTTGATGTCCTGGAGGTGACAGGAGAAGGTGACAAACCAATACCATATGAAAGTCATTCAGGTCATTCAGTAGCAAAAGCAGCAACAAAGCAACAAAACTCAGAAGGTGATCCGATCGCTGACATATTCGTTTCGCATAATGCTCCTCAACACAAGCAGTTTCAGTGAAGGCAGGTCCCAACTGAATCAGTGAAGTGAAACAATTCATAAACAGAAAAAAAAACAATTCAGTTTGAACCACTGTCTGATTCTCCTTTCACTCACGTCCAGTTCGGTGACGGCGGCATCCAGACGGGAGGTGAGCTCGTTGAGCTTCTCCACGTTGTTTTTCATCTCCTCCAGACTCATCAGCTCTTTCTTCTTGAAGGCCTCCACCTCCTTCCTCACACACTGCAACATCTGGTCAAACTCTGCTATCCTGACGAGGAGAGACAGGAGACTCAGTATGAGACTATAAGACGTTTATGGTTTTGGTCTAGTATTTCTGTTTTGGCTTAGTGTGTATTTTACGAAGAGGATTAGGCCATTACGGTGAAGTTTGAAGAGTGTGAAGAGAAAGAGGGCAGGGAAAGCGAGAGAGAGAGAGAGAGCGATAGAGAAGAGGAGAGAGATGGGAGAGAGAAAGAAGTGAAAGAAAAGAGAAGAGAAAAGAAGATGTCTCCATGCAAGTTTTGGAGGTCCCGGTTGTAAAGTTGACATGATGGTTCGGGATGAGGATTAGCCTTATTAGGGTTAGGACTGTCATTGTGTACTGGTGTGTAGCTACCTCTTGAGGAGGTGGTCCTCTGCATGTTCTCTCCTGGTGGCCAGACGGCTCTTACTGATCTCAAACACAGCCTGGATCTGCTCTGGCCAGTGGAACACACTGCTGTTCAACTTCACATCATCGTCTGGAGAGAGAGAGAGAGCACAGAGATATCATGGTAGGTATAGCATTAAACATGCAAAACCTCCACCACAATAAGCAATAACACTTAAAAGGCATTATCCATAAGATTTCAATTCAATTCAATTGAAATCTTCTGGATAACACCTTTGAGATCCATAAGATTTTCCCATTTAAATACCATTTCAGAAATGTGATTCCTAGAACGACTACTCTACATGACCAAACGACATATCTACTCTATGCATCTCAATTATATGCCCAAATCCCCAACTGTAAACAACTATTGGCGGAGATCCTCCAGTACGCACGAGACAGGGTGGCGTAGTCCAGGAGGAAGCTGAGGCGGTTGGCGGCCTCGTTGATCTCCTCTTTCAGCTTGTGGACGGTCACCTCGCTGGTGTGCTTTAGGTACTGGTTAAGGGCCACCAGCTCCTCTGTGTTGCCTGGGGCCCCTGTGATGGTCGCAGCGATCTCGTCATAGCGGTGACAGATGCTAGGAAAAGGAAATCGGATTTCCAATTATTTTCTTCCAACAGTAACGGAGATTTCGCTCTTTGCTGTAAGTCAAACACTTCAAAGTTAGTAGTAACATTAGTACACAATAGTAGGAGTATTACATAATTGAGTCAACTGTGAATGAGTGGAATTACCATCCAGTCATTTTTGCGTGAAGTTTGGCCTTATGGGTAGTGTAGTTCTATCTAAAACAGAAGGAGTTCTTCCCTCTCTCACCTCTTGTTGAGCTCTCGGTTCTCGTCCACCTCGAAGACGATGAGCCTGTCCTTCAGCTTCTCAGCGCGGTCACACAGGTCCTTGTTCAGGCTCAAAACATCCAGGCAAAACATGGACAGGGGCACCGTGATGTGCAGGGAGGCAATCTCCTTCCACAACTGCTGAACACCCTCGATTTTCTGAGAAGGGGTAGGTAGAAGTAGCCGTTATCATTCGATCTCCAAATGTGCCATGTTAAATGGTTGAATCTTTTTTACAGTATAGGTCTAATAGTAGTGTTTGAAGGAAGGAAAGCAGAGAGGCAAATCTACCTTAGTAAAACCTTGCAGGGAGTGTTTTTCTTTGAGGAACGCTACTATATCCTGCTTTGCAGTGTTGTCTAGTAGGTTGCTGTACTTCTTATACACGTTCAGATACCTGGAGATCAAATTGTAATATTGCAATGAGTAATTTTCTTAAAAGAGCCTTCATCCACCAAACAGGTTAACATAAAAGTATTGGCAGAAAGAAGAATGTCAGATTGTTGACTCTATTTTAGGTAGTATACGTTTAGGTATGTCCCCATACTTCTTTGGTCCCACAGTGTTCTTCTGGAAGATGTTCTTGGCTCTGTTGATCAGGTCTGTGACCAGCAGCTCATCAGGTCTGACGGAGTGCAGATAAAGGCCCTGTCCTTGGATTTCTGGGAAAAGGTTACACTCCACCTGTACAGAGAAGACCAGACAAACTGTCAATCACAGATATAATCCTTTCCATGCTGAGCACCAGAACATTTCTGTAGACAGAGGTCACATTCAATATGTACAAATGTGAGAAAACTGTTTTAAAGCCCCCATGCAGTCTTTTTTATAACATTTTTTAAATCATCACTGTATGTTTAATAAATCACTCTGTGCTTTTTCCATGAAAATAACTCCAAATATTTGTTTAATCATTTATTTCCCTGAGCCTCCTTTTGCCATTGAAATGATCAGTCTGATTGTGTGGGTGTGTTGACACAAATGTAAATATATTTACATACACAGCCCTGACTGGCGGATAGGATCATCTAGACTCTAGAGCCTCCCCCTCTTACCCCTTCAAAGTATGAGGATACATATGCAAATAAAAGATGACTTGTCATTTGTCAGAATAATCTGATCAGATTGTGATGTTATGATGTGGGCCAAAAACTCCATCCCATCCAAACTGAAATTCCAGGATTTTTTTCAAAATCTCTTACACTAAAAGGGCATTATCATAATTTTCATAATTTCAGAGTGTTATTTCAACCTCATAGGTTGGAAATATCATTTAAAAAACAGGAAAATCACGTTTTTTGACTGTTAATAATGGAAATGGTTTAATTTCAGAAATAGATTGAACAGATTAAATAAACAACTGAACATGAATAATTAAGAACTGGAAGAACAGGGGAGGCTGAGAGTTATTTTTTTTTATACCCGTGGGAGGTTCTGGGCGCTCTTGATGATCTCCATGAAGCCCCGATGGATGAGCTCCCAGCATTCCTGAAGGCTGGGCAGGAAGACAATGCGCGGCTCCTCCACCCTCAGCTTGACCAGCAGCACCTGGGGCTGCACGAAGCGCATCTCGTCAAACACTTCGCCAAAGTCATTCCCGTCCTGTCCAACAAATCACAGAGAACAGAAAAGATAACATTGCTTTTCTTTATAATTAACTCATTGAAATATATAGGCACAGTATGTGTTTCTATATCAAGTGTAGGGCTGATCTTGTCTGATCAAACGGGTCTAATCGAGTTAGGGTAAACCATGTGTGTAGCTATAGACCAACTCATTTTGACTGTCTAGCTTTTGATGACTCTTCACAAGCTGGACAGAGTGCACAGGTCCATTATTATTTAGACACAGTTTTAGTCATTTGAATGTCGATTGAGATCGTTATAATTCTGGGGATAACGGGCCGGATTGAATGGCCTCGCGGGCCATATGTTTGACACCCCTGGTATAGATGGTTGAACCGTGGTTGAACCCTGACAGATTTGAGTGGTTAGACAGACCTGGTGCAGGGTGAAGAACTGGAGCAGGTCCTGCAGCGAGGCGATGATCAGGCTGCGGAGCTGCAGGGACATGAGGGCGGCCACGCAGGAGAAGAACTCCTGGGCACTGACTGGGGCCACGTGGTCACTCTGGGGCACCAGGGGCAGCCACAGGTCCTTATAGGTGACAAACAGGGACACACAGCGCGGCAGCCACCTGCAAAACACAGACACTGGGGTATCACACAGTCCAAATGAGGGATTGTTGTATGTACACCGAACAAAAATATTAACACAATATGTAACAATTTCAAAGATTTTACTGAGTTACAGTTCATATAAGGAATTCAGTCAATTGGAAATAAATTAATTAGGCCCTAATCTATGGATTTCACATGACTGGATACAGATGCATCTGTTGGTCACAGATACCTTAACAAAAAGGTAGGGGAAGTGTATCAGAAAACCAGTCAGAATCTGGTGTGACCACCATTTGCCTCATGCCGCACGACATATGTCCTTCGCATAGAGTTGATCAGGCTGTTGATTGTGGCCTGTGGAATGTTGTCCCATTCCTCTTCAATGGATGTGCGAAGTTGCTGGATAGTGGCAGGAACACGTCGATCCAGAGCATCCCAAACATGCTCAATGGGTTACATGTCTGGTGAGTATGCAGGCCATGGAAGAACTGGGACATTTTCAGCTTCCAGGAATTGTGTACAGATCCTTGCGACATGGGGCAATGCATTATCATGCTGAAACATGAGGTGGTGATGGTGGCGGATGAATGGCACGTCAATGGGCCTCAGGATCTTATCACGGTATCTCTGTGCATTCAATAAAATTAAATTGTGTTCGTTGTCCGTAGTTTATGCCTGCCCATACCATAACCCCACCGCCACCATGGGGCACTCTGTTCACAACGTTGACATGAGCAAACCACTCGCCCACTCGTCTGCCATCTGCCCGGTACAGTTGAAACCGGATTCATCCGAACAAACTTCTCCAGCGTACCAGTGGCGTTCGAAGGTGAGCATCTGCCCACTGAAGTCGGTTACGACGCCGAACTGCAGTCAGGTCAAAACTCTGGTGAGGACGATGAGTACGCAGATGAGACTCCCTGAGACGGTTTCTGACAGTTAGTGTAATTCTTCGGTTGTGCAAGCCCACAGTTTCATCAGCTGTCCGGGTGGCTGATCTCAGACGATCCCGCAGGTGAAAAAGACGGATGTGGAGGTCCTGGGCTGGTGTGGTTACACGTGGTCTGCGGTTGTGAGGCCGGTTGGACGTACTGCCAAATTCTCTAAAACGACGTTGGAGGCAGTTTATGGTAGTGAAATGAACATTAAATTCTCTGGCAACAGCTCTGGTGGACATTCCTGTAGTCAGCATGCCAATTGCACTCTCCCTCAAAACTTGAGACATCTGTGGCATTGTGTTGTGTGACAAAACTGCACATTTTAGAGTGGCCTTTTACTGTCCCCAGCACAAGGTGCACCTATGTAATGATCATGCTGTTTAATCAGCTTCTTGATATGCCACACCTGTCAGGTGGATGGATTATCTTGGCAAAGGATAAATGCTCACTAGCAGGGATGTAAACAAAGTTGTGCACAAAACTTTAGAGAAATGTGCTTTTTGTACGTATAGAAAATGTCAGGGATCGTTTATTTCAGCTTATGAAACACAGGACCAACACTTTACATGTTGCGTTGATATTTTTGTTCAGTGTATATGCCCCCAGAGGTTGAATAGAGGCTTGCTGGCAGCGGTGTGATGCCATTTTGACACCAGTGGTTGATAGGAGAGTTGCCACCAGTGTTCTGCCGCCGACAGTGGTCTGATACAGTAGGTGCTTGCTTGCTAGTCCCCTGTATGTGTGTACTATTGTTGTGACACATATACCCCTGTATGTATGTTATTGTATGACATGTAGTTTCCGCCTCCAGAAAAGGGACAAAACCTAGCAACTGGTGCAATGTTTTGGCATTTCAACAGAACCACACCAGAACATTATGTCCTTTGGCTCTACAGTGGTTGGTAAGGGAGACCGAACTATCAGAGAACAATGGTATCCAAGCAGGCACAAACTCAGGAAAAAAATCAACACATTTTTGTGAAGTTTCAATGGCTCATATTTCAGCCACAAATCACGTTTACAGGTCCCTTGCTCTAAACACAGCAGGTTGCAATGGAAATCCTTAAGTGAGAAGACGGTCAGCTAATCTCCACAAAGACACGACAGGGGTATGACACGGGTTTAACACAGTGAACAAGGAGGAAACATGAGACTTTCACTACAACACTGGGATTAGCCATGCAGACCTTGGCCTACCTGCCTACCTGTATGTCAACCTGCCTGTCTGTCTACCTGGCTGAATGACTGTCTTACACGCTCTGACTGTCTGTCTATCTGGTTGACTTGACTGACTGTCTACCTGTCTGTCTGTCTGGCTGGCTGTCTGACTGGACAGACAGACTGACTGACTGTTTCACTGATTGTTTGATTGACTGTCTGACTGACTGAAGACAGTAGGCTACTAACCTATTAGCCAGGTCGTCCCTGGTGATTTGGCACTGTCTCTGAACCAGGTCCTCAAACTCGGTGGGCAGCAGGGGGAAGTTGGCAGAGAAAAGGTCCCCCATCCTCACAAACCTCAAGGAGGAGAAACTGAAAGGAGGCGAGAGAAAGAAAGAAAGAGCGACATAAGGGTTAACTTGTACCATCTGAACTGTTAGTGTCCACTTTAATTTTGTACACCGATCAACACTTATTTGAGACATTTAAGATATGGTTAGTAACAGTAGGGTTCATGGTGATCCACTTGGTTTGATCAACTAATGCAGGTTAATACAGGAGTTCAACAGTGCACCATGCATAGGCTCAGGAAAGTCCATTACGTAACTGTATTTGAAACTCTATCATCTGACCCACAGAGAGGAGATTAGCTCTTAGAGCATTTAAACGATTGTTTTAGCTTGTTTTATGGTACTGAGCATGGTTTTGCTTCCTTATGTTTTTTTGGTAAACAGTTCATATGCCATTTTGAGATTGGTTGCCAGAGCAACAGTGTATTCTGCCACACATAGACCTACTACCAAATGTGATCGGTGACTTAGGGGAATGTAAACCTACGCAAACCATTTTGTTGCCTAGTTTACTGGAACTACAAACACTGACACAAAATGGAACACGGTTACAGTTCACGCTCATTTAGAGCCAGTCTTGGCTCAGGCTACTAGGCTACCTGTTGACCCAGAGGTCCTGCAGGTGGAACATCATGGGGTTGAGAGTGAAGAGGTGCTGGCTCTGCCAGGAGTGGGCCTGGCTGTAGTTGCAGGCCCAGGGGACGGGCCCTCGGATCACCCTCCTGGGGAAGGGCCTGGGGATGCTGGAGATGAACAGACGCTGTCTCTCCGATGGGTCCCTCAGGATGTAGTCAACTGGTGGGGTCCAAGAGGGGAGACACAGAAAACATGGAGGCAAGGGAACTTTCAGTGGGTTTAGGGCGATTTGATAGACAACCACATTGCTTTGATAGGAATGTTTGCAAATATGTGTAGGCTATATTATCTTAAGTTGTTGCTGGATAGGAAAATTAAAATTACTATCTACATTATTAGTACACTCATTACAAGTAGTGTATTAATAAATGAAAGTAGTATTGTAGTACATGTAAGAAACATTGCAGTCATGTAACAAATCCTCCTGCTACTGGTAGTATTTCTCACCTATGCTCTTCCGGAGACTGAAGCCGTAGTCTTTGTTGACCTCGTCTAGCAGATTCCCCTTCAGTATCTCCATGTCCCTGCTGCTGTCCTGAATGCCAGGGGGAAGGAGCTTCATGATGTTCTTCATCTGCTTGGGGGGCTGGTGGGCCAGCATTGTGCTGTGGACCCCGTTACTAATGTAGTACACGTACCTCTGTAGAAATCAGCAGAACACTTCACATCAAGTAAACACCCTAAAATAACAAGCTGCCAAAAGAATGAAAGCAATGGAACAATTGAGTGACTAAATTGGTTGAATGGACTGGAGGCGATACTATTCTAATTCAATTCTATTGCCTGCTCTATTCTATTCCCTCTATTTTATTATCCTCTATTCTATTACATTCTATTTCATTCTATATGATATTCTATTTCCTTATCTATTCTATTTGGACGCTTACCTCCAGGTCTCTTTCTGTAGGTTCTGTCTCAAAAAGCCACATCTGTTCCTCTTGGCTCCGCATGATGTCCAGCTGCTGTTTGGGGGTCAGGGGTCGGCTGATGGGGGGCAGAGGCTCCCTGGCGCTGAGCTTAAGTCCAGGTGAGCTTGAGGTGCCAGGAGCTGAATCCCTGGGATTGAGATGACAAAGCATTACAAAGACCACTTCCATGTCACCACTTTGTCCAGATTTCAGTGGTCAACACTTAATGTTGATGTATTTTATAGGTATCTTACCTTCCCCTGGGGGTGAGTTTATGCCTCTTCTCAGCTGGGCTAGATGCTAAAATGAGAATTAAGATCAAATGTTCTATCTTGTTTTGGTTATTATTGCCTTGATGCCACTCAATTCAGCACCGGTCAGGTTGTCAGCAAAGTAGCAACAATGGGATGAATCAGAATAAGACTTATTCACATTTGAAAATTTCAAAAGGATACAAGGTGCAGGTGCATCCCCAAGCGAGTCTTGGACGGTTCCAGGTCTCCTCTGTAGGTTTCTGATCTTCAGGTGACGAGCCTGGGGGCTGTAGTTGTTCCCAATAGACTCACTGGGGGTGCGATGGTGCCGTTGTTCCTTATAAGGGACAGCCAGAGTCCAAGAGGTGTTCTGGAGGATGGGTGGGTGATGGCTGTGCCTGAGAACAATCTGGAACAATTTAAAAGTAAGGAGTTAACTTGCAGGAATAACATGGAATCGTCCTAGTAGGTATGCACACAAAGGAACACACTAATACTTTTCCACCTATCAATAGCACTTTAGGGACTGGCTTCTTTACATAAAGGTCTTACTTGGTAAAGCTCTGAAGGTTCCTCACTAGAGGCCTGGGGCTGAGGTGGGACACCAGGTAGTCCTCTTGCATGACTCATGTTATATATAGAATCATCCTTCATCTGCAGTTCAAATAGAAACTCTCACTCAGGTGTGCAATGCTCTCTGGCCACTACATTCACAAACACACTTATGTGGTATGCATAATTTAGTTATCAAAACAAAGCATAGCCTACCTCTTTTAAGCGTTCCATTTTAATTTAGGAAATTGTCAATTAAATAAGTAACGTCAAGCTAGAGGCAGTGGTTATACAGCGGTTATAACTAGTTTTAAGCCTAAACCCTTTAAAATATTTGTCTAAAACGCACGAACCCACTGCAAAACCTGCGCACACCAATGTGCCATAAAATTGTATCCACACATAATTATTTGAAAAATTCCAATACACCCGAAACGTTCAATTACATTATGTCATAATTAGCCTACCTGTCGCTGGTGCTTTCGCGACAGTATTTCCATTCTGACACCATGTCGTTTGTTAGCAAATGCCATTCCTAAAATGTATCACAAAGCTTCGTTTGTGACATTTCTCAAGTGTTTTTCTGCGTCATGAACAGTTACTAAGTTACTTGTTGCATGTCTCACACAGTTTTCACAAAGTGCCACTGCCACACCGCTTGAAAGACCACATCTGGCTCAAATTCATACAGCTATTGTCATGATGAATTGTAGGCGAAGTAGCTACTGTAGTTCACCAAGCTACCCGGCTAATGTAATAATGGGAAAGTCAATGTTGATGACACTATTCTGTAGCTAAAGAACTACAATCAACTACAATGTCTCTATCCGGGGACTTCTCTCCCATGGTAACATCTGTCGTTACCTAGCAACATGAGGCACGAAAACATTTAGGCATATGTTTCAATCAAATGTTTTTACTAGAACGACCAGCAAATAGTACCAAATCTTGTGCTTGAGCTGGACTAGATAGACAGCTCTTAGCCTGTCATGAGATTTTGTTCTGACAGAGAATTGACAGAATACATTTTACTGAGCCATACATATTGGATTTGAACATTTATTTGTGCATGCAGTCATCCATAAACGCAATCATATTATGCTTCAACATGAGATGATTGTTGATAGGGAGATGTTGTCCAGCTCCCTATTGACATGGACAATTGCATGGGATTCCCATGCGTAAAATCAGTATTGCTAATTTATGAAGAACATCGATTTACAAACATTTTCTCATGGCCACCAGGGGTCACAACAAGGTAGTTCCTGGTCCACTGTGAGGTCAGTGAAGGTTGGTTGCGCTGATGTGACAAACAGAGGACAAGCTTATTCAACTATTCTCTGAGATTTAAAAGAAAGCAAACTTTGGGATATTTGAAGATTAATATTGTTGCTTCAAGGTTGCAGAGTGAAATTGAAGACCTGCATATCAATTCACGAGAGACAAAAAAATTACTTCTCATCCTACATTTCAGGCAGGCATACGATGCCTACTTTTGCTTTTTTTTTATGCCTGCTTTTGACGAATTACCATAGTGATGAAACTATAGTGAGTGCAATATGAGTCATTTATTTTCTGTGCTGTTCTGACTCCTCTCTGGTACAGCCCGTGCTGTGCATTATGGGATACCTGTGTCTAAATCTCTTATAAAACTCAAAAAATCACCTTCAACACCCAACATGGTGCAAGCAGATTATGTCAAACTCTACCGAACTTGTCGAGCCAGGGTCATTCCAACTGTGTTCACAATTAGATTCACTCAGAGATAGACAAAAAAAGTTACAAAAACAGGTTTTGTGAACATGACATTATTTTCTTTATATTGTATAGATTAGCAGTTATATTAGCTTTGCCTGACACAAAGCTAATATAACTGCCAGTGCCACTCTATACAAGACAAGAACAGAAGAGGACTGGACTGGTAACAAACAGACATTACATGATTTGTTGTGTTCTTTCAGGCTCGTCTGGTGTAAATAAGCACTAGTGACTACTATTTCTCCCTTATTTTTCCATTATTATGAGTGACCAATGAGGCCAATAAGTGCTGGTTGCAGCATACCTCAGCTTTACATTGAGAGTGTGACTTTTACATGTAAAGTTCTGTTTAAGGCCATATAGGTTACAGGTAATTGTTTGGGAGTTCATTCAAGTTCAACTATAGTTTTTGGCCATACATGGGCACGTCCAGGTCTGTCTGTCGGGGAATGGCTTTTATACACATACATGATAGATGAGACAGACCCCAGGGCATTTGAGATTTTCAAAATAAAAGTCCCTGAGCAGCCCTATGATCAATTTTCGTTGTGATGTGCCATAAAGCGAATCATAAGGAAACAGGCGTCTTTTTCAGGCTTGCCTGATGTAAATATAGGTGCTTAGACACTCTCGCCTGAGAGCAATGTGGCATTACAGGGATGATGAATAAGTAGTAGGTAGCACAACAAGAGTATAACTGGCCTGGAAAGAGAAGGAGGGCGATCCATCACATGCCCCCAAAGCCCTTCACTCTGTGTCTATTATTTAAGGGATTTCAGAGAAACCCTGGGGGAATGAATGAGGGGAAGAATACTAAATAAAAGGAGGGAGGGAGAGGGAGATGGGAATGTGGTTTTGAAGAGCGCGAGAGAGAGAGAGAGAGAGAGAGAGAGAGAGAGAGAGAGAGAGAGAGAGAGAGAGAGAGAGAGAGAGAGAGAGAGAGAGAGAGAGAGAGAGAGAGTCCAGAAATCAGTTTTCTTAGAAGAACCCCATCAATACCCCATTGGTAATGTGCTGTGGTTTTTCTCTCTCACTATGGTCTATGAATGACTGCATGATCTAGGACAGCCATACTCAATAGGAACGGGGTCAGTACAGACCGCGGGTCCCGTCTTAAAAAAATTAATAACAAATAAACACCCCCCGCCCACCCAAGTTAAGGAACTCAGTCAAGCTTTCAACTTACTACTTACTTTGTTGTAATGCTTTAGCAACTCAGATATCATATGCAGTGGCGATTTTAGCATGTCAATCTTGGTGGGTCAAGCAAAAACATTTTTTTTTTAGATGCATGCCAGCAAAGCCACTACACGACACAACACAACACTAAACAATACATTCATTGCACTAGAACGGTGACAAACGGTGCCCACAAACTGTTAGGGCCTACATAAAGCTTTCCCAACAGCAGTCCCAACACCTTACCACTGCTACACCTGGCTATCAGCGGAGCCTTGTCTGGCAGCAAAACAGTTAATTCAGCCTCATTTACTGCCTTATAGCTGATATGGCTGACTTGCTTAAACAAATGTGGTTTCTACTGACAATTGAGATGTCCCAGTTGTAGAACTCACTGAAGTCTGACATTTCCCAGTTCTGAGTTTCCAGTTGTTTTGAGCGCGGCAGAAATCATGCTGGATTGACAGCATGGCCAATGTTGAATGTTTATCCTTTTAAGCTTGGAAAAGACACCCTTAAATCCAGACTTGGACCACACACCCACTCCACTAAATAGCAGGCTAGTGATTGCTTTGCAATGCTTGCAGTTAGCCACTGATTCCTTCCGAACCACTCATTGTTGAATTTGCGATTTCCAACTTGTTGTGTAATGTTTATGTCCAATGGCCGAGGAGCACCGATACGTTTTAGCTATAATTTATCTTAATATGACAAGGATGGAAAAGGATTTGCCAGTAGATTGTCGACTTTATTCATGATGATGACTGCTAGCTTGCTAGCTAAGATTTTGATAGTATGATGTTGACATGATCAGTCCAATCAAAGCTACGGTAGATATAACGTGATTTGATGTCATTTCATCTGTGGCCAATGACCTTGAGCCTTCTTGGATGGGCACTTCTAATGTAACTCTATGGCAGCACCCAAGGGGCTTGAATTTTCTAGCTTTACCCATAGATTTTGCGGTGACGTAGTGTCCCCATGAGTGACAGAACAATGAGCCAATCTCGGCACAACTAGAGAACATTACCAACCCCTTACGCTCCGTATTTTCCGATGGCTGCCTCACCACCACAGAAAGCACTGAGCTAGGCTGAAACACCTGCATTTTGGAGCTGCCTTACTCAAGAAAGCAAAAAAGAGATCAAGTTTGTATGCGGCTTTATTAACTCAATTATTTTTATTTATTTTTTACATTGTTTGCAAACTGATATGTGACATATATTAATGCCAAAATAACATGCAAAACAGGCCATTTTTATTTGACGGGTCGCCACTGATCATATGAACACACATAAGACATGTATTCTAAAATGTATAGAATTGCAGGAAATTTGTTTTAAAACTGGAACATTTTCTCTCAGCTCAGCCCCATGGCAAAATGTGCAGAAATACAGGAAATAAGCTTTAAAACTGCAAAATGTTCTCTCCGCCAACAAGAGGGGTGTGAACAGTTTGTGTCATGGACAGTTTGTTTGTGTGTGTGTTGTGTTGTGGTGATAGTGACACTTAATCATTCGAGCCAACAAGAATAGTCCTGTCAAAATAGAATGGGCCATTATATGTAGGGATGTTTTTAGGTAACACTTAATTTGGATAGTCCATTCCCTTACCCTAACCCTTATTCTAAACCTAACTGTAACCGTAGCAAGCAGTTGCTTATCAACATAGTTTGTTGATAGTATGACCATCTGTAGAGCATCTACAGGTTGAAAATCCAGATTATCCAAATAAAGTGTGACCTGTTTTTACGCTGCTCTCCTCTTCTCTTCTCCTCTTCTTCTTTTTCAAGTGACACAATAGGAAATGAAACACAAAAACCCAGAGCTACTGTTCTATGACTAAGCATTTAATTACCCTCCCTCTGAACCATTATTTATATGAACCTCTCCTCTCCCTCCTACTCTCTCCTTTGTTTTACTTATATTTTAAACTGTCATCATCTGAATAGTCCCTTCTTGTTTTCTTCAGTTTTCTTCCATTTGGTACGTAATGAACACGACCCAGACAGAGACTATTGTAGCCCCCTGCGGGTGCAACAGTGTCTGTAGTAGTTGAACTCTCTAGGAAACGATAACTTGGCCGTGCTAGCAGGGGACACTGCAGGTCAGAGACGGCAACCTGTGACATCATCACCCTCAAGTGTGGCTCAAGTCCTTACTCGGAGAAGATAGATGACCGTACTGTGAGCTGCATTCTAAGTAAACAGTTGCTGATATTACACGACTGTGTACGTCCATACAGTGACTTTGCACAAGTCCATGACAGAGCAGTACAACTTCTATAGTTATCCAAAATGGTTATCTCTGAACAACTACATTGCATGCCTCAAGCTTTTTGTGTAATATGCTATGATACTGTATAACATTTACAGTCTCACATCAAAATCAATCAAACTTTATTTGTCACATGCGCCGAATACAACAGTTGTAGAAATTACTGTGAAATGCTTACTTACAAGCCCTTAACCAACAATGCAGTTCAAGAAAGAGTTAAGAAAATATTTACCAAATAAACTAAAGTAAAAAATAATAAAAAGTAACACAATAAAATATTAATAACG